GTTAAAGCAATTCTTTTACATCCTGTGGATGACCTTTGACCCTTTAAGTTGTGACCCTGAATGTTGAGATCATGTGACTGTGAGAATCTGTCCACACAGAATTTGTTAACCATCTTATTTCATTGTATATGTATTGTTTTATTGAACCCATTTGTATATAGCTGCATATATAAGAAGTATAAGAAAAAAACCTGTGTATATTGAAAGATATACACCTCTATATCTATAATATATATAACATTGCTGAATGCTGTTCTCAGCTCTGGTGCTGAACAGAAAGTCAGCAGACAATTTTTATTTGTGTTAGTTTCACACATCTCCAGACGATCAGATTAATTTTGTTCTCTTCCGTTTTTGAAGGACATTTCTACTGTTGCTAAATGTGCAGTGAAAAAACAAGGTTGCTGCTAACTTCATAAAAACACCTGTATTGATTTAATTGTGAAAAAGAAAGCAGCTACTTTTCATAATGCCCATTAAACCAGATTTGTATGTGCCAAGTATTATTTATGAGAGTCAGTAGAAAGCTGAAGGACTTAGAATTATAAGTCAGGGTGGTGCTAATACCCAAAATGATCACCAGAAAACAGGAGATCTAGTGATGCTAGTTTTTCAGCCGAAATAATCAAGTGTTAAACCAAAGAAAAAGCACCAATCAAAAGGAAGACGAAGCCACTGTATGATTTTAAATGATTTACAAGTATTAACATATCATATTAATGGTTTGTGTATTCATTGCGAGAGACAATCCTTCATTCTCAATCATACATTTCGTAGCTCACATACTGTATTTAATTTAAAGTTATTTCAGTTTATATCTCAAGAACTCTTAAAGGTACTTTTGAGACCAGAAACAGAAAAAAAATTACCCTTTTCTAAGCCTGTTCAATTTTTTTCTTTTTTTGATGTCTATAGTAAATGTCAGTTGATGCCTGGTTGTGATGTGAGAATACAATCAAAACATTTTGTTGTTGTTAAGAGTTTATATCCTTTTCTTGGCAGTATTTTATTAGCCAATCAAAGTATTTCCTTTTAGAAAACAGAACATTTTTTTTTATTTTTATTGTTCTCCTTTTTGACCCCCTCCCCCCTTTTATCTTCAGATTTTTATCATTTTAGGGGGATTTTTTTGGTTAATTTAGAAAATGAATTTTAAAATGTTTAAAACTGGTGTACATATACAGATTAAAAGTTTTTATTTTTTGATATGATATTTCTTCAGCTTAAATTTATGGAACCCAAAGAGTCTTTTTCTTTCCTAGGGTTAGTAATATTTGGTATGCACAGTTCAGACAATGTTTTCCCCCTAATTTTTCAATGTTCAACCATTTTCTTTAAATTGTAATACATGTTTTATAATTCTGGACTTAAACTAAAGAGGTTGTACATCCGTCGTCCATTCATCCAACAGTTATCTATGTACAAATAAATCCATTTTGTGTGTCATGTGATTTGTCATATTTCTTTGTACGGTTCAGCTTAACCAAAGATTTTGTACTTTGCTGTAAATCTGGTATGTCCACTGGCAGCTTTTTGCTCCAGTGATTTTTCCCCCATATCTTCATTATTATATATAATTATGGTTCAGTCCAGTTTTGTGAGACAGGTTGTATGTTATAATGAAACAAATGCATGAGGAGAATAAGCAATAAAAATGTATGAAAACAAAGTCTGTATTTTGTGTGCAGTGTTTTCTGTCAATACTTTTTGGAGTGTTGCACCATAAACTTTGATGAATGAAGGCACACTAGTGATCAGGGGTTAATATTCTGTAATGGACTGTGAAATTGTTAATTTCATGTTAATTTTTCCTTGTTTTCATGATATGAAGAGACCCACAAATTCAGGATCTCCAAAAAATGTTTCAATTTCAAAGTACAGTATCATGATTTTCCTTCAGCCATGAAATCAAATCCCCAGTACTTTTTCCTCGAACCAGGAAAATTTGACCCCATGAAATTAATGATTTTACCATATTTGGTGACTGATTCTTCAATACCAATTTTTTATTTCAAGTAATACAGTTTGAAATTGTTATTCTTGGAAATATTTACAGATTTACTAGAATGTTACATAAAAGGGACTACACTCTATTATCTCTGAGAATTTTAACGCTGACATTTGGGAAAGGAGAAAAATTTGGTATTTTTAACAATAAAAAAACAAAGCTTTCTATGTGAGTTAGAAACATGGACCTAGAAACATTCCTTCAATTTCTAATGCAAGGTATGGATATAGAAAAAAAGAAACTAATTGTTAACCTTACCATAAACTGGTTTCAAAGCATGCTTTTCTCTTGGTGCAAGTTATTAGATTAATTAGTATCATTATTTCTTCCAGGGTTTTGACAAAAAATACGGTTTCTGCTCTTCAAAAAACACCTTGAGAAACAAGGTTGCATTTTATTTGGATCCCAGTTTTGGTCCAATTTTGTTGTCTCAGTTTAATGACAAATATCTTTTTAAAGAATTGTATCTCCACTGATAATCTTTCCTTTAAAAGTTGGCTGTGAACAAAAACCAGTGGTGAAGAATGTAGAAATGTCACAGAGTGCTCCTGTAAGTACAGTCAGATTAAACTGCCATTGGTTGTTTTCAAATTCAATGTCAAAAATTCATTGAAAGTCAGACTTTAAATTCAGCATCACACATTTTTAAGGATATAGATTTTATTGGCATATTTCATTGTATTTTTAGCTCACCTGAGCCAAGGGCTAACGTTAGAGTGTCATCCCATGTATTTTAGGTGCACATCATGACCTCTAGGGGAATTACAGATTAACAGAAGCAGGGCCATAATTAGTCAAACAGTTAAGCATCCCTGTGTAGCATAAATGCATATTTGTTCAAATTGTGGCCCCAGGACCTAAGGTGTGGCCACAATAGGGGTCAATATTTTACTTTAGAATGTACAAGAAAAATCTCTCTAAAAAAACTAATAAAGGGGGCCACAATCCAAGCATCTCCATGCATGTGATGTAGTTTCAAGTATGGCTTCAAAGACTATGTTTGGATGTATTGTGGAAGAAAGTGTTCTACAAAATTACATTAACATTCACTTGAACATAAGCCTCGGTATACTGTTAATATATTGTGGAAATCATGAACTTTAACTCACTGACATCATAAGGGGTGTCATTTATCAATATCTGTTAGGAAGGGAATTGTGACTCAGGTGAGCATAGTAGCTCATGAGCCTCATCTAATTATAAATGAAAGACATTTTTGCATAATTTATTTTAGGTAATTAATTCTCATGGGTTATGTTACGCAATGCACAAAAGGAAGGTGCATTAAGTACTGTGAACTAATAAAGATCATCCAATATTTTTATATTTCAAGCCGGGGTCAAGTAAGCCTTTTCTAGTCAAAGAATATGGATGCCCAAGTGCAGCAGAAGTCTATAGGTGCTCAGGAGAATAAATTTTTTTGATGGCCCTTTAACTTACATATTTTATGTAGTCTGTAAAGATGCATTAGGGATTTAATGGAATATTTAAATAGCATTAGTAAATGACTAAAGAATTTTATGAATCAATTTGATATGGATGTCAAGGTGATAAATAGTTAATTAAAAATCTATATTTAGAACATTCTGAAAAGTATTTTGCCTATGGCCTGTTAAAAGTGAAAAGAAAAAAAAATTATTTTGCTTACTATTTTGCACACTGATCAACCGATACTTTCTTCATAGAGTTCAACTGATAGTGAATTTATACACACTTTCTACAGGAGCTTTCAATCAGATCTACCCACTTTACAAATGATACCAAAAATATCAAATGGATACACAGTCATTTACTAATATTATTACATCATTAATGAATTTAAAATCATTCTCTCCAAAGCACAATTCTCTCCATACTCACCTGCACCCAAGGGCAATCTCGTTTTTTACCGATAAGTAAAAGATGAGATTATCCATGGCTCGTATTCGATGGTCACTCACCTGATGCAGTTAGACATCTTGTCCTGTAAGAAAAGTTTTGGGTAATTCCTTGGGAAGCTGGTACATTATTCAGATTATACTTTGATGTCATTATTTCAGTATCATGTTGTTTGATAATGTTAAGCCTATACCCATGATAAGAACTGCAGTGTGGACACAATATGAGTTATGCTACCATATTTGTTTATATTTTCATTCACTGAAGATTATTTCCTTTATTTCTTAAGAAAACCATGTTGCCTTTTTATCAGTCAGTAAACAACACGAAGCATATTCTTGGGGCAGTGGCTATTCCATCAATGAAACGTACAATTAGGTACAAATTAATAAACAATATTTCATCTAATTAAATCCTACTTTAAATGATTATTTGTACGGATATAAATACAATAAAATGTCTTTCTTTCTTTGTTAGTTCGGGAATTAATGTTGCAGCTATTGTAGGAAAAAATTACACAACCCACTTATGCAGGTTATGCATTTTTTCTGCAACAGCTGCAACATTAATTCCTGAACTAACAACCAAAGAAAGCATTTTATTGTTTAAATAAGTCTGCTGCTTATAAGTTGGTTATATTTTTAGCTCTTCTGAGCCAAAGGCTCAAAGAGCTAATGCTATGGCCATTTGTGCGGTGTGCGGCGTGCGGTGTGCGTAAACTTTTTAGAATATGGGCCATAACTCAAGAACCCCCCGGCCAATTATTGTCAAATTTGTCACAGGGTATCCTTGGCCCAAGGGCTCCCATTTATACTAAAACTAGGGTTGTGACCCTTAAACAAGGGGAGATAATTAGGAAAATAGAAACAAAAGTACTCATTGCTAAAAAATCTTCTTCTCAAGAACCACTGGGCAGATTATCACCAAACTTACACAAAAGGATGAGGATATGTTGTAGATTAAAATTTGCACGGGGATTTACCCTGGGGCAAAGGGCGTGGTCTCAAGGTCACTTCAAAGTTGAACAAAAATTACATTTTATTAAAATGTTGATATTTTGCTTACTATAAGGACTAGGATCATCAAATCTTGTCAGTTGATGCATCTAAGGACCTCATATCATGTTGACTCAAAAGTAGGTCACGGTGACCTACTTTTTAAATTTTGCGGCCATTCTTTTTCAAAATGATTTAGAGGCATATTTTGAACAATACAAGGCCTATGATCATCAAACTTTGTCAGTTGATGTATATTGGGTCCTCAAAGTATGTCAACCAAAAAGTAGGTCACCTTGACCTACTTTTTGAATTTTATGGCTTATCTTTTTCAAAAGAATTAAGGCCATTAATTCGAATACTGAGAGGTTTAGAATCATTAAATCTTGTAAGATGATGCATCTTGGGGCCATAAAACATACTTATTAAAAAGTAGGTCACAGTGACCTACTTTTTGAACTTTGCAGGCATTCGATTTCAAAGCGTTTTATAGGCATAATTTAGACATTTTGAGGCCTATGACCATAAAACTTTGTAAGTTGATGCATCTTGGGTCCTCAAAAAACATCAACTGAAAAGTAGGTCACCGTGACCTACTTTTCAATTTATATGACTATAATTAAATATTTCAGGTACTAATTGGCTTAGAATCATCAAACTTTGTCAGTTGATGCATCTTGGGTCTTTGGAGTAGGTCAACTGAAAAGTAGGTCACCGTGACCTACTTTTGAAAATTTATGGCTTTAATTAAATATTTCAGGTACTTATTGGCTTAGAATCATCAAACTTTGTCAGTTGATGCATTTTGGGTCTTTGGAGTAGGTCGACTGAAAAGTATGTTACCGTGACCTACTTTTGAAAATTTATGGCTTTAATTAAATATTTTCAGGTACTTATTGGCTTAGAATCATCAAACTTTGTCAGTTGATGCATCTTGGGTCCTCAGAGTACAACAACTGAAAAGTAGGTCACCGTGACCTACTTTTGAAAATTTATGGCTTTAATTAAATATTTCAGGTACTTATTGGCTTAGAATCATCAAACTTTGTCAGTTGATGCATCTTGGGTCCATGGAGTACGACAACTGAAAAGTATGTCACGGAGACCTACTCTTGAATTTTTATGGCTGTATTTAATATTTTCGTGTACTATTTAGCTTAGAATCATCAAAATTTGTCAGTTGATGCATCTTGGGTCCTCAGAGTAGGTTGACTGAAAAGTAGGTCACCTTGACCTACTTTTGAAAATTTATGACTTTAATTAAATATTTTGGGTACTAATTGGCTTAGAATCATCAAACTTTGTCAGTTGATGCATCTTGGGTCTTTGGAGTAGGTCAACTGAAAAGTAGGTCACTGTGACCTACTTTTGAAAATTTATGGCTTTAATTAAATATTTCAGGTACTTATTGGCTTAGAATCATCAAACTTTGTCAGTTGGTGCATCTTGGGTCCTTGGAGTACAACAACTGAAAAGTAGGTCACTTTGACTTACTTATAGAATTTTATGGTTATAATTTTAAAAAAAACATTTTAGGTACTAATTGGCTTAGAATCATCAAACTTAGTTGATGGGTCCTCAGAGAATGACAAGTGATAAGTAGGTCACCATGACCAACTCTCAGGTACTAATTGGCTTAGATTCATCTTGGGTTCTCAGAGTGTGAATTGGAATTTCAAGGGTTTATCTAAATATACAGGATACTTAGAGGCTTCAAATAAAAGTGATAGGTTGTACAGTATATCAGAAGAGCGATTCAAGGCCCTTGAGCCTCTTATTTCTAATTATTTTGGAGAAATTTGCCATTGACTCCCTGTAAGTTTTTGAGTACTAATTGGCTTAGAATCATCAAACTTTGTCAGTTGATGCATCTTGGGTCTTTGGAGTAGGTCAACTGAAAAGTAGGTCACTGTGACCTACTTTTGAAAATTTATGGCTTTAATTAAATATTTCAGGTACTTATTGGCTTAGAATCATCAAACTTTGTCAGTTGGTGCATCTTGGGTCCTTGGAGTACAACAACTGAAAAGTAGGTCACTTTGACTTACTTATAGAATTTTATGGTTATAATTTAAAAAAAAAACATTTTAGGTACTAATTGGCTTTGAATCATCAAACTTAGTTGATGGGTCCTCAGAGAATGACAAGTGATAAGTAGGTCACCATGACCAACTCTCAGGTACTAATTGGCTTAGATTCATCTTGGGTTCTCAGAGTGTGAATTGGAATTTCAAGGGTTTATCTAAATATACAGGATACTTAGAGGCTTCAAATAAAAGTGATAGGTTGTACAGTATATCAGAAGAGCGATTCAAGGCCCTTGGGCCTCTTGTTTCTAATTATTTTGGAGAAATTTGCCATTGACTCCCTGTAAGTTTTTCACCAGATTCCATGGCTAATTTCAGATCAATTGTTTTCTGTATTTTCTATTATTTTCATTTGTATTTAAGTAATATGTTTTGGGGTAATCAAGATATTGATATTTGATCTTTAAAATAGCTATGTAAGCAATATACACAATAAACATTTCAATTAAAAATAGTATCATTAAAATCCGTAAGAACTTGTGCTCTATTCATATGGTAACCCTAGATATTCCTTCCGTGCATGAAAGAATCTTAAAATTATGTCCCAGCTTTTGTCAACAATTATCATCAGAGCTGTTTATAACTCCCTAAAATCTGGTTTGTATTAAGTACATGTATTTATATATATATCTCTCATTCTGTCTCTCTATATATATAGTAAACATTGTGTTTAAATTTATCTGGAATAGATTGTTCCGGATTAACTTAACCCAGATTGAAGCCAACCTAAAGGTACCATTCTAATTTATAATTGGAATTTATTATACTATAGCTGAGAGTATATCTGTATCAATTCTAGCAATTTTGATTGCACTGTATTATACAGTAGAGCCTTGTTAATGCAGACACTAATAGTCCAGAGAGTTCACCTTTTGGATGAAATTGGTGGGGAAAAGAATTAACATTTATACCTTCCAATTATAATAAGTCAGTGTCAGTAATATAGACACTTCATTAATCTAAGACAGTTTGCCTAGAACACAAGTGTCCAGATTAACCAGGCTTGACTGTATATGACTAAAACCTGGACACCTGCAGAATATACCTTTCTCTCAGTATCTAGTATTTTATGAGGTGTTAAGTGCATTGCCTGACTCTTTTTATTTTTTCAAAATCAACAACTTTCAAAAGCAATTAATACAAGTAAATCAGAGTTTTTTTTATATTCATCTATTTTATGGAAATTGTCAGTGCATTTGTCATTTGTCCCAAGTACAGATAATTAAGACATAACTTTTGAATGCTTGAAAGGGATGAAATTGTATAAATACATTATGATAACTTTCAGCATGCCTCCAGTGCAAATGCTGATTCTGGCAACATTTAATATTAAAACAGAGAGATAATATAATGGGCAATTAATTTTGCACACAATTTATGATATTTCAAAATCTATTTTCAAGTTTAGTGCATTAGCTAATCTCAGACAGATCAAGATAAAGGCTTGGAACACACATGTTTTGAAGTAGTAATTCCTTCATGCACCTCTCAGACTTAAGGTTACATTTCAGACCCCTTTGATGCTAAAACATAAACAAAATTTGTAGCACTCCATGATAAGGAATGAGCCTATAAACTAGATAAAGTCAGTTTTCCTGAACTGTTTTGACAAGTATGATAAAGAAACACATAATTGTGGCTTTGAAGCTGCTTTCTAACAGTGGTTTTTGTCATGGGGTCATTGCGTTTCTATAGAGATGTCCTCTAAGGTGAAAGGTCACACCTGTCCTATGAAATGATAAACCCCCACAATGCTTCCTGCATTTTGAGTGCTATGGAAACAGTGTAGATCCATTCTTTATACCAGTCTGTGGGTACAATCTAACATTTATTGTTCTGTAGAGATTGTTAATCTGTTGATCTCATTTCTCAGGTTTTTATAAACCTGTATGTACAAAAAAAAACCTCCCTGTTATCTTACAAGAGCTCTCTCAAGTAACTTCTTGCCATTCCTGGTTCAGTTGTTTATAAGGTCTTTCACCACTTAAATGTTAATTGTTTCCCTATACTGGGATATCTTTTTTTCTAGCAGGGTCCACTGCAGTTACCCCTTTTTAATAAGGATAATACATTTCAATTTGGCCTAAACATCATCAATAGAAATTCTTTCCATCATTTACTTTTGGCACTAATGTATACAGGGCTATTTTTGCCCTACATTATTTTCACCCCATGTTATTTTCGCCCATTCACACCTGAAAACAATTCACAAAGACACAATTGTTTTAAAGAGATAATACATGTACCGTCTTCTTCCAATTCACCCATTTTAAACTTGCCCTCTTGTAAGGAGGGCGAAAGGACCAAAAATAAAACAGGGGTGAAAATTTCCTTGCATACAGTACATCCTTTGGAATTGTGTCATTTGGGCTCAAAATAAAATTGAGCTACATTTCATACCACTCATATATTTTATAAAAAGTACTGCTTGATTTTTAGAGTAAAATACTGGATGGCCCCCTCCCCCTTCTCCCAATTATATGGTGCATTAAAAAACAAGCTTATTGTAATCTATGTCCCCAGTTTAAGGACAGAAGTTTATTTCAGATATCATCTGGAAACAATCTGTAACAACATACAAGTTTGTGACCTTGACCTCTGATCCTTTCACTTCAAAATAAATAGAGGTCATGTTTTAGAAAGTAATGATCTAGAAACCATTTCATACCATACCTTGACCTTTCACCTTTAAGCCTAAAAGACAGGGGTCCTTCTTAAGTTTCAGTCAACACCTTTTAAGTTTCATTGCAAAAGCTCAGAAAGAACTTAATTATCTGGGAACCATTTTTTTTTTTGCATAATATGAATATTTGACCTTGGCCTTTGACCTTTTAACCTAAAAATCAAAAGGGACTTCTTTAAATCATAAGGGATATGAAATAAAATTTCACTACAAACATTTAAAGACTTTTTAAGATATCACCCAGAAATTATTACACCATTTAAGGAGGTTCGATCCTGAGCTTTTGAGCAGATTTTGGTCTGGACCATTATTTCTAAAATTCTGCATCATTTTTGAGTTCTAACATTAAATCTGGATTCTAAATTGCAAATTAAACTATATCCAATGAAAAAAACACGATTAAATTCCATTCAAATAGGATTAAGTCAGGAACTATATTTTGTGGCGGAAGATTTTTTAGAAGAAAATGATCAATTTTTTCCTTTTGAAATATATACAGTACTGTTAAGTTTAGATTCCTATTTTTCCATGCTGGTTGCAAACAGAGCTGTTTTTTGCAGTGAAATGTTTTACGGTGGTTCTGAAATATCTATCAAATTATTTCTTTTGAATTCTTTCATTGTGACAAATATAGTATATATATTCTGAAAGTCCAGGAAAAAAATTGAGCCAATTTTAATGTAAAATTAACACTTTTTTAGTAATATCTAAAAATTTACATCATAGACCCCCACTTTTGTTTTTCTTTTCTTAATATATAAGATAACTTTGATCAGTCTGCTTAAATTCAGCAAAAGTTTAAGACTTTAAAATAATTTTCTTGCTTGTTAAATTTTTAATGCCAGAAAAATCACATTTTGCGAGTGCAGAAAGGTCAAATAATTGATTATGCGAAGCAATTTGAAACTTTTTCTTAGTCACAATTTTAATGTGTCTTTTTTTAAATAGACTAATAGTTTATTTTGCCCCATGATTTATTGGGATAAAAACATTGGAGGAAAAACGTTGAAGATGTGATTTTTGATTAAGACACAAATTTCAGTGCAAAAAGGTCATATTAAATGTACTGTAGCGCCAAAAGCATATTGACCCCCATTTTTTGTTTTGATTTTTAATTAAGCTATGTGTGTAGAAACTAAAAATATACTTGACAAAAAAAGTTTAAGACTTTAAATATCAGGATCCAACCTCGTTAATACCCTACATGAATTTGTGACCTTAACCTTCTCCCTTTTGGCCTCAAATTCAGTGCCTTTCTTAATATATAGCCTTCACCTTCATTGCAAAAGCTCAAAGAAAGCCATGTAAAGTTATCATCTGGAAACCTGTGTTTGCAATATATGAATTTCTGACCTTGGCCTTTGACCTTTTGACTTCAAAATCCATTGGGTCTACTCAAATCAATAAGGGTATTTTTCAAGTCATAGGGAGTTATGATATAAAATTTCATTTTAAAAACTAGAGGACTTTTATTAAAACCATTAGAAAACTAAAAGTACTACAGACAGAATGATGGACAAACAGAAAGACACCCAAATTACCAATAAAATCCCATTTTTAGCAAAAGATGGGACTGTGAAAAAGTGGTTCTCATTCTTTGACCCAGGAAATTTAAAAAGCATCAAGCCAGTCTGCAATACCCGGTACTTTGGAGTTTTTCTTCACAACCTGAATTATTACATTTCTTAATCCAAAACAAAATGAAAATGCCAACTGCAATGACCTGTTTATTGACAACAAATTTTGTGCATCACAGTATAAATTTTTTTGTTCAAACACCATGTACCAAATGAGGCAAATATTTCAAATGAATTCTCTAAAACAATCTACAGTCAAAAAAAAAATTATCATACAGCAAGTCTGCCTCTTTGGTATCGAATAACAAATAATCAGAAAACAAGACAAATTTGATTGCTTTTGTCAGAGATCAAACAAAGGAAGGAGTAAGCATAATGAAACCAGATTTTTTTTTTTAATTTTCACCATATTGGAACAAGCCTGTTCTATTTTAACAAAATGAATTAGAATTCAGTGAATTAAAAGCAATCTTAGTCGAAGCATTAGATGAAGACAATTTTGGGGAATTAGTTTTAACTGCAATTTTTTTTAACGTCTCTAAACAATAAAATTATCACAGAATTGCTAGTAATGTCAATCAAACAATATCATTGACATGCCATGAGACATTTTATTTCACAATTTATCAGGATTTTTCAATTAATCCAGAGTACTTAACAATTGTTTTTTAATTCATTGTAGTGTAGTAAATTGATTAAAAGCAATTTACATTTTCCTATCACATTACAGATCTTTAATAATTTCTTCCAATAAGAAAAATATTAAAACCATATACCTACACCTGGTACCTAAGAAATTAATTTTGATAATTTTATCCAGTGAAAAACATCCTCTGTTATTTCAATTTGAAAACTGTCTGACATCTAGTTTATAACAATCCATGCATCATGTTTAATATTTCGGTCAGGATTCCATAATTACACATGCTCACATTTTATATAAGTAACAAACATAATAACATACCTGTATTTTTCTTTTCAGGGCAATTTACAACAAAAAATGTAGCCCTTTAATTATGCTACTCAATAATTATAATATAAAAATTCATAACAATATTGCACAAAGTAACAGTTTATATGTATAATAAGATTTTAATGTATTTTTTGGTATTTTCAAGATCATTTGATAAGTAGTTGTCATGTTCACATTTTCCCAGCAAACATTTAGAGGTGGGTTTTCTATTTTCCTGAATATAGTCAAATGTACAAAGAGAAAATAAATCAAATATCTTTTCACCAAACTCCAAAAACTGAAGCCTGGATTAATACATGTTGTGCAAAGGTTAATAGGTCATGCTTTAGATGTAAATGACTCTAATTCATGGTACTTTTTTTTTTAATCCAGGCTCATAAAAAAGGAAATTTTAAAATACATCCTGATGGAGTAGATTCCTTAATAAATAATAACAAAAACTGTCAAAAGTCAATTACAAATAACTTGAAACTAAATCTAATATATATCAATGTTTTACAATTTGATGATTGTTGAGAACTTTAGAGTGATTAGAACATACAAACATACAAGGACCGAAAACCAATTCTAAACATTATGAATGAATTATTTCAATACCGGTAATAATATAATCCAAAGTACCAAAAAACTAATTTCCAGCAGACACCATTAACTTTACTTCATTGAAAAATGATATCCTTAATGCATATATGAATATCAGTACATTTATACATATATATATACATGTTTGCATCAACACATTATTGGTATTACCTCTAAAAGACTAGTTATTTTCGTTATATTTATAATATATACACCTCTATTTACAAAGAAAGGTAGACATATACTAGTGAGATTCACATCATATGAGATATGAGATTGACATGTGCAACAAGAGATTCTTATACATATACAGTCAAACCTCGTTATCTCGAACTCGATGGGACTGGTGAAAAACTTCCAGATATCTGAGTATTCGAGATATCAGGGGTAAAATACTTAAGGAATAAGTGGTTGGGACTTCCAAATCACTTTGACGTATTCATGGTATTTGAGATATCAGTGTTCGAGATACCGAAGTTCAACTGTAGCTTTACTCTGTATATTACAATATTGAATTTTACTAACCTTGCTATTAATAAAAATTAATATTATATCCTTATTCTGTTCATCAATATTAAATAACATTCACTTTTCAAGTATATACCCCCTGTATGTAAAAACTTCCTAGCATGCTTTAAATGGAAACTGGCTCATAAATAATGATGTAGCTATAAAATCCTACCAAAATATTCTAGGATTTTGGAGGGAAAAATGATTTTCTTCCTGGCTATCCAGAAAGGGAAAGGAATGTACATCAAGCATAATAATAATCATTATCCAAGAATAAAAAATATCTATAATGTAGTACATGTAATACCATCTGCATTTTATAATATTACGCAATCTTCAGGCCAGGCCTAGATGTTACCTGCTGTCAATTACACCTGTATGTGCCAAAGGTAAGTAAGTACCAGGTGTAAAGGTAACCAGTGCCTCTGCAGGTGGTAAAAGGCCTCTGTAAGAACAGGGTGTGACAATCCCCAGATTTGAACTCCTAATACCGTAGAATCATATTGTCCACACATTTTGACTACAAAGTATTATCATTGTTGATGTCAACACTTATACCTTGTGAATGAAACTATTATTGAACACATATTTTGTTAAACGATGCCTGACATAGTAATTAATGGTTCTAACATGTGTCGGAGAATCTTCCGATGAGCGAGGAAAATGACACAGACGATGGGCAATGATTGGTCAGAGCCTAGGTACCTACTGGCCAACTGACCAAAGTTGGTCGGTAGAGGAAATTGATGTAGCTTCCTGTCGGTAATGAGAACGTGTCAAGCGCCCATCATCTTTTTGACAGTGTATCCCGGCATTGAGTAAAAGAACAGGACCAATAGGGCAGTCAGTAGCAAGACCACGAGGACCTTTATAATCACCCACTTGTAGTTGTGCCAGAGAATGTAACGAATTGACTTGAGGGGATTCAAAAACCATATAAATGAGGAATCTGGTCGGCTGCAAAAGACAAGGAAATTCATCAGTAACACTGAATACCGAATTTCTACAAATAACATTCAGATGAAAAGAAAACAATGTGAAATTTCTGGCTAATAAATTTGAACTAAAATCAATTAATTCTGTGAAACCTTGTTCAGTTTTAATCAGCATAAGCCAGAATATTAATGAAATTGTAAGAGAGGCATACTTGGGTTTTTCTAATGCGTCAGGTTCATTTCTTCCTAGCCCTGCTGGGTGTTTCTCCGCTTCGTCTGATGTCATCAAATGGAGCTCAGCTTCAACTTTGCCCTACAGTTATTAACATTAATTGTTGTAATATTGTTTCGTTTAATTCTAGTTTCGATACTTCCAAATACACTTCTTCTTCACTCACGCTATCAGAAAATTTTCCCTGTTTTATTTTTCTTGCAGAGAATAGATTGATTTCTAATGCAATATGCCATTAGAGTCTTCCTAAGAAAGATGCAAATTTTTACATAAAAAAAAAAAAATGTGTTAAGAAAAACATTCACATATAGCCTGGTATAATATTATTTCCTAGAATATTTTTCTTCAGCACAAGACATATTATTTCCTAGAATATTTTTCTTCAGCACAAGACATAAGACATGAGTACTGATATGTGTTTATCATAAATTCAGGTTTTTTGAATTGGCATAATTATCATCTTTTTATTTTAACGTATTATACATGGAATTGGTTCATTCACAATACACTAAATTCATATCCACTTATTAAAAATCAAAAATACTTCAAGGAAAGTATAATCATTTTTGTATGATTTACATTTCTGCTAAATTACTCATTTTGTCTCCTGATTTAATTGTGCACAGATGAGATGCTCGACTGCAGTGGATCATCTTGCAACTTCCCTCAACGAAGAGAAAATTACCTATGAAGGCCAACGTTTCACCTCTAATGATCAGCTACAAAATATGACAGCGTTTACTGACCCCCATTTCCTTTTCAACAAAAAATACCTGGAGGAAATTAAGTCTGATTAGGGCAATTTGAAACCTCTTCAATTTCCCTTTAATAAGTATTTTTGCCCAAAATGAAATTGCTCAAAGATTATCAGGAAAAATCAAAAGCAAGAAAAAGTAATTTTGAACATTGACTTAAAGCCATAATGATGAGTGAGGACTGTGTAAAATGTGTGTCTGTGTGAGACATGGTTCTTCAAAGAACATTCCAGTGTACCTAGAGGGGAATTTTCTACCTAGGATAATGACTTCATTCAAAATTTTACTTCCACCAATTAACAAGTTATTTTGGCTTTCCAATTGCTTCAAATTTACTGGCAAATATAGCAAAGAATATCTGCCATGTCCATTCCATAAACTCATTACTCATGCTTTGGGATTTGTTAAACCCCTTTCCTGCGGAGCCCTATTGAAATCACTATGATAGATTTCTTGGATCCTCTCTCTGGCTTTGATTTTTCACAAATTGCTTTCAATCGATTGAGTAATCCTTTTAAATGATGGCATTGTGCAATTGCAAAAAAAAAGACTGCAGGCCATTTGCTAATCTAAAATAATTAACGTACCCAATTACAATAACCATTGGTTAGTTCTTACCGTGAGTTCGTACTCGTCCCCAGATTCGCTTTTGACGGCAAATGGCCACCAGCCCTTGACCCTTTTCTGTTTAAACAAGGACATGTGAGGGATATTAGGATCCTCCAGCATATTGAGGGTGCATAGCTTAGAAGACTTGGCGCCACGAGGAAATCGATTAAGGTCCATGGTGAAAGCCCCTGAATAATAAATATATTCATTTTAAAAGGATTATTTTTATGTTTTAAAATTAGTTCAAAATCTTGCTTTTATGATTCCTTTACTGGCTTGAAAAGCATTTCCACAATTATTCACTAAAATTAGGGGAAAGAGGAGGGGGAGAAAACTCTAGTTAATCATCCTTCATTTAACACAGGAGAAAATGTTACTATCACTAAGAATACCCATTTCATCCCTGAACTTCTATTTTAAATTCATTTTCTGTATTTTCTTCATTAACCCAGTAAAGAGTTTGGTAACATAAGTATCCTTTATCTTTGCGTGGTGTGGTATCTATAAACAATAAGCCTTCTCTATGGGGCTCCAGGATTGACACAGAATCAGCTGTGCTAATTGAGTTAATTATGCTACATTATTTGGGCTACCAGGAGATTGCTTCTGTCAGCAAGATGAGTTACTTCTGATAAGAAGAAATATCATTGAATTTCTTGCTTAAAATAATAATAATAGTAGATATGTGGAATTTATGAATGTGTCCCTGAACTTAATCTTATGAAAACAGCTTTGGTTATGGCAATTTTACAGTAGCTCCACTGTGGGAGAAAGGCTTCTCATTAAAAGAAAAATGTTTATGACTCTAATAATTTTTGTTTTGTTTATATACAGAAAAACTTGTCTTATCTGGACACCATTGGTTCCAAAGAAATTGACCGAATTAAACTTTATTCTGGAATAGACATTTTAAGCAAATGAATTTTCTGAAAGGGACTTAAAGTTAACATTGTATTAGGGAAGATTTCGGAATACCCAACATCCAGATAAGACAAGTTTCACTGTATAATGCTGTCTTTAATTTATTTACAGTAAGTGTAAATATTTTATCAACAAAGCCAACATTCATACAATATCATTCAGAAAGCATCAACTCAAACACAAATTGCAATGAAAATGAATTTTTAATACCCAAATAATATACATATTTTGATTAACCTGTATATTCAGAGATGTATAAATGTTTATTATTAACCATGAATATAAAGGTATATTATTACTTATTAAAATAAATTCTATCACTCACCCAGAAAATCATCTGCAGAGAAGTGATCAGCATCCCAGACTTGAAGATTGAGTCGAGCTGGAATTTTTGTTTCAGACTCATCCCAGGAAAAGAGGGATTCTTTCCTAGAAATCACAATTTTTTCCTCAGCCACCAGGTAGTCAAATGGAAAGACAAACCTCCAGTTAAAATTGCCCTCTCCGGTAAGTGACCTGCAGATAGAAATTGGTGGTTTATAAATGATGGTAGACTTTATTTCTCTCTGGATTTTCAAAAGTGGACTTCAAACATTTGGTGTGGGTGGATGTGTGTGTGGTGGTGCTGGGGGTGGGGTGGGGAGGGTGGTCTTTCCAAGAATTCTTTGATACTGCAATATATAACACTTAACCTCAGACCTATTCTGCAAAATGTAGGTTCAAACATAGACAATCAAAAATTACATAGCTCACCTCATCGAATGTAATCTTTAAGTAGGGCAAAGTCTCACATTAAAAAATATTCTGGTAGTGTGCATCCCTAGATGCAACATTTCTGCAAGTTGGATCTGGGTAGGATTTTTAGTTACTTGGGAATGGATTTGCTCCAAAAACTGTTATCAATCACCCAGAAAATGTACATAAGATTTAGCATCTGAACCAAGTTTGGTCAGTACAGGACTTATAGTAACCTGGGAGTGAACCTCTTCAAAAAAAAAACTTTGGTCACGCATTCAGAAAATGTAGATCAGATCCAGAATCTGAGGCAAGTCTGGTAGCTTTCATCCCTAGATGATTCATCCATGCAAGTTTGTCACAATAGGACTTATACAGATAGTTACTTGGAAGTGGACCTGCTCCAAAAACTCAGATCTGTTCAATCATCTGGAAAATGTACATCAGATCCAGCATCTAAAGCAAGCCTGCTGGTGTGCATCCCAAAGATGTACCATCTACACATGCAAGTTTAGTTACTAAAAGGCTTATATTTACTTTGGAATGGACTTGCTCTAAAAATAAAACCTTTTTAATCTCATGGAAAAAAAGTAGGTCAGATCCAGTATCTGCAGCAGATCTAGAAGTGTACATCCCTTGATGCATTAATCAATGCAAGTTAGTCACCATAAGGCAAGTATAGTTGCCTGCAAATGGACCTGATCCAAGAACTTTAACCATTTACTGATCTGGAAATCTAAGTTTGATCTAGCATCCAAAGCAAATCTACAGTAGTGTTCATCCCTATATGCATCATTATTCAAGTTTGGTCCAGGTAGCACTTAAAGTTAAACTGGAATGAACCTGCTCCAAAAACTTTAACCTGATCACTTATCCAGAAAATGTAGGTCAGATCCAGCATCCATAGCAAGTCTGGTAGTGTGCATCCATGATAGTGCTTTAATCACCAAAAGGCTTATAGTAACTTGGGAACTGGCCTGCTCCAAAAATATTAACCTGGTCACTCATTCAGAAAATGTAGGCAAGATCCAGCATCTGAATCAAGTCTGGTATTGTGCATCCCTAGATCATGCATCATCCATGCAAGTTTGGTCACCATAGGGCCTATAGTTACTTGGGAATGAAACCTGATCACTCATCAGAAAACATAACCCTGTGCTTCATGAGCAGAAGATTTTCATAATAAATAAAATCTTTTATATTTCTGAGTAAAAACTGGGTCCTGTTTATTGCGGTATCCCTGCCTTTGGGGCCAGTGTTTCTTTATACATGAGCATGGCTTACAAATCATTTGACAATTTGTAACCATGTAATCCTTCAATATTTTTTTTCTTCACATTTCTATGTAAAACCTGAGTTCCTTGTGGCTCCATCTCCACCCTGGGGTTCATAAACTGAAGAAATTTAAATCAAAAATACACCACAATGCTTTCAAAAAATTTGAAAATATGTAGCCTTTGATCTAGTTCCTGAAGTAAATATTTAAAAATTTTAATTGTATATTTCTATGTAATCTTCTAACCCATTTCTGCCTTAGATGACACTGTCTTAACAAGCTTGAAACAACACTACATATGCTTACTAATAATTTGGACAATTTGTAGCCATATATTTCATAGGAAAATATTTTTCTTATATATATATATTTTAAGTGATAACTTTTGACTCCTTTGTTGCCCCATCCTTGCCCTATTCCATGGTTTGAACAAATTGACACCAAAAAAAAAAATTCAGCATTCAGTTGATATTTTTTCCTTGATTTTACAAGAAAAAAGACAAGGCTGGATTTTTTTTAATTCAAGAAACAAGTGCAACATATAAAAATTTCATAATTCTCATGTCACTGTTTTGATACATATTTTTTTTTTAATCCCTCTTGATTACATGTACAAATGTTTAAAATAACCATTCAGGAAACAGATCATAATATAAATATTTTAAACCCTTTCCCATCAGATTATTTGGTTACTCTCTTTGATGTTTGCTCATTCTAACTTCATGTAACAGAATTATTAATGTTCATGTATATTATCCCAAATCTTGTTTAATGAATTATAAAAATTCTATGAAAACCACAATAATTTACAGTATTTACATTGTACAAAATATTTTTGAATTGAAAATGCACCCAAGTGTAAGAGACCATAGTGCTCTCTTTAATTCATGAATTCATGATTCCTGGTATTTTTTCATATATATTATTTGCACAGGAGGAAACACTCTCTTAAATCGGACTTTAAAATGATAATTTATTACTTTATTGTGCTGCGACAGGCCTGACATCTATTGTTGTTATGATCAGGCATCTAATATGCTCTTTGTTACTTTATCCTTTATATGTCTTTAATACATCAAATTTTCATTAAACACTGACTTGCAGCATTTATCAACAGTGAAATACGATTACAGGCTTAGACACACAATGAATATTAAAAAAATTACGCAATAAGATACTGCTTTCCTGTGGCCGAAAAAAGTGACCCAGTGGTTACGCAGCATTTTAAATTTATTGTACTATTCAAAATGATTCCCAGCAATACATGTATAGAAATCTGTAATCTTATATACCAATCCGTTATTGTGATTTTTTTTAATTTGTGAAGAAATTAAACAAGTGAGTAATCGCATTGTCAACTAGTGAATTAGAACTTCACAAGCATATTGATTTTGGCCTCGGAGCGTGATGGTGCTGCTGGATCTATAATATTGATGGCCAATTCTCTGAATTTCCCTCACTGAGACAAAATCCTGTTCTACCACCTCAAGAAACATCTGTTATACAAGGTACAGCATATGCTTTAACCATGCAGTAGTTGTATTTTTTTTATCCCCATTAATAAAATACTAGGTTTCTGAGTGAATAAGTTTCCTTATAAAACTGATCCTTAATTTGACTTTATCAAGCTTGAAGTTAGCATGTAAAAGCTGTGTTGCTACCAAAATGTGGGGTATCAGTATCACGACCTCACTGGAACGATTTGTATGGATGGAGGATCAATTTTAGCAGGGACTGATACAGTTACCAGTAGGGTTTAACCTTTAACCTTCATCTTATTAAAGATTCATTCATTTGAATTAGATTTAAATTGTAATTTGAGTCTACAGGAGATGATCATTTTTGTTTCATATTCACAAGCGGGGCATGAAAATTACCTTTTTTTACCTGTAAATCAAAATTTGATCAAATATAGCTTGAAAGGCTTTGGTTCCAGTCCCGAAAAACTGGATCACGCAAGACGAAACAAGATCTCACGTATATCAAGCATAAAGATCTATACTTTATTATGTTATCTCTTAACATCATTAACTCCCCATAAATGGTTCCTTCTTTTACCATTCAACTAAATATGACTTCTGTATCTCTGTTTTATTTAATATTTTATATCCAGATAATCATCAGCCAACAACAGGAAAAAGAATACAACAAAGAAAATCGCAAAAGAAAAACCCCACCTTGCTCCTTTCATAAAAAAAAATTTTGATGACCTCCTTAGAACAGAAACATGACTTGCAGCTAAAATACAAAGTGAACCCAGAAGTCTATTTTTCTCACATTTAATGAATGCTTTTTATTGGGATTTAGTAATAAAGAGAGAATCGCGAAAGTACAATGCCCGTCCATTCCTTTCTTGTCGTCTGAAAGCTCACCGTTTCTTGATGGGCATCATAAATGACTTCAACAAAAAACTGCATGGCCAATGATTAAATGGTGGTCATTTTTTATTCTTATTTGGATTATAGTTTTTCTAATCATAAACTACAAATTTCTGCTGAAGACATGCAGGTGATAAGGTCATTGTAGAGTTCGTTTCACCAAACTTTTTATGTGTCTTAAAATGTGTGACTCTCTCTAAATCCATTTTCTTTTTCTTTTTTAAATTTTATTGTAAATTAAACACAGATCAGATAGTAACTTGATTAAGACTTACAAAAAAGATATGTTGAGTAAATGAACAAACCCTAGATTTACAATTTGCAGTTTTATAACTATACACAATACTGCATGCTGTTCTCCAGTATTTTTTCTTTACTACAAAACTAATATTTATATTTTCTGTCCCTCAAAATCAAAGCATTTTTTTTCTTTTTATTCTTTTTTCCATGTAAATTGTAAGGCTTGTAAAATGTAAATGAAAACAAATATGTACATAATGTAATACATGTAAGTATCTAATGTAATATGTCAATGTAAAATGTAATACCATGGTAATGTTAATTTAGAACTTATAATGTAATACTTCAACTAAATTTCTCTACTGCAATGGTGAATCTTGTAAATATAATCACTGAACTTCAAACAAGGAAAAACAAATGAAAAATGTTGTTTTGTAATGACATGGGTAAAAATTAATGTAATTCTTTAACTGTGTATGAATGTAATATAGATACAAATTTGTATAAAATATATTGACTGTTTGGTTATTTAATGGAATTTTTATATGTCATGAAATGGGTAAATTGTGATATATATATATGCCCTCCATTTAATTATGAGAACGTTCACATTAAAATGAAATAAATCTGCTGCAAAAGTTGAGTGCCACACTACAATATATGTTATATATTCTCTCCTAGCCATTTCAATCTGTAGCCAAAGAGAAAACTGTATTAGCAAAGTGATAAACTTGCAACACATAGCCAAATGTGCCTCTTGACTGACTTCCAGGGTTGTACACAGAAGAATTTTACTGATTATCAGTTTGTGCCCTTTTCATTAAAAACTTCTTGTGAAATTTTCCAAGTGAATTATTTTTCTTTGAGGCATATATTTCCCTATGGAGGAAAACCATTGAAACTTTGTGGCAGGTGGAAGACTGAAATGATGGGATGAAAATATAATATCACTGAGTACTCAACACTTTCCAGTGGCGGATTTAAGGGGGGGGGGGGCGCATCTGGCAAGTGCCACCCTAAAATTGTCAAAGCATAAATCATAGTTTCATTGAGAAAATTAAAAATGCCTACTCAGTAGACCTTATTTTTACCCTACAAAATCTCTAGAATCCAGGATCCCCAGACCCCCAGCCTAGTTTTTGCGCCCACCCCCCAACTTCAATTCCTGCATCCGTGCCTGCTTTTCAATTATAATTCAAATGCCAAAGTGTACACTTCATACTAGTATCATATAAAATATAAATTATTTGAAGAGAAAGCAAGCTTGGAGTTTCTATCAGAACCTTATTTTTGGGATACTATATCCAGGGATGGTGATGACTAAGTGTTATCACACGTCACTGTGTATTTGTGTCTTGCATTACCTGTAGTGTATATCTGTGGCCTGCATATCATCCTGACCCTTAATCCACCCTTTGACATAGATATCACTCATCTTCTCTCCCGTAAAGAAGGCATCGTCTTCCAAAACCACATCATCCGTGTTCCAAATAATACATCGCAGCTCATAACTGTAACAAAAAAATATATCAGTCATTTAACTACTGCTATTATTTTTATTAAAATTAGTTCAATTTTTTTTTTTTTGATCCCTATTTTTATAGTCCCACAAATCACATTTTATTTGCAAGAACTATATATTTGCTTTTTATTTAACACCAAAATAAAGATCTCATGATTTATGATAGAAGGTAATAACCCAGCAGGCACACAACGTTGTTTAAACGTTGAATATTAGTTGAAAATGGGTTTAGACGTTGATAAATCTAGATTCAATATTGATTCAACGTTGACTTTTCAACGTTGAAGATGTAACGTTGATTCAACACTGAATTCAAATTGAGTTGAATTGCCAACATTGATTCAACGTCGGATCTTCGTCGAGCGGGAATTCTATTTTTCTCTGATAAATAATTCGGATTATAATAATGTCGGACTATAACATTGTCGGACCATAACGAGGTCGGACTTGACAAAGTCGCACTACTGTATATCATTAATAACTATTACAACTAACAAGAATGGTAAATATATGAATTTTACAAATTCAGCGATTAATGTGAATTCAGTACGAATTTGCCAAAGTACGAATTAAGAGCATGCGCAATAGGACATCCGGAAAATATTCAAAAAGACAGGATAACAGTTACTGGTAAGTTTTGATTAATTTTAAGATTTTATATATACAACTGTTTTAAGATTTTAAAAATATACATGTAACTCGATTTGTTATCTGTCTTAATTGCTCGTGATTATGGATGTTTTCGAATTCCAACTGACGCCAATTTCAGTTCAATATTTTTTTAAAGAATGCATGAAGACCACATTGAAGGCTATTCCATTGTAAAGTTTAGTTAATTGATCTTCATAGTTTGAGAGTATTACATCTTGTGTATGTTAAGTGTTAGGATATTTAGCATAAACGGATCAAAGATTCTGTAAAAAAAAAAAAAAAGGGGGGGGTGGCCACTTGAACATGTTGAAAGGGGAAGGGTAACGGGTGGGTTCGCCCCGATTACATGTTCGCTCTGAGTGGTTTCGCGGTGAGTGGTTTCGCCCCGATTATATCTGTTACCTGTACATGTACTTCCACGTGTGTATTTTGGTAGCTAGCTATGACAAATCTTCAATGTTTATGTTTGTGTTTTTTGCGTATGTGCTATGGAAAAGGTTTTTACAATCTCCCTTGCAGAGTTGTCGTTCGTTTCTCTCTCAGACATCTCTGCGATGGTCTCACGTCAAGATTTTTGACATAACATAAAAAACATGACATTTAAAAGATTATTTCAAATTTAACTAATAGTTCTAGATATACTTAGTAAATATCTACCTTAAAAGAGGAACATTAGTGCAGGCATTTAATTATAATGAATTTAAACAAACGCACTATTTCTCGTGCTTATCACTGTGATATACGCGAGCCAACGACAGGGGTGAATGTATGAGCCGATGGTAGAGAGTGTGGTTTTTATTGTATAGATAGCAAAGCTATCTACACGGCACACCTATTTGATTACGTTTTTAATGAAGTAAATCTACATATATCAAACTTTGAAAAAAAGATGGAGATTGTTGGAATAAAATTGAAACGCTTAAACGAAACATATATTTTACATATTTTAACATAGATGAATTATGTTTTTTTTTCCCGTGTTCGTGATTTTTTGAAGAAAAGTTCTTATCTTATATCTGTCGTGAAAATCAGACTGGCAACTCATAACTGAATTTAATTAAAGTGCTCAATAATTATATTAATCTAAACACTCATTAATCAAACGACTTTTGCTTAAATAAACACCAAGCACACTGTAAGTTTCAAGAAAAGCAATGGGGGCGAATCCACTCAGGGCGAACAGGGAAATGGCGCGAAACCACTCAGAGCGAACAGGTAACCGGGGCGAAACCACCAGCATTCAGGGGAAGTCTACCATTTCCATCGAAGGCTTTTGGACAGTTTTCATGGCACACCGAGTCCCGTTTACATCCCATTTTCACATTTGTAATATCTTAAGGAACCCTGAATTTTATTTTCAGATTCTTATGAATCTGTCTTTGTATAGCTTTACTGGGGGGGGGGGGGGGTGCAGTCAGGAATTCCCCGTCTGTTTTCCAGTATATCCCTTTCCCCCTTTCTTTTATTTGATGAGTAAATCATTATTTTATAAGTAATTTCCTCTTTTAATGATTTTTTTTCATGTCTTGGATTTGAGTTTTACCTGTAAATAATTGTTTTATGAGATATTGAACTGCTGCACAAGTTTGGGTTGAGAAATTCAAGTGTAAATCTTTTGCTTTGATGGAACACATACTTTTAACAATTTTTTTCTTTACTTTCCTGTTACACTTTCAATATACTTCATTTTATTTTGTGTTTTGTGAACAGCAGGCATGGCTTATATAGAGATGGAAGAAATATCATGCAGAAATAGATTTAATCTCACGGCCAAACAATGATATAGATGTACCTTGTTAATGAAGTACATTCCAGCACCTCACGGCTTCCAGCAAATTAAGCAACTGATGAATGTTAGCACATGGAAATCAAATGGTATACAGTGCATTAACCATTCTCATTACACTTTAAAAATTTGCATTTTAAAGTTTTATTAATAAATATCATTTGCAATGCCAAGAAATTAACTAATTTTTGCATATATGTATTTATTTAATAATTCGTTTTTAATAATTAAATTTGTCTTTGGATTGATTATTCATAATTTGGAAAAAGTGCAAGATATTAATTGTTTATTAAAGTCTTCGTCAATTTTCACTGAAAGATAATTTTGGAATAAAAAGATTATGAGATTGAACACAATTTTAACATATTTCATTATACGAATATTTGTTATATTAAATTGTACATTGTAGGGGTAACCAACTAAAACGCTGCACCAATCTGTCCACTCAGAAGACCAACATAATCCAGGAGAGAACACTAATCAGGAGATCAACAGCACCCCAGGAGTCCAACACCACCCACAAAGACCAACACCACCCTCAGGACTCCAACACCAGGACTCTAACGCCAAGATTTAATGCCAACAGTGAAGAGACATAATTTGTCCTAATGCGCATCTGATGCATCAAAATGGTTACCGTATAAGATTTACATCTTATCTTGGAATGTTTTCGTGTATTGGACTATTTCTTGACCACGCGTGAAGATAGAAAACATTTGTAAAATGTTTGGGTTTTGTACTGATTACATGTAATTTATAAAATGTATTTTTGTGAAATTTATTGCAACTGATCTATTGATAGGAAGTTAATTAAATGTTAACAATATAGGTTTATATATGTTTTCCTTTATATAATTATGAAGGCATCTTAGTTAATAAAAAAATATAATTTTAAATAAGTTATCCCCACCCCCGAAAAAAAACAACAATGTTGAATTAACTTTTATTCAATGTCTAATCAACATTGATTTTCAACATTGAATCAACGTTAAGATTTCAACGTTGAACTCAATTTTCAAAATCTTACATAAACTAAACGTTGAATCAACATATATAATCAACGTTGATTCAAAGTTTTTTTCAATGTTGTGTGCCTGCTGGGAAATTACTTATTGTCTAGAGTATATGCAAAAATCAAATTGCATGAATAAATGCAATTTATATTGTCTCATAAATATGCAGTCACTTGAGATATAGTTGATTCACAGTACATGTACCACAATAAAGATCCTACAAATCAGACATCAAGGAATTAAATATGGACTACTGTAATGTATACAGAGTTATTTTTGCACAAAGTTATTTTTGCCCTATTTTAAATTTGCCCTTACATAGCTGAGTTAAAAAATAAATATCTCGGTCTTTGTTAAATTAGCTTACTACCTACAAGGGCAAAAGGGGCAAAAATAAAGGGGGGGGGGGCAAAAATTTCCCTGTATACAGTATATCTAGCATTATTATCTGGACCTATACTTTCTTCTTCAGTAAACACACAGACACAATGAATGCTTAAAATATTTAGTTTACAATACAAACCTCTTTGGCCTCCTGGGACTGATGTCCACTGGGGGTGGGGGAGCTGGCATGTCCATAGGGAACATATCAACCCACATTTCTAATTTACCCTAAAAATAAAAAAGAAATCTTTACTGTTGTATGAACAAGAAAACCTCATTTCTCATAGTAACACTTTAATGGAAATGTGAAGGCAAGATGTAGGATTACCGCATATTCAAACCAACAAGCCTCAAACACAACGCTTTATGAGGCAGACAAAACTTATAAAGTAAAAACTGTCCGTTTCGACACATTTGCAATCTGTTTCACTGTGAATTCCGACCTTTATTTTAATCCCTATTTTACTATTTTCCATGTTCTTAACACTGTGTAGTCTGGCACCCTGTCTATTCTGACACAAAATTTATCTCCCAGAGCATGTCAGATTAGACAGTTTTCACTGTATATGGCAATGCTGCTTTACCATCACTTAAATTTTACATTCAAAACAAATGACAAATTAAGCTAAAATTGAAAAGATGATCTTTTTTTTTTGGATGTATCCACTACATAGGAAATTATTTAGTATTATCCTCTGTGGCCATATAAAGATGATAAATATATAATGTAGCCTTGTGCTGGAATTTATGCATTTTAGAAATATGTCACTTGAGTTTGTTCTTTTTGCAAATTTTAAGAATAACTTAAATGAACATTTCAAGTTCTGAACAAAGAGCAAGTATACCTTTTTTTATATTGACTTTGATACTAAATAAAGTGAGCTCTGATTTCAGGAAGCTTGTAAGAAATGTTAAATATCATGATTTATCATATACAGTCAAACCCTATTATCTTGAACCCAGGGATCATGAGATATGTGAGGAATTGACATATCAAAGTTAAAATACATAAAGAAAAATGGCTAGGGCCTCCAACTCATTTTAACATATATACCATGGTATTCGAGATATTGATGTTCGAGATACTGAAGTTCAAATGAATATCTGTAAGTACGAAGAGTTAAACATTGAGGAAGAACAGGAAAACTATTACCTAACAAAACCTGAGAGTGTAAAATCAATTATCAGACTCTAAACAGTGAACCCTGTTCACACCTAAGGACACTGGTAGCGGCTTCCTATCTAATTCCATACAACCACAGAAGAATAGTTACGTAATGATTGTAATAAAGGTACATCTAAAAAAATCATTTTTGCACAAAACTTATCATGTACTCCTTTCCAAATGTTGCTGCAACATTACAGTGCACAGGTCCAAGAGAAAACAAAAGGCTTCAATGAACAAAATGCATTGGTGTCCAGAGACCTCATCTATCCTAAATTTATTTCTATATATAATTTAAGAAATTACTTTTTTTTTTTTAAATTTGAAAGATTTTGAGTGGACACACTTTATCTTCTCTCTCCAGTTTTTCTGGGATTAAGAAACATCATTTGCAATAAAGAAAGATCAGGTAGTATAGAGAAATCACCTGCTCTATGCCTGGTTTTTCTGGGTTGAAGAGTGGTCGGGTCTCAACATGTTCTGGTACTAGTTTACAGCCGACTTTCGGTATTTCTTCCCACCGTCTAAGAACCGACAAAGCCAATTGTTCCTCATGGTTTTTACGACTCTCTGTAAAATACACCTCAAGAAAATCAGAAAATAGCATTTTCGTACTAATAGCATTTTCATACTAAAAAAGTATATCAATCCTGTCAAGGATCAGTTTGTCAAAACATAATCAAAGATTACGAAGCTCACCTTAATAAATAGTATCTATAAGTGACGGCAAAGTTTCAAATTAAATGAATTTTGTAGTGTGCATACCAAGATGCAACACACATGCAAGTTTGTTTTTTTTAGGATTCATAGTTCTTTGAAATGTACTGCTCCAAATCTTAAACTATTTCCATCACCTGGAAAATGTAAGTCAGATAATCCAGGTAGGTCAGAATTCATGCAAGTTTCATCCAAGTAGGCTTTTACAATACAATGAACTTGTTCAAAAGCTTAAACTTTGTCACCCATCTGGAAATGTAGGTCAGATGCATCATGGTAGTAAGCATCCTAGATGCATCATCTATATAAGTTAAGGCACCATAGGCCTTACAGTAACTAACATGTAGGAACAGCTGAGGAATGGACTTGCTTCAAAAACTTTTAACCTGTTCACTCATTCAGAAAATGTAGGTCAGATGCAACATCTGAAGTAGCTGCAATAATGTATCCCTCTCCCTTTTTTTTTTTTTGGGGGGGGGGGGGGGGTTACAACTCCTAGGAGTGATCACTTCCACACAAATTTGGGATCAAACTATCAGTAAGTGGCTAGTTCATTAATATTACTTATCTGAACTACCTTATACCTTGAGAACTGTAAGAGGTATGGATTTGATATTTTGCATATATTTTGCTTGGCTCTATCGCTTTTGTAAATTGCCATGGTTACCAACCTCATGACCCCTGACTTTGACATACAAATATTTTTACCAAGGGCAGGTTACTCTAATTGATTTATAAGTGAAAATAACCCAATTTTTCTCTGGATAAACCTGCCTTATCAATAACCTTAATAAATATCAGTCATGTAATTAAATACATAGCCCTATTGCTTCTGGTAAAAGATTTCTTGAAAATTTAAGCCCATCCTTTTCCACAATTTCCTAGAAGCTCTCCCTTGTAAAAGGAGGTATCCAATTCATGAATGATTTTGTGTATCTTTCCATTGAAGTTGCTTTGTGTTGAGTAGAAAATGTGCAGTTGGTTCTATTGAAGTCATAATTATCAAGAGATTAACAGATACGCAGTGAAAAAGAGACAAAAGACAAACATGGATCAAAAAGGCTCACTATTTAAACTTGCAGTATGTTGCTGGTAAAGTTGTCTGATTATTCTGCAACAGATGTGAGAGCAACTACACCACAGTCAATATAAACAAGCAGTGGAAGGCACCCATTGTTACTGATTTAGTTGAACAAAGGTAATATTGCAGGAACATCAGTTGAATATGGGCAAAGTTGCAGGGATAATTCAAAAGATAAAACAAATTTACAAGGTCAACAATTTGTCAACCCCACAAAAAATGATGCATAATCTTATTTTGCAAGTGATGGCTCTGTAAAATTTTAAAAATAATAAAAATAAAAAATTGTCATAATTTTGTTTCATCTTCAATGATAGCTTTATTCATAGATTGAGACCATCTGTGAGGCGTAAATGGATGCAATCGAGTTCATCCATGTTAAACAAGAATATTGCTTATAATTCTTCCAATGCATTTTAATTTTTATCAAAAAAGCTTCTTTAAAAGTGTTTTTTAAATAATATATAAATGTAAAGTAATAAGACCCATTATGTAACTGTTCTATTAATGTCCTGAAATGTGATATAACAAAGAAAATTCACACAATGGAGCAGCAAGTTTGATCAAAATCTTTCAAATTCTATCTCCGGGGTGACGATATTTTGGCGACTTTACAGTGATCCTTGAAGGTATTCTCTGAAATCTGTAATTATTGGGACTTCCTTGTCAATTTCCCTCCTTTCATTTTCTCATCAAGTATTCAAAACGGATGGTTGAGCACCTACCCAACACATTTACAATGAATTACATACATCAGTGTCAAAACAAGAAACATATGGTTACTGTTGTACCTGAAACATCTACCCTCATTGTAATTAGCCAAAACCATAGAGGGCTACCAACATCCTCAAAATCTGATCCAATGTATATATTTCTAATATCCAAATGTGTGATTACAGAAAGATTCTATGTCACATATAATGGATTTTATCTGGAGGGGGGAGGAAGGGGGGGGGGTAGGCTAAATATAGTTATAATTTTAAATCTGAACATTTTCCATTAGTATATCCATTAAATGTGTACAAAATCCACAGTAGTCATTTATATTTTCCTATTCTATTTTAATAGTTCAAGATTTGGGATACACCACACATTGAAATATTACACTTAATGTACATGATTTTTATCATATTGTGGTTTACCACCACACCTTGTCTCACTAAATTACAAGGCCTTGTGTACTCCTCTTCACAATAAAAATGTCTGGCTGTAGGGGGGGGGGATATCTTTAAAAGTGCATTTCCCCATCAATATATTAAACTAGGACATTCTACTGCATTCCTCCTTTAGGCTCCATAATTTGACCTATAATCACCTGTCCTTACCTTGATCATCTGTATGGTCTATGGTACCGGTAAATATCCGGTTACCAACTCGGACCTTCCCTGGCTGGTAATGCGGTCCATCCACTTTTCCGTCCTTGCATAGTTTGGCCAGTATCTGTGTAGGTTTCATGGGATCCCTCCAAGCATTGTATCCAACACTAAATAAAAATCATGGTAAAATTACACAACTGATGGAAGAAATGTTGAATTTATGTGACCACTGGTTTGTGGGACCTCTTCAATTAAAAATATATCTTTGAAAAATTTTAAGGTGCCAAACCTGTAAATTTTGGTAAAAGCAGGCCTATTTACAACATATCAAACATGTATTTTCATGTATTTGATTTGTATATACAATGAGGAAATGGGGAAAAAATACATTTATATTAAGGAAAAAGAACAAAAAATGCTGACAGTATTTATCATTTTCACTTATTTTGATGAAAATATAGATTACAAATTTACTACCAAGAAAAAAATCAACAACGATTTTTTTTTTTTAAATTTAATTCATTATCAGTTTTGTTTAAATTTCATGCTAAACACCAATTGTGTCTTGAATTGATCACTTTTCAAGTTCATTTTTCAAACACGGGCTAATCCAATTTTAGATGTGGTAGCAGCAATATTAATTGGATAAAATTATGCCAATAGTTGACAATGACATCATAAATCTATGAAGATTAGGAGAGGAGAATGGGTACGTTATGGAAACTGATTACACAACAACTCGTTATCATGAAGAGAAAAAGGATGCCACCAATATGTCAGAAGAGATGAATATCTGTCATTTGGTGTAATTTCTATGATAATACCAGTGTTCAATCATTCAATTACCTCACAGTTTAAAAAGACTAAAGAAAGCTACGTGATTCCGTAACTGTGTCTCTGACGAGCCTCCTTCCTGCTTAAGCTTGTGCTTGCCTTTGATAAATGAAGCCTTCAGCTGATGTTAAGAAATAGCTTACTCATAATGTCATAGAACCAGCCAAGTCCAAATGACTTGTCGACTTAGCATGCAAGGAACCATATTTCCATTCCACAAAAATACATTAAGGCAACAAAGACTCGATTTCTTTTTACTCAAATAACAAATTGTAATAAATTTAATCTTGTCAAATTGAGCCCAAGTGAATTAGATAACAATGATTCTTGCAAATGCACTGTTCTAAATAATTTCATCATCAACCTCTAGATCTTGTCCAAACATTATGCTAGGGTCCCTATGAATCACAAAATGTGCTACAAATGCTTTATCTTTCCAGTTAAACCTGTTCTTATTTGAAAACCACACATGTCATGAATTTTTATTATTAATTTTGGGGGAATTTTAAATGAAGGCAATTCTAAAATAACACACCATCATGTATCAAATAGATGCCTTTTTATGCATCTGTAAATAAACTTCTTTTCAGTGAAACAAAATGGCCTATTATTCGCTTTTGAAATAAATAAATTCCAAGAGAGAATATACTTTTATTTGTCCATCTTTGAAAACATTTTACATTAAAGCATACTAGATTTTGACCCGTGTGTGCACGGGTTGACATTGTTATGAATGCATCCATGTGCATATCGGACATTTACAAAATAGATACATCGACACATTCATATTGTAAGGTATTTTTGAAATAAACAATGGATGTTAATATAATTCTGTTTTTTTTTTGTGTTTGTTTTGTTTTGTTTTTGTTTTTGTTTTTTTAAAATTGTTGCGTAACGGCGTAGCGCAGAATGGGTTTGACCACCAGTTAGCTATAAATCAAGTCCTGAGTTCGAATCACGCCGGAGCTTACATAAATTTCACCTTTCCAAACAAATTTGATAAAAGAAATTATGGATCGATGTTCATTGAAAATATGACAACAGCAAAGAGTTGAGCACACTGCTGATACATATCAAGCAAAGTAATGAAAATGAAGAATTGTGCTAAGCTGGTATTTTTACACAATCAGTTATTAAAGTAAAGGTGTAAAAATTTTTGTAACAATTTTAACACTGCAGGTCTCAACTTTTTCAAAATATGACCTCAACAATAAAAGAGTTAAGAACTGCTAATACATATACTTTATATATACACAGGTAATAGACAGGTATATAATCTGTAAAAGACTGTCTGTTTTGATAAAAATTAATGTAATATCCTTGAATTGGTACATAGAAAAAGTAATAAAAGTAGAAGCTTAATTGAGAAAAAATAAAAACAAATTGGTAATCTTCAAGTACCAATGATGTTTAAAATACATAAAACAAAAGACAGTATTCTTCCGATTTATCGGTATTAAAGGCCAAAAATTCGAGTCTATAATTTTTATATAGTAGTTATTGTAATTTTTGGCGGAAAAAGAATGCCTACTTCACTAAGATGTGATTCTAACTGGAGTTGTAACACACCCCCCCCTTCAGTTCCCCTCAAAAAAGCATAAAAGAAAGGAGGGATAAAATAAATTGGGTAGTTACATTAATGTTGCTCCTACGATCATGAGCTTTTTGCCTCCGTTGAGATGGTCAGAGATATAAATAACATATAATAAATGTGTCTCCGAGATGGCGAATGATTACCCACGTGGCCACAATATCACATTTGTATGGATATAAAATCAGAAACGATTACGATAATACAAACATATAGACGTCAGAAGCAAATTGAAAGTGGGGTGGCTATTTGAAAGTGGGGGGGGGGGGGGGGGGCAAACCAACGAAAAAAGGTAAGCCCCAGTTTTCAATGCCTATATTATGCCTATCTTTGCAAAAAAAAGGGGGGCTAAGCCCCCCTAGCCCCCCCCGCCCCCCCCCCCCCCCCCCCCCCGGTTCCGACGCCTATAACAAATAAGTGTAAATTTTCATTGGAAATTTGCTATATATTCTGTTCATATACATTAATGATTTCTTATTAGAGAAATTATACAATAACAAATATATATCTACTTAGTATATACTTTTGGCTTCTCTGATTTGAACACACTCTCGACCAACGGCTCATACATTCGTGTATAAGAGAGAAATGAACGACAATTCTGCAAGGGAGATTGATTTGAACACCGTGATCACTCGGCACACCTCGGCCGATTACATCAAATGATGTAGGGTACCGTAGTCAGCCGAGGTGAGCCGAATGCACCGTGATTTAGCGTGAATGTAATGCGCAAGCGCAAGATTGTAAAATCCAAAAAATCCAGATGATTTCCGGAATTTTTTGAGGCATTTTCGTTGATTATTAAATAGCGAAGCTTAATTGAGAAAAAATAAAAACAAATTGGTAATCTTCAAGTACCAATGATGTTTAAAATATATTAAATAAAAGACGGTACTCTTCCGATTTATCGGTATTAAAGGCCAAAAATTCGAGTCTATTATTTTAATATAGTAGTATAGATAAGCTAGAACGCAATATAGTACAGTAAAACACAGTTGCGACAGACCTGCTTATAATGAATTCACTCTTATAGTGAAGTGATTTTCATTCCCTGTACATATTAAATGTAACAAATTAGATTTATAACAAATTGAAATTGTTTGTCCCTGACATTTTGCTATAAGCATGTTTAACTGTACTTGCATCAAACATGCCAATGAAAATATGGTACATGTATCTAGACTTGGGTAAAGTGAATAACTGGACTACACATTCTAGAAGCCGTAATGTCATCTCTCCTACTTTTTCTAAAAGACTAGTGTGGGCATAGTTGAGAAAAGGAAACATGCCAAAATTTTATGATTATTTGCCTATAGTAGCTTATAGTAAAACAAGAGAGAACATACATGTTTAACTTGCTTTTAAACCCAGTATAGCATAAATTGAAAATATAAATCTGGATAAACCTTCACTGTCTCATTTAAAAAAAAAAAAAAAAAGAGCCAAACATTGGATGGAGGACATGAATGTTTGTATAAAAAAAAATTCAACAATCTTTAAAATAAATATCAAATTGGATGTGCATGTATTTATATTTATGTTGAATGTGCTATTTGACTTGCAAACCCCTTGCTTCATCAATTGTTTTTAAATGATATAAACATGTGTCTGTAGAATTTGAACTCCTAACATGTTGACTTTGAAGATTCAAACTTTGTGACCAAAAAGAAAAAATTAACAGCAAGCCATGTATATACTATCTCAAATATTTTCCTGTCTTTTTGACAACTTTTCAGGGAATCGTTGATATCCATTTTGGAAAAATTATACTGTACTGTGTCACACATGCCAAAATATACTTGCCACAAGTACACAGAGAGCATTGAAGTAAATAAACAAGAAAGACACAAGTCATATTGTACAATCATTTTCGTCGGGTCAAATTTTCATTGTTTGAGGGGAAAAAAATTAGCTGGTTGGGATTTGATTTCATGGTTGAAGTGTTCAATTGTTTTATGTTTGAAATTTTACATTTTGAGGAGGACATGAATTTGAGGATCTCTTCATACCGTGACGAAAATCAAATGTTCATGAAAATCAGCGATTTCCCAGTATTATAGCTATAGACTTACTGGTCATATTTAGCAGAGATCCCACAAATGGCGCGGTGACGGCTGTAGTAGCGATTCTCAAGGTCAATCTTGGTCTCTCCGATGAGGTCATCCATTCCCACCAGATCCCAGTCGTAAATCTGCACAGTAAGAAAGGACTCCATCGGAAAGGTACTCTCAATTTCAAAGCATCTGCAAAAAAAATTCATATTGTTTTAAAAAAAATTTTCAGCTGCTTAATTTAAAATATGACAACTGTAAATAGAGGATTTTTTTATTCCACTTGAGTCAACCTTGAAGGCTGCTTCTTAAAACACCACCAGGCCCGGCCATGTCTCATTTTTGGGTGATCATTATTTTGTGATTGATTATTCATTTATTTGTTATCAACTTTGACATGTATATAAAATTGGAGAGGAAATGAATGAATACAAATAAACTTTTTAAGTTATATACAGTCAAACTTAGATATTATATGAACTCTATAGGACTGAGAAGAAACTTTGACTTATCAGAAGGTATTAATGAAACTGTAACAAAATATTTGAAATCTAAAAAGGAAACAATAGCAGTGAGCAGCATTTGTGACTTTTACTTTGGAGATTGAAAAAAAAAATTATTTTAATTATCACACCGTAGCGTTAGTTAAACAACAGCACAACTTGCTATGTTATATGTGTGGCATGGTAAAAAGGAGACAAGAAATTTCGCAGAAAAAAAAGTAAAGAATGAAATGACAATTTTTTTGTTAAAACAAGAATTAAAAATTTATCCAAACTGACACTTGAAAAAAAAAAATTTACATCCTTGATATCAAATTTATATATAAACATGAGAATTCAGCCTCAGATAATCGATATCATCGGTATCCATTACCGTAAATTATCATTAAAAAGAAATAAAATTATATTAAAATTTATTGAGACATTAAAAAAATAGATTTCCATAGATCACTACAGGAGGCTTAATTGTCGGATCTGAAAACTGATATTTTGATAGTTTAATTCCATTTTTTTCACTGCTTAATAACTGCCAAGTTGAACCTTAAGGCAATCAAATGGTTTTGAAGTTTGTGGGTATTGTAAACCTACTTCCCTCCCAAAATCTGAATGTTTCGAAAATGCAGACAAATGGGGTGGAAAAAGATTGTCTCTGATATTTCGACACCATTCAGTCTTATTTTTTAAAGCAAAAGAAAAAAAATGTATAGATGCAGACTTGCTGAGCCTTCACCACAAAACCTTCCAAAACAATGAACACTCATCTGCCCGTTAATGAAGTGAAGACAGTGGAATATACAAACACAATGAAATCTGATCGAAGACTCTTTGACGCAATTTTCCATTAAATTAAAAAAATGTAGGGGTCACCTCTGCCCATTCAGGAGAAAATACAAAAAGAAAGAAAAGGTTAACACTGCAGCAAAGGAATATGTCTTCCGTACTTTTAATCTATTCAAGATACGAAATTCAAGACAGAAACTTGATATAGCAATTTTGGTAGCGTCTTCAAAAAATTGGCTAAAAATGAATGATGTTTTTTTACTGAAGTAGAAAGAAATGCAAAATATTGGTCATGTAAGAATCTAGGGTCAGGAAAGTGGTCACATATAAATGATTGGACGGATATAAAATGATCATACACCTGTCGTACAACACGCAATATACACATCATACGATATGTGAAACTGAACCAACCTTTGGTAAATGTACATATAAATTTCAGGGTGAACATTACAAATGAAATTGTCATCTAGAATGGACCACAGATACAAGATGGCTGAAGAATATCAAGTTCGTAAACTTTCCATAATCCCCCTGAAGTGGAAACCTTTGTTAAAATCTCCTAAGAGTTTTCAGACTAACATTTTTACACTCTGCGTAAGAAAACATGTTCAGTCATTTTTATCTTGAGCAAATTATGCTAATCATTTCAAAGGAATCCTTCTTTTTTTTTTCAAGGAAAATGAGTACTTGTATAATCTAGTGTCTCAAGTACTTCTTTATTTACATATAATTTTCCTTTCTCAAAATTAATACAGAAATTATTTTAATTATTTTAAGAGGAGATTGCATGAAACCAAAGCAAAAATGGTCTTTTCTATGATTACAAATCATTAAATACATGTAAATATACAGATATAATTCTTTTTTTTTTTCAATATATACTAAATAGATTTCCTATGATTTTTATTACATTACTGGTTAATAATTTACAATAAAAGATAATATAACAAAATAAGATAAACAATATTTTTTACCACTACAAATTCATAAAACTTATTCAAATAGATAAAGTTATTCTTCATGATAATTGAATTGAAAGAAAACCTCAATGCACTGTACACAAAAAATCTCATACTTTAAAAAAATTATTTAATAAATTGCCATAATTATAAAATGTCAATGAATTTTAAGGTTTGTGTATGTGTTTTTATTTTTGTTTGCTTTTGTGTGTGTGTGTGTTTTTAATCTAAACTAAGGAATGAAGAAATCTTAATAAAAAACATAAATTACTATAAAAGCAAAAAAAAACATGCATTCATTCAAGGTAAAAAAAAAATATTTTTTTTTATTTTCGAATAATTCGATCTGCACTGTAATATTTTTTCCATGTGTCTGAAAGAAATTCTGGGATGTTGAGGTTAAAATAATTACTGGTATAGCATTGACGCTGCTAGTACGTAGGTCCCCCACTGATAAGAACACATCAAGTGCCGTTCTCTGCTTAATAATTGGACTAGGATCCTTAAATATTCCCTGCTTTTCATGTTCATTTCATTTCGGCAAGTCAATCAAATTTGTCAGATCTGTTTTTATAAATAACAATTTTTCCCTTCCAGTAAAAATATATCTAAATCTAGAACAAGAAATATTTTGGAACAGATTTTTTTCATGTTCTTTTTCTTCCATCAAAATAATGCATAGTTTTCGTTTAATCAATGAAATTGACAAATGAGCATCAGTTTAAAATTAACATAACTCTCTTGCTTTTAAAATTTATAATTGATTATGATTCCTGAAATTTCATCCTGTCCTGAATTATCTATGACAAAGATCAGAGATGTTACTGCATCAGACCCAGATATCTATTGTGTTGTCAATATCTAGAAAAATATACGAGGGGCACGTGTAAATAATGTCACTGAAGTAACCGAATCAAGCGGAAAGATGGAGCCAGATATACCACCCTCAAACCATGACATAGTGTTTTCAAATTGTAGCCTGTTATTTGAAGGAGTGAATCTTCCCATTCAAACAATTGAATTATCTTCTTTGAAGTAGATATATAAATCTTAGAGGAACTCTTGTTTTCATCTAATAGACAAGAGGAATTCTACCGAAAGCTTCCATGCATAGCTCAGCATGGCATATTGCTGCAATTTTGTGTATTAGGAGGCTTAATCAGGCTTAACTTGGCTATTAAAATCCAATTTACAAACTTAATTCAATATAGAGTGGACACTCATTAATTGCAGATGTGTCCCAACCTTCCCACTACATTTTCGTGAGAACCAAAGTTAATCTGATTTGACAGCTAGCTTCTGGTCTAATATATCCATGTACCATACTTGTTCATATAATTATTCCATGAGAGAGAGAGAGAGAGAGAGAGAGAGAGAGAGAGAGAGAGAGAGAGAAAGTTACCTTTCATAAAATATGGACTTAATTTTTTTGAATATGAAGAAAAAAATCTGATCATGCCAAATATTTTTATACTGCAATTACAATGTACATTTACAGATTTTTTAATGTTTCAAAATCTTTAAATATATATTATATTTTCAAATATTCACAATTAGGTATCTGATGCATAAATAGCCCAAAATTATCTTAAATTCCGAATACAAGTCATCTCAAGGAAAATATTGAATATTCTGTAGTTCAGAGTACTGTAAGATTTTTTTTTTCAAAATTATTTCAAAATAGATGGATATGAACCAATAAATCTAACATAGAAGCCTATAGGCAATGTACCATTTTCATAACTAAAAAATAAATTAAAACTTGAAAAAAAAAAGCAATTGGTAAAGAGATTCATTAAATATTATTTATAATTTGATGTATTATAATTCAGAGATCACCATGCAAATTGAAGAGAAATTATTACTCTTATTATTATTATTATTTTTTTTTTTTACAGATTTTCAAGGGAAGATATCTTTTCTAATTAAGACTGAACGTTAATTAAAGGATTCTATATATCCATACATTTCATTAAAGTTCATGACCTAAAATTTTCTTTATCCCAAAGAAAAATATTCAACTCGTAATGACATTTTTTTCTGGAAAAAGAAAGAAAAAAACAAACAACAATACACATAAACACACTGGTAGTAATCTTAAACAAACAACTTACTTCCCAAACACTGGGTTGAGTTGTTTGGAGACATAGTTCTCTTTATCGTTGATGGTGGTGCTTCCCAATCGTATCACCATGTAGGGGTCAGCCTTCCCATTCAAATCTGCTGGATGCAAATCGTTTGCCTACAACCAGAATATATATTGCCTGTTTGATACTGTGTAAATCCATGAAACTAACACTTGATAATCTGAACGGATAATTTGAAGATCAAATTTTAACTCTTTATTCTCAAGTTGCAGCAGATGTACAAAACTTTAGCAACCGAAAACTGCTAATTATCACACAACTATGGAATTATGGCTAGAAAAAAAATAAGGCTATCATACTTGATAGATAATAAAAAATAAGCTATATAACACTCAAATTCCATTTATTCCTATAAAATAGATTATTTTGTGCAAGAAAGAGGGCATGGGTTTTCTATTCAAAGAAAGACAACTCTAGCTAAAATACTGCACTGAACCACAAGCTGATATATTCAATGAACAAAAAAATAATCTTGAAACAGATCATAAAATTTCTGACACTTGACGTTTTTTTTTTTTTTTAATTTTTTTTTTGTTTGATACAAGCCTAAATCCAAAACAGAAATTTATAGCATATTTCAGAGTACAGTAAAACTCAGTTATGAAGATATTGGATATAAGAGAGCTCTGTTATATGGACATTATATCTTTTCCCAATCCCTCATAACTCTTTCTTACAAAGAGAATCTTGGTATAAGGAACTATAAAAGGACTTTCTTAAAATAAGTTGCTTATATCAGAGTACACATTCTGGCCTTGTAGTTCCCAAAAGCTTACCTTAACAATGTAGATTCTGACCAGGACTTTGATTGGATCATTGCTGGGTAGTCCCTGAAAGAGGCCACAGGTGGGGTCTCCTCCAGTTATTGTGGTGTCCTCAATATCATCAGGCAGGGGAATCTTGTAGATTTTCAAGGATCCCTAAAATACCAACATATTTTCTCAAACATATAATACATAATGCCTATTGCTACTAAGAAATGAAGACAATTGCTGAATTTATGAAACAGATCTAGATGATGTTTAATATGTTACAGATACATTTTCTGTTATACGCATACATAACTAAAGCCTTTGATGCAAAATATAAATTGTATGTTCTATACTTTTAAAAAAAAAGCTTCATGATCTCTCCTTTATTTATGATATTTTTGGTTTGGTATATTTGGTATAACTTCTCACAATTACATTGGTAAGTATGATTTAGTCCACTGACCTTGAACTTTCCAACAATACGACTTTCATCCGTGTCCTCTGTAGCAGACTTCTTCCCTCTGTATAATTCAAAAGTGTGAAGCCAGTCCTTAAATCCATCAAATTCAGTCTGACCCTCCAGTTCATTGGGGTATACCTAAAATGACAATATCTGTCATAAGTATTCATTCAACAAATTATAACACATATAGCCTTAAAAACAGAAAACAGTTCAATTAAAGCACATTTTTATCTCTTTTTTTAAAGAGTTCTGAAAGTACTATAGAATGAGAGGCAACTTTGAACTGACTTAAAGATATGTTTGATGGATAAATTTGTTTTAAACACAATTAGCAGCACTAATATAGTGTATGCAGTGATTTCAGAGAATTGAAATGACTGAGATATATTAAACATCTAAAAAATGTCTTCAATAATGTGGACATTGAGCAAAAATCTAAAACTTCAATTCCTGATCATATGTAAAATATGTCTTTTAATTCAGGTCCCACTCCCTCTTTACATAATTTTGTTTAAGAGAATTTAGATTTGTTTTAAGTGTCCTGTAAAAAAAAAATAAATAAATAAAAAGTCCTCTTCAATGCACTGCCATACTGGCATTAATTCAACATGCAAGGTGAAAAATGCTTTAAAATTCATAAATAGTACAATTTTATTCTGAGAATACATTCCTAAACTATCTCAAACATACAAACTCTTCATTCTATGTAAATAATTATAAATCATTTCCTTAAATTCTGCCATAATATGGAATACAAAAACATGCTACTTTGGTGTTAACACTATAATAACAGCAAACAAACATGGCCATGCCTCCTACCTTGAGCTCAGACTCAAGTTTTCTGAACTTCCTGGAGGTTTGTTTCTTTTTCTTTTTGTCTGATTCAGCTTCTTCCTCCGACATATCAAAAGCTGAATTTAACAGACCGAGTCCCGACTTGATGTTCTGTCACACAAATAAGTCACACAAACAACAGTTATAGCATGCAACAACACAACACCAACAACCAAAAACAGCTATACAGATCTGTTATACTAATATGACTATTTCAATAAGTTTCATATGGCTCTTTGGTCTTTAAATTTCCAAAATGTAGAATTGAGTAGGAACTAATTAATCCAAATACTTTCAAAAGAGTTTATTTAGTAATTTTTTTCATCCTGTCTTATAACAATGTGAATAATCAAAAGTTGGGAAAAAAAATTATTTTGCAAATAAAGAACAAGATAGAGATATTTACACATCATATTTCATTAAAAAATATATCAAGACTAAAGAGGCTTTACTGTATGTATCCATGGATTTTTTTTCTTCAAGCCATCACAGTAACATTCCTTGTATATAATATTGCAGAACAGTTAGAATCAGGGAAACCAAATTGGAGCTGACCAAAGAGCCAGTCAATTTTCTATTACATGCATTAGCTACACCACAATGTCTAACTTCTAGCCAGTCAGTATACCTTTAGCTGTGCTACTGCTGGTGTATTTGACTTCTTCCTCTGAGCCTTTGGGGATAGTTTGTTGGCCAGACTGACCGCTTTTGCTGCCCCTCGGAATGTCTTCTTCTGCTCATCTTGTTTCTCCATTTGTTTTTCGAGTTTCTTGGCTTCTTTGGGGTTGTAGTCAGGATCATCTGCAGAGTTTGAAATTACAGCTGGATCAAACACAACAATAGTTTCCTTTTTACTAATGGTACTTGTTTTTTGCTGTATCTAAATATGACTGGACATTTTTCAATTCAGTGCAAGGAAAATGATGGTACCACCTCCTTTTTTTTTATTTAAATAAGGGTAAGAATGATTGGGGTAATTGCTTGAATAATCAATAAGTTTTGTGACACTGCTAGACATTTGAAAGATGGAAATAACCTTCACTGGCCCTCAGACCTAACATGTATAGAAAAGGTTTTGAAATACTCCACATTCACTAAAAATAAAAATTACTGTAAATGGTTGTACCCTTTATTATATAACCCACATTGCAATAACATTTGAATACTGTAGAAGTACTTTTTTCCGCGTGGTATTGATTTAGTACGCTGTGTACATTGTCACAAATTTTCTGCGGAAATTTGTCCCAGTGTACTTAAAGTACATTTAAGGCATATAGTTGCAATTTAAGAAATAATTTTCCACCTGCAGATTGAAAAGGAATTTTTTGATTCCGCCAAATTTTGACCCTGTGGAAAAAAAGTACATATACAGGACCTTAAAAAAATAATGCATACTCTATTTACAATATGCAATGAATTGTGCTTTTCTGTTTTGTATAATTCATCATTTATATCTCCTTACCATCTGTTTGATTTTGTGTCATATTACCGCCAACGTTCCCTCCACTGATAGCTCCGTACGGAGTGCCAGATCGAGGTTCCGAGGAGTGATTTTCGATCCGGTTGTAGATGTCCAGGTTGTCAAAGTTATCTTCCCTGTTTCTTTCATGTTCCTTGAGAATGAAACAATTTGTGGATCAATCCAGAGTACAGAATTAGAAATGCTATGGAAAAAACTAAAATAAATGACTAAAACTCCTGTATGTCAAGACAAATATCGAAACATTTCATGATTTACTGATATGAAGTGATGATCAGAACACTATCTAAATGCATATGTCTCTGACATTCAAATAAAAGCACTGCACTCATTATTATATTTCATCTACTACAGAAAGATCATGTAAACTAAGCTATATAAACATCTTGTGAAATTTTGAAATAAAAATGAAATACTTAATTTTTAATGTATGTGAGCAGCTTTATGAAAAGAAGAAGCCCACAACAGTGAAAGATTAAGAAGAAATAATAATCACACAACTAGCTCGGAGATTGTAGAAAACATGAAACGACAGCAGAAAAAGAACATGAAATTCATATAGGTGTTGCAGATTTTATTTAAATTATTGGTATAAACATCTAGTACTGATTCGAACTTCATAAACTAAAAGAGGTCCAATTAGAAGTCTCTGACGAGAATGTAACTACTGAGGCCTGTTCAACAGAATGAACGTGCGCAAGCACTCGCAAACATTTCTGTTGGAAGGATAAGGAATTTTGGCGAGCGCTCACGAATGTTAGTGCTGTTGAACAGGCCTCTGGTCTTCACTTGTAATTTTTTTTTTTACAAATATATATACATGTGCAGAATTGTGAATCTTGATGTTTTTTTTTTAAACCTATACCAACACTTATGGCAATCAAATCAAAAACTGTAGGTGGAATAGCTAGCATTTTTGAGAAAAAAAAATCAAAGACGACTGTTATGCATTAAAGTAATCAGGGCAACATCATTTATCGTGATGAAAAAAATAATGGTGTAAACCAACTACACTAGAACATAGCGAAGTGTCAGGGATGAATGATTTTGATTCATTATATATGTAGTTCATTATATTCGTTAAGTTCATAAAATGTTTTAAAACTACAGGGAATGAAAATCACTTCGCTATAAGCCTGAATTCATTATAAGCATGTTTGTACATGTAATAAATGTTTTACTGTATTAGTCGCAACAATTTTTATTGCAATTTGTCGGTAAATCCATCTGCAACTATTAATTTTCATGACTGATGAAACATAAGATTCTACAAAAGGACACGTTGAAAAACATTATTTGCTGAGAGAAATATTTGTATAAGTAGAAGAAACTCATAAAACTTATGGTATTTCTTGCACACATATAAACATGGTTTACTGTACATGTATAAAGAAAAGTGTATCTAAGTCTAATTTTATGTACTATAATTTAGTGAAATTAGTTATTAAAACTGAAGGAATAGTAGCATTTGGAACAACTGAAGATTATATATTCTTTTATCAATAATAATGCCACTATCCTTTACTGTCAAATAGAGACTGGAAAATAGAATTATACAGATGAGTCAGTTTTAAAAGTTTTTCATGGAAAGTTTGCATCATCATGGTTAATTACAACCTCTTTATTTTTTGGTTACTACACACTCATGCTTTACCCTGACAAAAAAAATAAAATATGCATTTTAAAAAGATCCATCTCTGTGTAAATCTTCATATAATCACCAAATTAATGATCAAGACTTCAAACAAGTAGCTGTTGATAATAAATAAGGACAGTACGTATTTATAAAGTAAAATTCAGCATTTTATTCATAAATTGGTGAACAACAGAAATGGTGACTTTTGAATCACTATAACCATGGCATGGGGAAGTTCATCAAGCTTCCCTAAAAGAGCTCTTTTTTTCACCAGGCAAGGTGGCACCATGCCCTTTACTTGTTCTAAATTTAAAACATGGGTTTTACTAACATTTTATTTATAGACAAAAGCCTTAAAGAAGAGGCCCCTGGGCCACATTGCTCACCTGAGCACTGTGGCTAGGAAAAGAGCAAAAAGATTTTTCCTATATACTCCTATGAAAAACTTTGATCGTCCATTGTGGCCATACCCTACTCCACGGGGGTCATGATTTGGACAAACTTGAATCTACACCACCTTAGATTGCTTCCATATAAATAAGACCAATCATGGCTTTTCTTGTTCTTGAGATGAAGATTTTTAAAGATTTTTCCTATATATTCCCATGTAAAACTTTGTTTGTGCATTGTGGCCCCACCCTATCCCTGGGGGTCATGATCTAAACAAAACTGAATCTACACTACCTGAGGATGAGTTTCATCTTTCCTGGCCCAGTGGTTCTTGAGAAGAAGATTCTTAAAAGATGCCATTTATTTTTTTCAATAATTTGTAATTATCTCCCCTTGGAGTAGGGCATGGCCCTTCATTTGAACAAACTTGAATCCCCTTCACCCAAGGATATTCTGTGCCAAGTTTGTTTGAAATTGGACCAGTGGTTCTGGAGAAGAAGATAAAATTGTGAAAAGTTAACAAAGACAACGACAGACAACGGACAAATTTCGAACAGAATATAGTAAATAATAAAAGTTGATATTACTTCACACAGAAAAAGGTTAGTTTAGTTCTACACATATCAGAGTTTGTACGGAGATCCAGTAGCTGACAGTCTATATATTAGCATTAGTCATTACGCACCCTTCGATTCGCAGGTTTTTTCTTCTGCAATGTAATGATAAAGATGACAGAGTAAATACCATATAAAATACACCAAAGCAACATAAATCAGCGTGGATACTGTGTATCATATGTGCTTTACATAATCCAGCAGTCAACAAAAGAAGCATCCAGAATATCCATATTTATTTAATAATTTACACATTCATTTACTTTTTCCAGTAGCTCTTGCTTTCAATCAAAAGAATCACAATGAATATACATCTACAACAAATCCTCCATTTTTTAGACAAAACAAGATGTGTTTGAGTGAAGCACAATGATCAACATCTGTGGTAGAAAACTGTAATTTAAATTCAATCTATTTCAACTATAACCTCTACCCTTAACCATGACCTTACTTGAAGTTGTGACCTTGATCTTCATGTTGATCAAAAACTTGTCCTATCACAAACTGAACCTTAAAAAATTCTAAAGATTATCATTTTAGAAACCATCATTAGAGGTATGTTTTACCATATTCTGGGTTTACACAGAGCTTTAATCTTAGTTTTAACCTACATCCTTTTATTCATTAATCATAATAAATATTTAAAACAAAGTGGATAATCAATGTCAAAATAATAGATGCAAATTCAAAAAGATATCCCCTGCTCCAACTCTCTGTTGTTGCAGGTATGAAATGTACAATGTCCTGTTTTTTAATAATCAGTTATCTGACAAAGATTATTCTTTGCTCAATTCTTTCCAGAAAAGGAATGTTAAATTGCAGAGATCTGGTAACTCTGGGCCAATTCATTTTTAAGAGTATTCTAAGTGAAAACAAGATGTGTTTGTGAAACACTGATGCCCCCGTATGGCAGCTTAGGGCAAAGGTTAAAGTTTCTCAAATGCAAGTCAAACTCCCGATCAAGAGATCGAAAATGTTGGTACCCAAAGAAAGGTCTTGTCTCAAGATATATACTTGTGTAAGACGAAAGCCCTAGCACCAACTGTTGAAAAGTTACAGCGAAGGTTAAAGTTTTTTAAAAGTAAGTAAAATGTCAAAGTCAAGGTCAAATGGTGCCCAAGGGAAGGTCTTGTCACAAGTGATATACATTGTCAATGAAATGTGAAAGCCCTAGAACCAAACGTTCAAATGTTATGGTCAAGGTTAAAGTTTTTCCAAAGTAGGTCTAACTCCAAGGTGAAGGTCAAAGGGTCAAAGTTGTTGGTATTTAAACGAAGATCTTGTCACAAGGAATGCACATGTGAAGTATGAAAGTCCTAGCACCAACTGTTTAAAAGTTGTGGTCAAGGTTAAAGTTTTTCAAAAGTAGGTTAAACTCAAAGCTCAAGGTCAAAGGGTCAAAGATGTTGGTATCCAAGGTACCTTTTGTCACAAGGAATACACATGTGAAGTATAAAAACCTACCACTAACTGTTAAAAAGTTATGGCCAAGGTTAAAGTTTTTCAAAATTAAAGTAGATCAAACTCTAAGGTAAAGGTCAAAGTTGTTGGTATCCAGGGGAAGGTCTTTTCAAAAAACATACACATATGAAGTATGAAAGCCCTAGCTCTAACTGTTCAAAAGTTATGGCCAAGGTTAAAGTTTTTTCAAAACTAGATCAAACTCCACGGTCAAGGTTAAAGGGTCAAAGTTGTTGGTATCCAGAGAAAGGTCTTATCACAAGAAATACACGTGAAGTTTGTAAGCCCAAGCACTAATTGTTCAAAAGTTATGGCTAAGGTTAAAGTCTCATAAAATTTTGCAAATGTGGGTCAAACTCCAAGGTCAAGGTCAAAAGGTCAAATATGATGTTAGTAGTTAAGAAAGGACTTGTCACAAGGAATACACATGTGAAATATCAAAGCCATAGATCCAACCAATCAAATGTTACGGGCAAGGTTAAAATTTTTCAAAATTATAGTAGGTGAAACTTCAAGGTCAAGGTCAAAAGGTCAAATTTGTTGGTATCCTAAAAAAGGTCTTGTCGTAAGGAATACACATGTGAAGTATGGAAGCTATAGCACAAACAGGTCAAAAGTTATGGTCAAGGTTAAAGTTTTTTCAAAAGTAGGTCAAACTCCAAGGTCAAGGTCAATGGGTCAAAGGTGTTGGTATCCAAAGAAAGATCTTGTCACAACAATTACATATGTGAAGATTGAAAGCCCAAGCACTAACTGTCAAAAGTTATGGCCAAGGTAAATGTCTCATAAAATTTTGCAAAAGTGGGTCAAACTCCAAGGTCAAGGTCAAAAGGTCAAATATGATGGTACCCAAAGAAAGCTTGTCACAAGGAATACACATGTGGAATATGAAAGAAATAGCTCCAACCAATCAAAAGTTATGGGCAAGGTTAAAGTTTTTGCCAACAGACAGACAGCTAGACAGACGGACAGACGGACCGACAGACAGCTAGAAAGACGGACGGACAGGGCAAAAACTATATGCCCCCGAATCTTTGTTTATGGGGGGCATAAAAATGTAAGTAGTCTGTCCATAATGTGAGTAAATAAAGTACTCTGTCCTAGCTGTGGTAAATAGAGTACTCTTATCCAAGCTGTGGTAAATAAAGTACAGTGGATCTCGTTTATCCGGACGCCTCTGTCCCCAATGAAATCGTCCGGATAAATGAATCGTCCGTATAATTGAATCACATCTCAAAAAGCACTCTCTAAGCATGTATATATGCACATTATTGTTTCAAATGTGACAGCAAAGAAAAAAACTTTTAAATTATATTTTGGTTATTTGTTTTAAAAGCAGTAATTGATTAATGAAAAAATATATTAAAATGTAATTTACACAATATTAAAAAAGAAATGGATGGGCAATTTTATGCCGAGACCTCTTTGGCATGTGACTTCATGGGTTAAGCAAATTTTGATCTACTGTTGTTTTATTTTGCCATATATTATAATTATTAAAGCTCATATGATATGACAGAACTGTTCAGCATCATCATTGAAAATGTTCAAATATAAACTAACCCTGTATATTCCCCGTATATTCATTACACAGGGTTATTATAGAATTAACTGAACACTGCAAGCTAACTCAAACAAAGTGTTAAAAACATTCGTAAACACAAGCCATCTTCATGATTATAAATATTATTTTTTTCTACAGATGCTAAGTTTGAATTTTGATCATTAAAAATACCTTGAAAGACGTAATCAACTTCTGTACGTAACGCAAATTTTATATGTAATGGACGTTTGTAAACGGTAGTACATTAAATAGAGATATTTCTTCAATTATGTACCTTTCTATCCTGTCTTGTGGGGAAAAAAGGGGAAAAAAAGGTTTCAAATACATTTACGTTTTTTAGAAATGGAACATCGTATTTTAAACTAACGCAATCGACATGAAAGAGAGCATAATAAAAATAATTACGAAATCGCTCTTTATTTATTGTTCATTTTATTCACAACTCTCCAAAATTCTCCTGAATTTACTGGTGTATATACGGTTAGCAAGATGATTTTGAACGGATTATTATTTAAATAATGCGCAGTGTCAGCTAAATTCTTTGAGCTTCATAATAAAGATAAACGTGTGATTGAATTGGGGTAAACACACGCTAATTATAGACGCTATTGTTTGTAGGTCACAGGTAACCGCCTTCAAACTGACCGCGTGGCCAATGTTTTTACAACAATTAACACGAATGCAAGATAAGTGTGAAAATGTCGTTTCTTGAAAAATTACCGTCCGGATAAACGAGTCATTTTTCAATGAACTATTATGTTTTGTAGTAGAAATTGACCGTCCGGATACGGAACGCGAATTTCCGGATTAATGAGACAAAATAACATGGAAAAAATCGGTTCCCAAAAAATATCGTCCGGATGGTGAAGCGTCCGGATAAACGCGGCGCCACTGTACTCTGTCCAAGTTCTGGCAATTGAAAGTACTCTGTCTCAGCTGCAGCAAATATAGTATTCTGTCTAAACTGTGGAAAATATAGTACTCTGTCCAAGCTATGGTAAATATAGTACTCTGTTCAAGTTGAGACGAAATAAGAGTACCGGTAGTCTGTTCAAGTTGTGACAAAATAACAGTACTCTGTCCAAGCTATGAAAAAATAACAGTACTCTGTCCAAGTTGTGACAAAATCAGAATAGTCTACTCAAGCTTTGACAAAATCAGAGTACTCTGTCCAACTTGTGACAAAATAAGAGTACTCTGTCCAACTTGTGACAAAATAAGAGTTTCCTGTCCAAGTTGTGACAAATCAATAGTACTCTGTCCAAGTTGTGATAAAATAAGCTCTATGTCCAAGCTAGGACAAAATAAAGAGTACTCTGACCAAGCTAGGACAAAATAAGAGTACTCTGACCAAGTTGTGACAAAATAAGAGTACTCTGCCCAAACTAAGACAAAATAAGAGCACTCTGTCCAAGCTAAGACAAAATAACAGTACTCTGTCCAAGCTAAGACAAAATAACAGTACTCTGTCCAGAATGCTCTGCATAAGTAGCAGTGAAGAGAGAAATTTGATCTAGTTCCATTTTTTGGGATACTTTGGCAAAATGCAGCCTTAAAATTCTCTGGCTTAGTTAAAGCTGAACACGACTCGTAAATAGGCATACGCCATTTTTGATAATACTATCTACAATATCAGCACCAGGGTATACCCTTTGCAATTGTTACACCTGACTGATTTATTGTCGCTTTATCAGCTGGAATGGCGACATGTGTTTGTGCAGGTTACCTTACATTACTTTTGTTTACATTTTATTGCAGTTACGTGTATTTGTGTTTGTTTGTATACTGCACTGACCTGTGTAACTGTTGTAAGTTTCTTTGGTATCTGCTCTCATGCATTAGAACAAGTACATAGTTATTTTTTATCGCTACCGAGTGTTGTGTAACATATGTCCGTCTACACCAGTGACGACTGATTACACTGAACAGTGACTAAGTGAGCAGCTTTATATAGGGGTCCTCAGATATAGCGAGTGAACAATCGAATATGGTGGACAAATTCCTTTTACGAATTGTATTCAGCTTTAACAACAAAATTCTAAATTCACCTGAAAATGAATATGCAGAACTTACAGAGTATACAGAATTTTAAAAAAAAACCTTTCATACTTTGCACTGTATGTGATATGGTGACCATAACATATCATGCATTAAAAAAGAATATATGGTCCATAAAAAAATAAATCAAAATAACAAAATGCCAAAAGAGGTGAATATTTCACATGAAGCAAATATATTCATATAAGGTAATTACAGTAAGTACAAAAATAACACCAAGGTATCCATGATAATTGAGGGAATTTATTTTCTGGTGATAAAACATTCCACCAAGGACAACATGGCAGAAACGACATGATACAGAGGCACATGATGCTTGGCTCAGCCAATCACAGAATGAGTGTGTGTCGCAGATAGTGCCATTGAACCAGAAACATCAAGAAAAAAGAGAAAATCGGAATAAAACCGTCACCGTGTAAAGGTGGACTTTGTTACCTGATTGGATGGAGGATCTGGTTCCTGTGGTTATAATTAGCAGATAAACAAAATTACACAAAAATAACATGGAAATCCCAAAGCTATATATTTGATGAAAAATGGTTCAAATAATTTTCATATTTTTTTTTTTTTTACAAAGGTTTGGTTTATGGAGCGAGTTTAATTTTTGTTTTTCTCTCAGAACAACATAAGCTGAAGCTTGACATGCCACTATGATCTACTAGAGGTGCTGGTTAGGGAGGGGCATGCAGTGACTGGTAACAAGCAGCACACAGTTTGGGAGGACATCACATATGGCACCTGCTCACACGTGTCTGGATTAAGAAACCCCTCCCCTTCTTCTTGTATTCTTTCATATGAGAATTTTTTTTTATTTGGGATGAAATACTATGACAACTGTTTGAAAAATTACTTTACTGGGCATGGGATCAAAATATTTTTCGAGAAAATCTAACACCACTGGTAACAAAGATGTTTACTGTGTTGTCATGGTAACCAGACCTACCCTGATAAGTGTTTCCACGGAAGCGAAGTACTTGCTCCACCAATCCATGCTCTCCAGATCCATATCCTCCTCGTCATCCATGGAGTGCTTCTTCTTCCGTCGAGAATTCTCTTCCGTCTTCTTCTCCTTGACATTTATCTATAAATTTTCAAAAGAATTGAGTTGTTACATCAAATTTTGTTCTCTTGATATACTTTCCAATTACAATCAAAATAGGCAAATCAGGACACAATATTATAGAGACTTTATCCTTTTCCACAATTTCAATAAATAGCAATATATACTGGATTTAAAGAGAGATTTTAGTCAAGCTAAGCAGAATAACCACACAAAGCTTTCAAGGAGGATGAGAACCATAGGAAATATATCAACAAAAGAACTAAGAACACACATGGGTCAAAAACAGAATGTTTGGGGAGAGTGTGTGGAAGACAAAACTTGATTTTCTTCAGTGGAAACTTGTGTCTCTTTTAAAGAGCATCAAGATTTGAAAATTTACCATCTACTTTTTAGACTTTTTCTTTCACAGAATTTCTCTCATTTCATGTATATATCTGTCATTTGAAAACCTGATTTGTCTATATATCATAAAGATGGAAAATATTATTGAACTTGACTAATTAATAGTGAAATAACTAAATGTGATTGGTTATTGACCTCATCACATGAAAACACTAACATAATCCTATGTACATGCTAATCAATTCAGTAGTCATGATATACATCCCATTTGAGACACCATAATCTTCAAAGAACTTTTGATTTTTGTAAAGCAAAATGATCAGAACTGTTAATGATGTATTGGAAATCTGAGTGGGGTATATTTCTTTGCAGAGTCAGGGGTGTGCAATTAGCATCGCCCGACGCCCGGGGCTACCTTTTTGGGGGTTGGGCTTGTGGTTTTCTGCACGGAGGTAGCCCCTTGGGCTAGTAGAAATTAAAACTACACATGTAATACATGAAAAGCACAACCCGAATTTCACTATTTTTTTTTTTTTTGCTATTAAATTCTCAACCAGTGAAAATTTTCCAGGCAACATGCTCCTATTGTCAATAAATCTCCATAATCTTATCCATTTTGTAGTACTACCTGACTTATTTACTTAAAAAACGATCGTTTTTTTCGTAATCCGAATTTCCTCCATTCCTTTGTTTATGGTAAATACATGCAGATATCTCATTAAATTATTTACGATCACTCAATCAATTGAAAGGTAAGTGTTAATTAATTAGCATAAAATATATTTCCAGTGTATTTAATGATTAAAGATGAAAACAAAATGATTTTTCCTTCATTTTACATGAGCTAGTGCAATGATCAGAAAAAGGGAAGATTTAAATTCTTTTCTATTTTTTTATTATAATCATTAATTCATATATGATTAAATTTTACTAGCGAGAATTAAACTTTAATTTTAAAAAGAATGACCTTAGTACCCTGAACTTTTCAATGATTAAATTTTCTTTCAATGTTATAGTTTTTAATATTTGCCTCTATATTTGGGCTAGTAACTTTTTACTTGGGGCTAGTAACTTTATTGCTACCACTTGCCCGTGGGTTATTACTTGAATTTTTTAATTGCACACCCCTGAGAGTAATACTAAAATTAAAGATACAAGATCTTTAAGCCTTAAAAGAAGACAAGAGAGTCCTAAAAGCTGAAAAATGAAATAAATTATCTTTAAGTGGAACAGTGGCCTTTCATGTGGGATGTGTGTATGTGTTTTGTGTTAAAATTACATGAAAAATGCATTAGTGATACTTAATTGTTGACCATTACCTTTTAATGTGCATGCACTACTTACGTAACATGTAGGGACTAATAAATTTTAATGTGAACACAGAAATGGAAATCATTAAAGGCTTGAAAAACTATGAATGATGGGCCTTATGTGCCAGCAGGCATGATGAGGGTTGAAGCAAGCTAATATTATGCATGAAGACTTTGTCTTCATTTGAATGTATCTAATACATATTAAATCTGAATTAACTTTAAAGTAAAGTTTCCAATGCACTACAAATGAAATTTTGCTTTATTCTGAAGAAAATTTTGGTGTAGAAAAAAATCCAGGGTATTTCCAGGTTTCTAGAAGAGGGGTGTGGGAGAGGGTTCAGGAGAGAGAGTTACTCTCTAAGGCAGATGGGAGAGAGAGAGTTACTCTCTAAGGCAGACAGGAGAGAGAGTTACTCTCTAAGTCAGATTTTTATTTATAAATTTGTATCGATCGGGTGGGTGGTTCTGGTATATTCTGGAAGTCAATTTTTAAAAAATTAAGTAAATGAAGCTAGCAGCTCAACTTTTAACAGATGAATAATGAATTTATTTTGTTTGAAAAATATTTTTTTCTGGCAAGCTTTTTTTTCAGTGGGGATCTGGGTGAACAGCACCCGGCCAGTGCACCCCTTTCCTCCAATTAAATCAAAGAATACTTTAAGAAATTCATATGAACTCTGATGGGTCTTATATTTATCATTATATTGAGCTATATGATTACTAGCTACAATAAACATGGATAGTTAAAACATACAGAACTATAAGTTAATGACTTGGTAGTATGGACATGTTCTTGCCTCAACATGCTCTGGCCAGGTGTTTGGAATCGATTCTAGGGAATGTGATGTGAGAAATATTGCATGGAACTACATGTACCACTAGTTTTTCTACTACTGTTGACACTACTACTAAAGCTACTATTACTTCTACCACTACTAGTGCTACTTTGCCTACATGTGACTACAATAAAATGCCCACATGACAACACCTTGACCTTGATATAACACCACTAGTTACCATGTTAATTGTTACAGGAGATTCTTTTTTAATTAGAGGCATGTTTTCATCAAGTTTGATACCCACATCTTCAATTTTCACTCCTCCATCAGGACTTGTAGCTATTATCTTTGGTGCATCTGGATCCTTCCCTGAAAAAATTAAAATAATAATACTTTATGATGACTCTATATGTTATGCAAAGTATAGGTGTATTAAAATTTTCCAAATACATTCTGCTCTATGTATCATGTAAGTGATGCCATAATGTTAGTTTGTGCAAGTATATAACATGTATAAACATAACAAAGAACATGTATGATATCATAAACACATTTTTTAACAAATGAGTACTTCTCGATCTGGCAAAATTTCCAATATGTGAGATTTAACAAATAAAGATGATGAACGAAGTGTTTCGAAGTAACGCAGCAGAGGCAAATTTATATAACCATAAAAATACTTTTATGCATGCCTTCTGTGAACTTTTTAAAATCTAATCCAGCCCCAAGTGCAGCATTAATTTATTTGAATTCTTATATGATTCATAAAAATCAAAATTGAATGCACGTATCTATTTATATTGGTATACAAGCATGTGAATTGTTTTATAGAATTACAATCAGCAATAAGATTATATCAAAATATACTTGTATAATAATAAAATTTGCACTGTTAATAAAAACAAAACTATATCATCTGAAGCAGCCTGCTGAATAATGTATATACATACTGTACACTGAAAAATTACCAGTAGCTCAATTGACCAATATTATAGTAGGAGTATTTGGGAAAAAAAATGATTATAGTAGGGACAATTTAACAAATGACACATAATATTAAGTCACAAAAATTCATCTTTTGGCCAAAAATCAACACAATTTGTTTGAATTTAAGGTCCAACTAGAGCTAACCTAATAGGACTGATACCCCTCAACCCCCCCCCCACTACACTCCCCAATTCCCTGGTAGCATAATTTAAACAGAACACTTCCAATACTAATTAGAGACAATAATACACATTGTCATGTGGACCAAATCATTCTGTTTTCACTGTATGTCAACTATAGATTGTGGTTGGTGGGGGAATGATCTAAATTAAATAAATCTTTCTCAAAAGGCAATAACGTGTTAAATGTGGGTCAGAGCATGAAATGCATGTATCATTGAAATGGCATTCTAAAAGCATTAAAAAATATTTCTGAATAGATAATCTTACAGATTCTCTAAATATGCTAATTTGAATAAGGTACCACTTCAGAACAGATCTAAACAATGGATTAAATTGGAATCACAGGAGGGGGGATACATAATGTCATATGCAGTATTTAAAGCATGTGTTACACTAGATGTCCAGTAATACACCATTTCTTGTTAACCATTGAGATAAGCTGACATAATGCTGAGCTCAACCTTGTGTTAACTGGAGTCTGTGAAGCAAAAAATGGAGGTCAGATGCAGCATTTGAGCATTCATCATACCAAGTATCTATATATGCACCAAATAGTCAAGTTTGCTTTAACATTCCCTGAGCCCTTGAGATAAACCAGAAATTGACCTATAAGCTGAACCGAACCTTGCATGTATGTCCATACAGACAGATCAACAGACAGGCACACTGATTCCAGATGACTTAACCCCCTGCCTTAGGGAAGGAGGGTATAAATAACACTGGTCGAAAATTTTTCAACATACAGTACATGTACATATTCAGGTTAATTCTCTATTTTTCATGCAGAATGGTTTTCAATGACCTTACCAGTTTCTCCCTCTAAAAATTATAGACAGTAATTCACTCAATGTTACTTTTCTAGACACCTCTTTGGTAAAATTCATTATAAACTTTAGGTTCCTAGTATTACTGTAAATCAACTTTTATTCGTGTGCGAGAAATATCCACGAGTTTCACGACCTTCATTAACTTGCGAATATTAATCGGAGCAAAACCTATTTTTTTGTATTTGTAGAAAATGTTTCCTCAATTGTGAAAATTAATTGTTGGGGATTGATTTCAAAGCGACGAATCACGAATAAAAGGTGACACAAATAATAGTTGGTTTACAGTATTGTAATTCAAAAAAAAAAATCTTAAATCATCAAAATAAAGAAATTTTATTAAATTAATTTAGTCAACATTAACAATCAGACTTCAATCATCAACCAGAATCAGGGTATTAAGTAAATTGATAAATATTATCGTTGATTAATCCATTCAACGTCACAATGCAAAACAATGCATTAAAAACAACTTACAACTGATAATCTGGCTAAAAAATAAATATAACAACATCTCAACATTACTCTGTGCAAGTAAAACTTGTGGCCATTAAACCAGGTTACCTGGGAACAGTTTTTGTAGTGCAGCTTTGGCTTTCTTTGTCGTGGGTACATACATAAACTTGTGTATGGAGTTGATGACATGGGTTCCTACCAAGACATAGCGGCCAAAATTTCGACAGTCTACACACCGGATAGTTATTGGTGGGCAGTAGAGTTCATTCTCGGGCAATTCCTATAAATGTTATTTTAGACCTGTTATTTACCAAATACATGTACTTTAAAGTAATGGTACTGTTGTCTATATGGAAAAAAAATTATAAGAAAATAAAAGAGATTAATATACTTACCACATCAAAGTACTTGACAGTAGTTCCAAAGTTTGGATTTTTCTTGTAGTTTTGGATTACAGTTGAGGCAAGAACATGTCCAGCACATTCTATGTCAATCCGTGGCTTATCCACTGATGTCAGTTGTACTCGCTTCAAATCTCTTACCCCCCAGAACAGGACCTGTTGACCAATCAGTTAATATATCAGTAAAATATTAACTGTAAAAAGGCATTAATAATATATTTTTCCACAATGCATCCTTTCAAATAGGAGAACGTTCAGAACAATGTACTTTTGCATAAAGAAATTCCCTTAAAGTAAGTGTTCGTTTGCTCCCTCCAAACTTTTAGATAAGTAAAATTTGACTGAAATGATCTTCAACCTGCTGTCCATGTCACACTGGTCACAACCAAACAAACCAGAGGTACTGTGAGCACTGAACTCACAAAATGATACCCCAGCTCCCATATAATGGCAAAGTCCATGTTTTGCTATGGAAAACCCCAAATATCTGTCCAATCAAAATGTAAAATAGGAGGTGCACAATGGCATTATGTAATAAAGATTCTGTGAAAGGCTCATTAAATTTCATTCAGTGGTATAGTCCAAAAGGAGTTGCAGATAAGGGATGGCTACCCCCAAACATAACAAACATACAGACATACCCCCATCACTATATACCCCACCTCCCCACTGTTTCAAGTGGGGGTAAAAAAAAGAGATGTATATTTAATTAAGATCTAAAATAAGTATACTACAGTATATAATCTAGAGATTAGTAGGGGCCTACCTCTATTCTGTGTTTACTAAGGATTGGTCGGATTCCTTTAGGGACAGGCATGACAGGACCTCTATCTTTCTCCCCTGTCGGAAGTTCTAAGGGAGGTAACTCCTGTCCTGTCATCTCACCAAAGGTAGCTAACTGTAAAAATATATACAATTCATGTGACAATATTCTGGATAACAATTGCCTAAAAAATCTATTAAGGTACATACATAGATAAACTTTGTATCAATGTCCATTTACTCTAACACCATGAGCACACAAGCTAACACACACACATACAATACATGCAGGGTATCTCTCACATTCATGCACAATTCCTCACACAAAATCACAGTGCTAATTAAATTGTAATGATAATGAAGTAAATTTAAAAAAAAAAGACTAATCATTTTTTATATCATTACACAATAAGCTTTTCTATTTCAATCAAATTTTTCAACAATTTTCATACAAATTTATCTACACATCTATATCAAGAAATAATTCAAAGTAACTGATGCAATACTCTGAGTACACAAGATAAAAAATACATAATGTGATTAAAAAAATGTGCCTCAAATTGTTTAAAAAATTAAAGAATTATGGTAATATTGAAATATTTGACATGGTTATAGGAATTAGTTTCTAAAGGTAGTTTCCAATTGTTTAGGTTGAAGATTTCACGGAAAATATTATTTCCTATGTCCAAATTTTGATCATGAGCAACTGTGTGTAATCTAAAGAAAACAGGAAAGTTTTCTTCTCATGCATGGTGGGAAGATGTGCAAGGATCTTATCTTTGAAGTGGTCCATAAAACAAGTATAAAAAGAATTTCCTTCATTTGGTGCTTACTTAAATATGGGGGTTACTGTAAAATGATTAGAAGGCAAAGAAGAAAAAAATATTTCAAATTAAAATTATTATTAAAAGACTGAAATGCTATAGAAACATATACATCCCTGTTATGTGAACCTAAGTCAAAACTTGAGAGTAAAAACCCATCACCCATATTGTAATAAAACTTTGCACACTGCACATATAGTTCTCTTAAACTCAATACACAGTTGTGTCATTCTTTTAAATACGGTTATTCACATTTTAACTTTCCAGAATTCGCAACCCTTTTAAGAAGCAATGTGAATTCATGTGAGATTACAGGGTAATAAAACTTTAAAATTTTCTAAATTTTGCGTGTGTTTGATTATAATCAAGGTCTATTTTTCTTAAGAGCACAGTATACATGCAAACTACAATTTGATTTTCTACACATGTATTAACTGTATGACATTTCCCTCATGATGTAAACTTCTATATCAGGGAGATGCTATATACACATTTCCTTTTTCATGGGTATATCTTCCGTGAAAACTACATCATTAGCTACCATTTCTTTTTATTGTTTCTTTGAAAAACTGTTTCTGAGGATTGACAATCCTTAAAAAAACAGCAGTGGAAATAGGAGACCATTTAATAGTACCAGAAATACTAGTAAAGTTAACTAATAATATTGTGGTTACATCATGTGATATAACTGGGTTGTCCTTCTTTTGCTATTGTTATCAATGATGCTTTGATGATCTATTGCAATAGAAGTCATAATGTAGCATTTGAATTGTTTTGACTTCAACATATTGCAGTCTTAGTGTATATTTGTATATAACTAGCTAGTAAACAGAATTACACTGTAATCATAGCCATGTATACTAAATTCCATACTGCTATCAATACTTTCATGTATATAACATATACTGCAATGTAACTAGTGCATGAAATAGATGCAACTTCTGTAGCATGCATTTAGCAGATCATCCATAGATGCACCATGTGCAAAGTTTGGTTTCTCAATCATCTGTGTTTTTCAAGGAACATCCTTAAACTCTGCCTTCAATCTCTTGAATCAACAAACAGACAGACAGACAAATAAACATTGTAATTCCAGCGTACCCCTGCAAACTTCGTTATTAGGATAGAATAAGTGTGTAACATTTTATATTTTTACTTTTACTTTGTTATAGTGCTAAAATTAGTGTCTAATATTTTATTTCTCTACCATTAGATTATACATCTTCTGAAATACAAATAATCATCTATCCATCTACAGAAAAGCAAAATAGGACAATTAAAGCTGAGGATCTACAAGCAAAGTGCAAGCAGCTGAGTAGGTCATGTGACCTCCCAGTGACCAGAGTGAGGCTATACCAGATTTGGTTTCCTTGCATACGGTGGTGTAAGATGAGCACTGCGCAGGTCCTTCTCCTCAAAGGGATGCTACAATTGGTCATTACAATGTGTAAAGAGGGAAGGCTAGGCTTCTACAAAGTCAGCTTTATATCAAGCTAAAAATGGTGGCATTTACCAAACCAATAACAGCTAGAGGTCTGAACACAACAGCTTTACAAAATATAACTTAACTTTTTCATTAAATCTAAATAGTATGCATTATCTTGGAATGCATTCTCATTATATGAAAACTGTTTTTCTTCAGTTATTTCCTCACTCAAATTTTGAATTTACAAGGAGGCTAATAAAGGATAAGGTGAAGTAAGAGCCAAATTCAACCTTATTCTCTTATAATTATATATATATCTTACGGATTCAGTCTTCAAAATTTCCATGTTTCATAATTCCATTTATTAGTTTGCATTGCACATAACTATGAAATAAACTGTAAAGCAACATGCAATCATGTGCTTCGATCCATTAAGGTTAATGGTCAAATGGGACAAAAATGTGCACAGAATGCAAAACCATTCAGCATTAGCTGTCCAAGAAAAGGGTCAGTAATGTGTAACATTGAACTTTTTTATCAGCTTTCCATAACAATAAATTATACATGCTGGATTGAAATGATGTGCCTTTTGGAAGCAAAAATGACAAATAATAAAGCTGCTTGTTCTTACCAAACCTTACCCTTATCTATTTTTGCATATAAATTGTCTAAGTCATACTGTAACTCAATAAAAAATTCACTGAGGTACCTCTGTACCAAATGATAATAATTCTACATAAACATATGACATGGGAAAAAGCACAGACAAAACAAACAAAAACAAACATACCTGCAGCAATTCAAAGCAGGCAAGAAGCTGGCCAGCCTTGTCTGGTCCCCGATAAATATCCCACCATTCCAGTTTGGGAGGAAATTTGGGCATATCATATTTCTCATTTTTCATCTTCACCACTGGTTTGGCCATTGCTCTTCCTATGAATTCTGACTTGCCCTGAGGAGAGATTGCAATAACTATGTATTATTTCCCTTTATAGAGATTTACATGTTTGAATGAAAGCTATTGCTCTGAAACCTGCTCGTACATATCAGATTCTTTAAAAAGTTTCCTAAATCTTGCAGTCTTTGACTAAACTTGTGTTCCTAAGAGAATCCAAACCAGTCACAGTAGCTTAGTGGTTGGCCCCCTGCTTCGTGATTGGGAGGCCCGGGTTCGATTCTTGAACGCCACACCGAGTCAAACATAAAATGTAAACATAAGTAGTGACTACTTCCTCGCCAAGTGCTCAGCACTAGAAGTGAAAGTTATGGGTCTCTCAGATGAGACATTAAAAACCAAAGTCCTGTATCACAGTAGGTGTTGGCACAATAAAGAACCCTCACTGCTCAATGGCTCTGCGTGCCAAGTATAGGACTAAATTTGAAGCCCTTCACTAGCATACATGGACATTTATATATGAGGGAAAATTTTTAAATTTGACGTTAAACAACATACAATCAATCAATCAATCTATAGAATCCATACCACTTTGTCCTGATCAAACACCTCGATGATAATCAGAGGAGGGTTGTCAACAATCTCGTTCACCTGACCATAAACCGTGACCTCATTAATGATCAGCATCTCATCCCACGTAGGACTGAGGGTCTCCTCAATAACCTGGGTACACACACTCTGATCTCCAAACGCTACCCTGGCAAAAGGATCTGACAACCCTGAGGCATCTGAACCAATCAGACTGCGAGCCTGGTACATGTGACATCGTACTTGGAATGACTCAGAATCTTATTAAATAAAAATAATTAGAAATACCCTCAATAACATAACTCAAACTGAATTCAAGAAATGATGAAAATGCAGATTCAGGAGGTTTATAATAGTATGATTTTAATGCACAAAGTTTTAAAAGTTATTACGATAAAACCAGACTAGACTGAATTTCTTGGCACAAAACTCTTGATCATTATATCCATTATTATCTGTATCAAAATTAGTTTAACAAAGAAATATATAACTCCCTTACAACCAGAAATTCTCACATCTTTGTTAAAAAAAAAGGTCCTTACCACTGTAGTGTATGAATTCTGGGGGTACAGAGTGGGGTTTGTTGGCTATCTGCAGCAGTCTACTCTCTTCATATCCTTTAGGCAGTCCACTCAGGAAGTCCTTCTTATGTTTACTGAGTCCCAACCATAAGTAAACCTGTAGTTTGGCCTGAATCCCCCACCCAGACTGACCAGTGGCCTTCTTTCCAGGCAACTAAATTTAGAATCATTTGCTGAATACTTCTTCACATTTAGATTATATATATTTTAGAGTCATAAAGCTGTACATTGTTCATTGTGCAATACAATGGCCTCAAAATATTTTACATCCTTTTGACAGTTGCCAAAAAAAAATTACCCTTAGGAGCAGAAGTTGTAGTTTGCCACAGAATTTGCCTCGTTCTTCCTCAACAATAGAGTAGATGATCTCACGAGCAGGAACCCGCTGGTAGGCAATCCTTTTGTTGACACTGATCATCCAGATGAACACATCTGGTAGGGCATGTTGTGGCTACAATGGCAAAATAGAAATACTGACCTTACATTTCATTAAATCCTAAGAAACTGATGACAAATTTTTTCATCTACATAAATTTCTATGACTAAGAATACCTCATGAGATAATGATTTGAGTTTTTGAAGATATTGACTGGCTACTTTCAGTTTCTCTTTCAGGTTGTGTTTTGATGTGGTGGTTTTCATTGTTCTGGCGGATGTGGATAAGTGGTCCTGCAAATTATTTACATCAATTTTATTTCTAATCCATCAATATTTGCATTAGCCATAACCAACGGCAATGGAAACACTATTGGAGTTTTGTAACTGTCAATTTTTTAACATTTTACATGCAGTAGAACTTTTCTTATCTGGACAATACTGGTTCCATAGAAAGTGCCCAGATTAGACAACGTTCCGGATTAGACAACATTTTAATCAATTCAATTTACTGAAAGGGACTTAAAGTTTTCATTGTATTAGGCAAGATTCTGGAATATACAACATCCGGATTAGACAAGTTTCACTGTATATGACTTTCAAAAATCTACACAATTTTTCCCAACAATAGACTGACCATCTCTCTGATGAGTAACTTTTGTCGCTCCTTATCTAACTTCGTTTTTCCAGAAGCCTGGGTTCCCTTCACAATGCTGACAAATTTAGAACAAGAAGATCCCAGTTCTTCAAAAACTCCTCTCATTCTTTTCTCTGGGAATGGCTGTTCCTGAATGATCATTTCATGAACCTCAGATATTCCATCATCCTGGAAAAGAAAAAAAATGTTATTAAATCACATCATAATTTAATAAATTTATTTTTAAAAATAATTCTCTGATTTAGTCACCAAATTTAATATTGAAATAATCTTGTTTAAACTGAACATCAAAATTTTATCTACGTACACCGACAACCAAAATTTTAAATACTGTAGAGGTACATTTTTTTGCATTGGGTTAATATATGCTACATTACTTAACACAGTCACAAATTTTTCCAGTTAAAATGCTATTTAGAATACAACGGCAATCCATAAAATCTGTGTAGTTTCAAACCTGCAGACTGAGCAGAAATTGTGATTCCATGTAACCCTGAGAAAAAAGTACATTTCCAGTATGCATTCTGAAACCCAAAATGTTACCTATGTACTCAGTTATATTTTTTATCTTACAAACTGACCAGTTTCTCTATGATTCTGTCCACTATATTAGAGTTGTACATTCTCCTTCTGTGGTCCTCTGTCAGGTGTTTGATATACACACACGGCTTATCCTCATAGTACGGTAAGTTGTAGTATACTCTGTCCTTTGTGGAGGGTCGCTGAGTGGGGGTGGTGCTCTTCCATTTTGGGGTATCCACAGCTACTTCACTCAGAAGGGGGGCATCATCAGCTGTATCCTCCTCCTCAGATTCCTCCTCACTAGAACTACTGCTGCTTCTCTTAGTGGGGGGATTATACCCATCCAACACATTGCCTGCATTTCCTACAAAGGAAAGGAAATACAGTTGTACTTCGGTATCTCGAACACTGATTTCCCAAATACCATTGATATGTTGAAGTGAATTGGAAGTCCCAACCCCTCATTCTTTAAGTATTTTACCCCGGATATCTCAAACCCTCGGATATCTTGAAGTATTTTTTCGGTCCCATTGAGTTTGTAGATAACGAGGTTTGACTGTATGCTCCTTAATGTTGTACCATTACAGTGAAAAGGAGTATTCTACTTAAGTATAGTAGTGTGGTCCCTTTTTACACCCTTGGTTTACCGGTTAAATATTAGCATACAGTTTTTTGATTGTTTTCATTGTGTATAACGAAGTATTTCTAATTAAAACATTGTGTATTTATAATGAATAATTAAACATATCAAAAAATACAAGCCTATTTTTAACACCTATCGCACTAAAAAATGCCGGAACATTTTCCCCCGATCAGACTACGGTTTCTCTATTACACGGAAATGGGCGGAGACATTTAGATTAGATACTATAAAAAGAAGATCTTGGAGTTATATTTTTCGTTCAAAGACGAATTATATGTTCAAGATTCACAATCAATTACAAATACAATTTTCTATTTACAAAACTTTGGCAATAAAAGCTGTAACAAGATGAACCAAACAAGTCCATGCTGATCGATATAAAACCGAGTACGTTTCAAGTGAGAACTAGCACGTTTACTGGGGGCATTTACCCGTAACGATACAAATCCACGTGGCTTGCTATGATTCTAAACAGGTCATAAAGAGGTTAATCGCATGTAAATGAAGTCAACGAAGAGATTCAAAATCATAATACTTTTAATTAGAAAACATAGAGCACAAGGTTGTTCAACAAAGATATTTTCACTCAACCTTTACAGATATAATATACACATTATATTTCAAACTCGACTCTGAACAAACCTGTGCTCGGTGTTTACGAAAGCTTTGAAGTGTGTACCTGTCACTGATTTCTTCTGATATTCATGAAAATCAAAGGACCCTACCTTCAACGCGCAGCTTCGTATGCTGCCTATATCTATTGTTTGACATTCTTAGATGATGATTCAAATAATAAAGACATTAGTTAATAATAAAATTTAATTTTTAAAAATTCTAAAAAATGTTCGAAATTTGACGAGTAACCGGGGACCACAGATAAGCCTTATTGACACTTGTTCTTTGCATACAAGAGGAAAGTCAATCTTAGGTCCACTAGAAGTACATAAAAGACTTTGCTAGTTTGTCAAAAGGATATACAGACATTCAAGTGTGAATTTACACATAAATTTAACTGAAGATAAATGACATTTTAAAAGTGATTAAATTTGAATTAAGACTGCAACTGGTTATGTGTTCCTTGATTTTTTCTTTTCTTTTTTTTCCCCTTTGGGAGGTGAGGGATATTGTGAAAACTTCAAAGATTAAGATTACTTAAGTGAAAAAAAACAAACGCAAACTAAAATTTGTGATTTATTTGATAATATGAAAGAAAAAGTGAGCAAGCTCACATACCCCACGCTTCCCCAAAACTCGACAATGCAACACGTAATGAATGGCACAGTGCATTTTAAATACACAGTATAATTCAAAAAAGGGGTATTACTTGCAAAAAATCATCACATCAAAACTTCTTGCATATAAGGACATTCAAATCTTTGTATGTTACAAATTTAACTGGGCTGAAGTTTCTAGATAAATAATGGAATCAAAATTTCTTGGTAATTTACAAATCTATACATTATTCTGAAATACCTACAAAGTTTCAGGAAATTCAGTGCCGGAATTATGCTGACAAACTGTTATTTAAATTCCTCAGTGATTTCGATTTGTTAATGAGTGTAAGTCCATGTCCAACACATGACAGTTTACACATTTAAATAATTGATGGAAACAAAATTATGATGTAGTCATATGAATCTGTTTATATACTGTACTTATGAAATTATTTAAGGCAAAGCACACCAATTTGAAGAAGGGGGGGGGGGGGGGGGGGGGGGAAGAGAGAACTATCGAAGATGGTGTGTGTGTGAGTGTGTGTTTGTGTTAAACCATTAATATTTTGATCTCAAAATCAATAGGGGTCTTTTAAGGTCATAAAATATTTCACATAGAATTTCATTATAAAAAGCTGATTCCAGTGGAGTTTCTTATTACCTAGCTGGAAAGTTTCTTCAATAAAAGGCAAAACTCTTAAGCCAAAAATAATGGAATCGGAATTTCCTGGTAATATGCACATCTACACACTGTGTACTAAATATCTGCAAAGTTTGTCCAAATTCTGTGCAGCGGTTTAAGAGGAGTTGTGCTGACAAACTGTTCATCTCTATATTCAAGATATGGCCAAAAACCTAAGTTGAAAAGTGCCGAAATTCCCAGAAAAAATAATGGAATCAGAATTTCCTGGTAATATGCACATCTACACACTGTGTACTAAATATCTGCAAAGTTTGACCAAATTCTGTGCATTGGTTTATGAGGAGTTGCGCTGACAAACTGTTCATCTCCATATTCAAGATATGGCCAAAAATCTAAGTTGAAAAGTGCCGAAATTCTGAGAAAAAATAAAGGAATCGGAATTTCCTGGTAATATGCACATCTACACATTGTGTCCTAAATATCTGCAAAGTTTGACGAAATTCTGTGCAGCAGTTTATGAGGAGTTGCGCTGACAAAAAAACAGGACTGACGGACTGACTGACTGACACACTGACTGACTGACGGACGGGTCAAAAACATTATACCTCACGCAACTTGTTGCGTGGGGTATAATAAAGACTTGAACATTTATTTTATCTATATGTCTATAATACATAATTTGCAGCAGCTTTGCAATTTCACACTTACCCATGCTCATTTCAAAATGAACAGGCTTTTCTCCCAGCCTTCTATCAATCATGGAGGCTTCCATAAAACAGCCAAACAGGAAGAACTCGTCAAGTTTTCCAGCTGCATTCTAACATAAATAAACATTTGAAACTTTTTTAACATACAGAATGAAAGTCAATCTCACAGTTACTCTGGACAGACCATAGCTTTATTTTTGATTGTTACTGAATTCATACTGAATCTTATTTATAAATAAATACTGTAAATCACTTTTTATTCCTCAATTAATTTTTGCGTAAATACGCAAGACCACCTGCTCACAAAAATTTAATTCTCACATTTTTTATGTACCGGTAAGTAAAGATTATTTAATACAAAATCTAAATTTGAGAAGATTATGTCTTGCTCATGAATAGCAAATGACAAACTTGTGAAATAAGTAGTTGCAAACATTTGGTGATCTACAGCACATTTGTCAAGGATCCCCTAATTTTTATTTGCAGTGGGGAGGAAAAACTAAGATTCAAACATCAGTGACCTCTGAAACGGACAGGTGCAGATTAACTAAAATTAATTTGTCATAGATCCCTATTTTTATTTCCTGGGGAGAGGGCACTAGGATAGAACTGACCTCTGGAATGGGCAGGGCAGTGCACACCTCCACTGTGGCAGGTCCTCCTAAGTCAGCACTCTCAATGACTTCTGTCCTCAGAGAAATCAACATGCGCCCCCTGTATGACACCCCCTCACCAAGTCCATCGTTCAGATGCTGGTTTTCATTCAGCAGACTGTATTGTCTAGTGGATCCATATAGATTCACCCAACAGGGACCATATGTTGGGAGGAAACCTGAGTTACAGAGGAGAGTCCATTTTAAAATTCTGCATTCTGTTTTTTTTTACTTATTTACTCCACAAAAAAGAGGAGTTAAAGTTAAAATATTGCATCATAAAATAACATCCCTAATGCTTTTTTCCAAAGAAAAATAAAGTTGTCTGTCTCTCAAATTTTTACCCTTTTCCCCTTCATTGGAGATTTTGGCAATATCGATGTAGTGTGTTCCTATCACATCATCATTCACTTTGTCTTTGTCCCTAAGTTGTATCTGTATCCTCCTACACAGTGGAGGAAACATCTCTGTGAAGATGATCTGTTCATTCCACTCCGGCTCATAACAACCCTTCTTTACTGAGGTTTTTCCCTACAATACATCAAGCATCACTCAAAAAGACTCTCTCATGAAAAAAACATTTTTCAAAGAAACATGTATTGGATAATGTTTTGAGCTTACAATTTCTAGGACAGAAAAAATCCATCTCCAAGACAAAAAATATATGCTTTAATATCTTTTTCTTTGAAAATCTAAGCATCTCTGCACTCTCTAAACTCTCTAGAAATTATTGTTCATCCAAATTTCAAGCAAAATAAAGTGCATACCTGATGCCCAGCAAAGGATACATTGACATATGGATCCACTAGATCTTTGCTTTCTCCTGTGAAGGCTTTTTTGACATTTGCCATAATACCAGTGTTCATCTTTGGCAGACCCTCTGCTTTGTATACATTGATGCAGAACTTGGCTCTCTGTCTGTCTGCTGGCACACCCTCAGGTAAAAGTAGGTTCCTGTAATATACAACTTAATACTTATATTTTGTGTGACATTGGCTCACAAACCTTGGTATTATATAATCAATTTGCAATAATTCCAAAGGAATACAGCAAGGAAGTTTCCTAAAAGAAGTTTACTTTGTGTTAACTTGTTACATTTTATTTCAATATTTAATTACCCTTCAATATCATCATCATCTTGCTCCATTTTTGGTGGAACCTTCAAAAAAAAAATCTGTTGTTTTAGACTTTCAGCTCATTTTTCTGCCAGCTTTTTAAAAATTTCACATTCTATCAAATCTATCAACTATTTTTGTTTAATTTGTTAATCATGTTACCTTGACTGAATCACCTTTGCCCACCACAGCAATGTCACATTTCAGGTAACCTTTGACCCCTCCATTAATGTCATCTGGGTCAGTTAGCATTGCCCACTTGTGATAAAATTGGTGATCTATTAAAAAATTTTATGTTAATCAATAATTTTTTTACTTTTTCAAAATCAATAAAAAAAAAATATATATATTTATATTTTCTAAAATTTCCATTAAAGAAAATGTATTTTTCTCAATCTTATATAAAAAAGAAGACATTATTAACAGACACTCAATTTGCTGCTTTATAAATATTTCATGGAAACATCTTTTTATTCTTATTGCAATGCCCTTTAAAACATTGATGATCAAAGACTTTTTTCTTATCTTTCATTGCTAAGTTGTCAAATCTGTGACAATTAACATTGATTTTGTAGGGAATTGTAGCTACAGATGAATATAATCACGAAATATTAAAGACAGGAAATTTTTAAGTGATAAGCTGATCAATATAATAATATATGGTGCAATATTTAGAAAGAAAGTTCTACAATCAATAAATATTTGACGTATAGAAATACATGAATATTGTGTCAGGAATATATAAAAAAAAAAAAATATTTAAGGTGATGAAGAAGAAAAAATCCACATGTGACCCAAGAGATAAATATGTAAAAGATTCAAAAACCTATAAAGATACATGTACATGTATTATATAAGTTATTGCTATAAGACTGCAAGATTTATTTGATTACAATATGAGAAAAGGGCAAAAAGTATATGTCCAAAAGCCAGCATTTGCATATGGAATATTGAAAGTATTCAAATAAAAAAAAATACTAGTAATGGAAATTGGTACAAGTATAACATTAGTCACCAGTAATACTGATTGATGAAATCCTGAGAAAGTTATACCTTGATGACTGTGTGGCAATCTCCTTATATGCTTATACATAAAATTCCAATTACTCTGACTAGACTCAACTTCATAAAACAACTTCTTTTTTTAAACCAAATAAAGAAAGGAACAAAACAAAAATCTCAAGACCTAAATGTCTTTTTCTCTCTGTTCCACATAAATCCTAACGAATACCTTGTGACCCTGAGCACATGACCTTTGAATCAAGGTCATAAACTAAAAAGTAGACAGAATATTCATGGAATCTGAATAAGTTTGACATTGTTGCAACATCCAATCACATGTCAATAGTAACCTTAATTTGGGGACAAGGCCTCAAATCAAACTAACATATTTCAGATCACAAGATTTACATCAAATGACACCTGAGCCTAATTGACATGGAAGTCATGAACTGAAGTTAAACTCATACAATTATCATCTGAATGAGCCTGGTTCATTCACAAAACCAATTACCCAAGTTAAGAAAATGAACTGGAAATGAAATCAGAGTATTTATTGTCAAGTAGAATCAACCTCAGAACCCCTAGACAATAGAAGAAAATGGATGTACTTTCACTGTCCCAAGGAAAGACTATCTGGATTGATCACGCTGAACTCTGGGTGTCTGACAGTAGATACAAGTAATGTATCCCAAGACAAATTACCTACAAGAAAATAATCCAATTGCTCTAGGTGATAACTTAATTTTCTCAACTTCTTCTGCTTTTTGTGATACACTACTTAGCAATTTGACCAACTGTGACTAATATTTTTTCATTCTTGTAGTGCTGAAGAGGACATATGTAACATGTGACTGTTCAAGACAGGTATGTATAATGGAGAGAAAATAAAGCACAGAAAACAAAAAGGCAAAACTTGTAATTGTTGGGTCCTAAACCTTAGTGTAAGAAAAGCATTTTTTCTCTGAATCAGTTATTTTCTAAGTTTGCCATTCATCTGAAATAAAGAGACTCACTACAGAGACAATTTTACCTCCTTGAAGCAAGATGTACAATTTTTATGGATAGGAAATATAATTTCAAGCACTGAGTCAATGAAGTTATCTGTTACTTTTTTTTTTCATTAATAACTCTGAATCAATCATTATGATATAAAAGATATTATTACATTGGGATAAATTGGCATAATATTGCAAGGATTCTGTCAGCTGCCATATTTCAAAGAAATTATTTTTTTTAAAGCTATTTGTCAAGGTTCAAAGACAAACAACCAATGATGGAGTTAAAATATAGCATGTCAATTCACAATCTCAGATGAAACCTCCAGAGACTGAATAACACTGAAGAACTGTCAACAGAAGTCTACAGACCTCTATTATGCCACAATTGCCTTGTACCTTAATTGACAAATCTCATATAAAGTCGACCAGAATGCAGAGAGTTACTGTCTTTTTTTTATATATAAATAAGAGGATTACTCAAAAGTCAAGGTCAAGATGATTATCTTTGGCTTCACGATCTAAGGGCAAGTCAAAAATCAATCTAAAGTTTTAGGATTAGTAATTGCAGATGAAAGACTAAGATTAACACTGCATCATTCTCGATTCTAGTTGAGATTCTATTATAGAGGAAAATGTATTTAAATCACACAATAAAAACTACATTTATTCATGAAATATCTTAAAATATTAAGTGCTTTGACATTGTTTTCTCAGATTTCAAATGCACTAATATGGTTAATAAAAATAATATTTATTCATGAAATGTCTAAGTACTTTGACATCATTTCCTCAGATTTCTAATGCACTAATAATGGTTACCTCAGTACTATACATGTTAGACTATTAGCTTATGGATAAAATGGTCTATTAATACTTTTTCACATTAATCTGTCTGTAAATAAGAAATAAGCAATATGCATATGCAAGCAGTCTAATAGATTACCAAAAATATTTTTGTTACTGTAACATGTGTTTCTTTTTTTGTTTGTCTGTTTGTTTTTGTTCTTTTTTTACCTAGCTTGTAAAAAATTAAACATTTGTTTTTGCTGGCTATATACAACATGGAGGGGGGCATTTATATTTCTATGACAACCATGCTTGACAACAATGGTGGAGTAGATGCGGTACCTGTTGCAGCATACACAGTGCCTACATCCAGTTTGTAGTTTCCTAGAGGCTTGTTGGATCTTAGGAGACGTCCAGACTGACAAACCTACAGACAGCATGGACACATAAGTAAGAGAAAAAGCAGCCACCACATACAAAATGGTATGGTGGCGCCACCATACAGTTAAAGCCATTCATGCATAAAGGGTCCACTACATCTGGAATCATCAGAGGCGTGGAGGTAATGTGGTAGGACGTTCTTTGTTGGAAGAGATAAAACAAACAGAGCAACACTGACAAATATGAATACAATTGGCAAGAAAGTATTATAGGAATATTGTAATTACACTACAAAATCATCTGTAAAGAAATAAATTTTTGAAAAGTGCATTTAACTCAATAAAAAAAGAAGAGAAAAAAATAATTTTGAATGCTTGTTCTATAATGCACTACATGTAAATTATCGGGTTTTTTTTTTAGATGAAATAAATTAATTTCATCTCTTAAAATCACCATGCTTATTCATACAAGTATGCTTTTAATCAGACTAGCTGCCTTATATGTACAAATGATTTTCTTTTCCTTTTTGGTAAAGGGAGGGTTTTTTTTACAAGTATGCATAGTGCATTCCATCATTTCGTAATTAGGAAATGGTCGATTATATTCTTCTTAATGATGAAGCTTTACTGGCAATTTCCTAGTTAATGGTACTGAAAGAACCAATTAATTAGTGAATTAGAGACTTTGACAGGCTATATATTGAGAGAATGTCAAATGTTATGCACATTTTCTATTAACTAATTATTTTACATCAGTAGAAGAGGTATGCTAGCTAAGAACCTATGAAACCCAGAATATAATACATCATGTTGTGTAGATACTGTTTGAAAGTTTTTCATTTTGCAAATGACATATTAATTAGATCTGTATATCTCCATGTCATTTTACCATATCCACATGTCATTAACAGTTAGATCTTAAACAAATAATTTACATGGAAATGAACATTCTAAATTTTTGCAATTTTGCTAAAAATTTCTGGTTCAAAAATATGAAGGAGAGTAAAATCCAATATAAAAAGGAGTAGCTTGATTATAAATGCTTGCAATTTCTAAAACTATTCCTTTTTTGTTCCCACATTGCATGATTTACTGCCCTAAAAGAAGATGAATTGGCAAATCAATATAGGATTACACATAACATACACAACATGAGCAAAATCGTAAAAATCCTCATATTTTCCATCCTCAAATCTCCAGGAAATTCTCATTAATGTTAACAAAGTATTGATCATTGTTCATGCTCATGCACTTTTAAATAATAAACAAAAAACAAGCTTCCTTAATCTTTTAAGACTCTGAAACATGAGGATCTTTATCCACAGCGAGCCATCATGCTCCCAAAGAAACATGCTAATGGGAAACTTAATTGAAAAAAATAACGCTCTACCATTCTGTAGATAAACAGTTGCAACATCTATCTTGAAAAATCCCACAATTGTGCCGGCACGCAAGAAGTTACGTGAATGTAGGACCTAGTGTACAAATAGCATTCATTTCATATGTATACTTTTACATCATAAGAATCAATCAAAGATTTAATATATGATTGCCCCCGAAAAGTTTAAATGTCGATCAGTCTAAAGATGAGAAATTTATTTTTTGATAAACTATAAGCTGACAAAATGTACTGTTAATTGATATAATACATATTTTCATCATTTTGTTATACATCGAGAATCTCACTCTGATATAAATCGTTAATAGAAGAATGTCTTCTCTGATAGTATCAATTTCTTTACTTTCATTTCTGGCAATTTTGACACATTAACATTCTTCAAAAGTGCAAAGAAACAATTTCCACAGAGAAACATGAATTTCTCTGTTTCTTTTTTGAAAAAATACTTGTTTATTTTTCTTCAAAACTTCAAAATCTAAAGAAAAATATTGATTATGTCTGCTAAAATGTCATGAAATATATGTAAGTCACTTTAAAATTACTTCTATTTTTTTATATTCACTTTTAAACTATATATAGAATTGAATTTCAATAAAAACAAGAGGCCCAAGGGCCTTAACGGTCACCTGAGTACAATACAACAATTTAGAGGATCCATAAACTGATAAATGAAGCTTTGTTGCCCAAAAGCAAGAAAAATAGTCTGATTAGCATCAACAAAATAATTGGTCTAGTATCTATCTGCCATGCAGACTATTAACAAAATGTCTATTATTTAACCCCATATTATTACTTCTCACAATGGCCTCTCTTGGCCTTTGAAGAACATTTAAAAAGATAAGTTATTTTTGTCTCATTTTTATTCATCTATTATTTCCAAGTCATTAAAACTATGAAAGTACTTTTTTCTATTATACAATAAATTGTCTTGCATAATTCTCTTATTCTATTAAGCTTTCAATTACATTATTTACATGGATTAATTATCAAAGGTGAATGGCATAGGGGAATAACTTTGCTCAGCAGAATACAAGTTAATAGAGCCCTGGCCAGGACCAGAACACTTGACTAAATGGTCCAGGTGTTCAAAATTCTGGTAAAAATACCCTTGCATATTTAAAGTTTTACTCTGTTTGCCTTGAACATCCCCAGAAGCATAAAAGATTTTCAAAGAAATGCATTTTCACCATATTATTAAATAAATAAAGCCCCATCCTTACACCAGAACATCTGACCCATTGGCCACGAACTCACAATTCTGGAAGAAGCACCCTTTCTCATCATAACTATACACTTGTTTCTTTACTTTATAACCAGTAGTAGAAAAAAATATTTGGAAAGAAATAATGCATTTTCACTATATAATCAATAGAGCTCCCCCCCCCCTCACCAGAACCCCTGACCCAGGGGCCATGAATTTCACAATTTTGGAAGAGGCATTCTTCCTTATCATAACCATGCACTTCCTTTGTTTGAAAAATACTCAGGAGCAGAGAAGATGATTTTGAAAGAATTCATGCCTTTTCCCTATATAATCAATAGAGCCCCACCCTAACACCAGAACCCCTGACCCAGGGGCCATTAAATTCATAATTTCTGAGGAGGCAGTCATGCTCATCATAACTATGTACTTAGTTTATTTAATATCCAGGAGCAGAGAAGAAGATTTTCAAAGAATTAATGCAATTTTACTATATAATCAATAGAGCCCCAGCCTAACACCAGAACCCCTGACCCAAGGGCCATATAACTCACAATTTCTGAAAAGGCAGCCATGCTCACAATAACTATGTTCTTAGTTAGTTTATTTAATACCCAGGAGCAGAGAAAAAGATTTTCAAAAAAATTAATGCAATTCTACTATATAATCAATAGAGCCCTGCCCTAACACCAGAACCCCTGACCCAGGGGCCATGAAATTCACAATTCTGGAAGAGGCACTCTTGCTCATCATAACTATGTACTAAGTTAGTTTATTTAATACCCAGGAGCAGAGAAGAAGATTTTCAAAGAATTAATGCATCTTCACTATATAATCAATAGAGCCCCACCCTAACACCAGAACCCCTGACCCTGGGGCCATGAATTTCACAATTTTGGTAGAGGGCTCAATGCTTATTACAATGATGCCAACAGTTTGACTGCTTGATGTCCTGGAGTAAAGAAGAAAATTTTTAAAGATTGCATTATTTTTGGTGGTTTTAGCCCCACCCCTCAGGCCCCAGGGGGGCAGGGACCATGAAATTCACAATTTTTGTTCCCCTTTACCCATAGATGCTATATGCTAAATTTGGTTGAAATTGGTTAAGCGGTTTCAGAGAAGAAGCTAAAAATGTTCAAATGTTAACACACGACGCACACCGCACGACGCACGCTGACGGACGAGAACGGATAGCAATAGGTCACCTGAGTGACTCAGGTGACCTAAAAAACACGGTCAGACAGATTTACCCAGAATCACTTATCTTAATCATAATCAAATTCCAGAACAAGAAAACAAATTAACATAAAACATTTTGGTATTATTACAAGAAATAAAGTGCTCATTTGGAATCTAAATGGGTTTGTCTCCATTAGCTTAAAAAAAAAACTGCATTGATTTTACAATCTTAAACCTGGGTAATGACTTACAGTTAAGGTCACTATCTTGTCAAACAGCATTGCAGGAGCCATGTGAAAGTCAAACACGAAGTACTGGAAAATATCAGAAAATTGGAATAATTATTGCTAAAACTTGAACTATAGCTATTCAGGAGACACACAAATTGTACCATAATTATCAGACATTGACAACATACATGTAATTACATTAATAAGCATCAAGATTTTATACCATTACCAATCACACACGGAATAACACGAATTTGATTGAAAATGTCCTATATTTGATAGCAAGAATATTTTCTGAGAGAACATAAAAATTAATCTAATGATAAGAATGTGTGATTCCTCAGAGCATCAGGTTAACTGACTGTTTCATAAGCATACCTCATTGTAGTAAGGACAGTTTGTGGATTCCTTGACGCTGGTGTATTTTTTCTGGTCCCCAACCTGAACACAGACTACTGGGTCCATGTTTAATCCCGCCAACTGTCTGGCCTCTATCACTGTTATACAGACCTTCAATGTGCAGGGTGAATTTCTTATAAATTAACATTCTTTACTTTGCTTTACATAGATATCTTTAATATGTATGACAAAAAAAGTATAATCTTTCTTCTTTACACTTGCTTAATATTTTACATTATCTATAGCATTTTATTATACCTCATTATAATTATTCTATACAACGCGTTATCTGATTGGTTCTAGACTATCACGTGACGGGGCCATAAAACTTCATATTTCCCTGTCGTCGTCATGCTTTTCATCATATTCAACCTCTTCGGAGACCTAGTGCATTTTCCCACAATAGTTATCGTTTGTTTAATGAAAACTCCCGAGAGTAGTTGACGTCACAATAGGCTGGTTCACGTCACAACTTCTCTAAATTCTTTTAAATTGAGAGTGAATTTAAGAGTGGTGCCGAATGTGAAAGTTTATGTTTATTTTTTAAGTTTTTGCTTGTTTCGGTATAATAAACAATTTATTGCATGAATGTTCGGGAAACATAAAGATTTATTCAGCCAAGAAATATCATATTTCCCCTCAGGCGAAGCCCTCGGGGAATATGATTTTTCTTGGCTGAATAAATCTTCATATTTCCCTCACAATCATGCAATAAATGTGTAATATCACTTGACTGATGGAAACTTAAGTTATATCAACCAAAATAATTACCAGGTTGAAAATGATCGAATTCAAAGTGTTTTTTCCCTAAAATTCCAATGAGATTTTCATTACATTAACCATTAACAGATATCTAAATGTGGCACTGTTAAATCAATTATTTCTATGGTGGCCCATTTTCTTGGCTTGCAGAAATTTAAGTTATGTTTTGACAAACATCTAGGTAGATATGCATTTTGATTCCATGAAATCCAAAAAATATGAACACGTTGAAAAATAATGATTTTTTACGAGTAATTCTGTGGCTTTGGTTTTTGCTCACAAACCTGAAAATCCTGAGCTTTCATGGATGCCTGTTCTACTCGTGGAACTTTGTCTTTAGACCTAAAGATTACAAATGTAGAGCTAATAACAAAATATTTCTCAATGATATCCTACTTGAATTTCAAATTCAAGAGCATTTTATACTTATACACACACACACACCCTCACACACAAATGTTTGTAAACCAGTATGCAACTACAAGCCAAAGCAAATGTAACTCTATGATTTTCTTAAGATCTGCCCTATAAAGTGCTTTATTCCTACTATCCAAAAATTGCATTTTTTAGTATGAAATTTTCATCTTCATGACATTGAGGTAACAATTATCTAAAAAGAAATTTAACCTTGAAGACAGAAGATAAAAGAAAAGGTTTGACAGACAGGACAATTACAGTAACTAATGAACAGTAGAATGATTTTGGGTGGTGGTGTGTGGGTGAGGGGGTTGGGGGGGGGGGTACATGTATTAGTAGGATTTTTTTTATTGATATTGTTTTCTTCTGTTTGTGCAGATTCGTCTTGGACATCATATGAGTGGGTTGTATTGATTTTTATAATACTCTTCAAATTACAGTTATTATTTTGACATCCATGCTCACTGTTCTCCTTCCATTATCAGTCATTGCAGTTCTCTGATGAATGCAAAAAAAATAATGGATGGAAACATCAAACAGAACTTGAGCTCATTAAATTTGATACTAGTATGTAGAAAGTGGAATCTTGCTTCAAGTACCCATTTCTTTGTTGCATCTGAGATACATGTCAACTAAGAAAAAACACAATCTGGTGTCATATGACTTAAATTTTAATCATGATCTGGATTTTCTAAACAAATTATACTTTAGTTAAGTTTCGTATTCATAGTTTTCTAACCATATCTTAATTCATCAAAAAGTTAATTTTCACAGTGGTGTATTACCTGAAACAGTGACACTAATACAGCCATGAAAAATAAAGCTTTACACAGTTTTAAACAATCTTCATCAGGCTTCACTTCTCCATTCAACTGCATGCTAGAAGCCACAGATTTGTCGCAATTTCAAACTTTAGTGCTTTTGATGCAATAATCTTTATTCATTTATAATGTGTTATTTTGGATACTGACCTTTTGAAGCTGATAGGTCCAGCTGATAATGACCCGTGACCTTCACTCTGCTGATCATCTTCAAGGTTACTATCCTTGCCGCCCACCATAGAAGCAATTTCTGCTGCTTTGGCATCTAAACTTGGATCTAGAAAAAAAGGTGCAGAGTATTTTTAAGAATGAATGAATAAAATGTTCAGTAAACCATATATAGTTTGTGCATACATTGCCCATTAAATTTCTAACTTTGTCAAGGCTTAATTCACTATAATTATTGAGTTTTCTAAATTTTTCATGAAAAAAAAGAAAACAAAGGAAGAAAAAATTCTCAAAAACAAATAGTTATGATCATTTTCATCTATAAATGTAAGACAAGGTTTAATTCTAAGCAGCGAACCTGTCTCTATGTCATCTATAAGTGATTGTTTGTCATCGCCATCTAGAAGTCCCCCACCTGCTCGTTGCTTGGATACGTTCATCATAAGTTTAACCACAGAGGACAAATTTTTGGTGCTGAAAAAAAAAAGAATCTGATGTTTCAAGGGAAAAAAGTGATGAAAAGTTTTGAAGCATCACAGTTATTTGGGTATGATATGAATGAGAAATACTGGGAAATTATGTCAACATACAAGTTATTAAGTATGATGCAAGAGTATACAGTAATGAACTTTAAAGACAAGTCATTAATAATGCTAAAAAGCTTATGATTGAGTCAGCTGCAGTTTGCAAGTTAATTAATCACAACTTGGGGCCCTTCATTGCATTCACTAATCCTCATTCTGCATTTACCTTAGTTTCAAAGAAACTATTCAAAATATTTTTATCAAATTTTCTTTATTGATACAAACTAGAAACAGCAATTCAATCATTTTATAATTTTTAACTTTGCATGACCTTCCCTTTGACCACATATATTCCTCTTTTTTATGTTAAAATATTGAACTCTGTAAAGGATTATTTAAAGCAACGTACTTTACAGAGATCTGTATATACAAAAAAAAAAATCATCCTTTCTTTCACCATATTTTACTATAATAGCTCAGAGGTGGATGGATGGAATTTCTTTTCCTGTTACAAATGTGTATACCATTGGGCATTCATGTCCTTTGGACATATTTCTAGAATCAGTAAATGCTGACAAAGAAACAATATCAACATTGTAGTAACCCCAATGCTACACAATAAATGTACAATAAAAGCCTGATAAACAGGTTATATTGATTTTATGACTTTACAAGGGAATTGAAATAGATAAAACTGGTCATCATTTTTTTTCACAAATGTCCTACTTTAAACAGGGTGAAAAAGTAAATCAGAAGAATTCAATGTTATTTTCAACTCAAACTTTTTAAATGTCGATCAGTTCATGTAATTCTTTTATTGCAGTGAAAATTTGGAAAGACTATAAACTTTTCCCTGATTCTTCCCCCAAGATTAACAAAAGCACCATCAAAATAATTGATCAAAGAATTCTGCATACATATATACTGACCAACATAATTCAAACCTCAGAATCTACTGATGTGATGTGATTAGTGGAAATGATGAGGCAATTTGTTTTTTTAAGGGTTCCTGTTGTTACACAAATATGGATGTTAATCTAGTTTTGAATCCATGAAATAAAAGTTTACTGTACAAAGATACATGAGAAAGATTTGGCCTTATGAGATTCATTTTTCTTCAACTTTTCATGATGCATCATTATGTGTCAATAGTTTCACTGGAATCTATTAAAGCTAAGTGTAAAATTGCATCACAATTGATATAATACCCCCCAATAATTTATTTTTCTCACCAAGCTATCTTAAATTGATATGCTGGAGAGAAAAAAAACGTAATATTTATCCCTGTAATGTTTGGTTTCCACATGCAATATTTATCCATTAGGAAAGTTAGCCATTGAAAGACATCTATCAAAATATTTCTAATAATGATCTGAAAAATTTCTGAATGCAGAACTGCAGTCCAGGACAGGTCTATCAATCAATGTATTGTTTCTGTATTGATGAGAGAGCTACCTGACGCAACCTGTGCTCATATCATACAATACAAAGCACACGCATGATCAAACCCTCCTTTTCAACCATTCAAGAGATAGCATTAGTCAAGTGAATTTCATAGTTTTTTTTTTTTTCAAATAGAAGAGAAGAGCATCTAAGGTCTCCAAATTGACTTTTATTATTTTCTAACACCAAAACAATTAAATATCAGAGCTGTGTGAATTTCTTCAAGACACTGGTAAACTCAAACAACCATAACATTTCATTAACAATAAATATTTTATATGTCCATTGAATCCCAATCCAAGCAAGAACATCTAAACCTTTATTTTTAAATGCAATGCATTATTTCACATGTTGCTGAAAAATAGTCAACAGAGAGTTGAAAAGAGGGATGAACGGACAATACTGATACTTCAAACTTCTATGTGGGAGGCATTAGATACACCTACAAGAACACGACTATCCCTCAGTGTAGTGTTATAACAACTAAAGTTCCATTGATGATATGCCATATATGTGAATCATCTGATATTAAAAGAACAAGACATGACAAGAGGAAAAGGAAACTTGCTTTGGTCTTGAAAAACGTGTTAAATTTCCATTTGCGAGCACCAATTGAACAGTTCTTAATTCCAAATTAATGTCAATTAATGTCAAAAACCTTGTGAAATTGCTGTCTGAAAAGAATACTGTACGTGTACATAAATTGGCGTATTCAAAATATAGCGCAATTACTGTGTATGGAGTTGTTGGCGAAATCATGAATTAGCGCTACACATGTCCGTGTCGTATATTGTGTTTATAAATGATTTCTTTGCTGCATTCATGAATTAGCGCATCGTTTTCTGCGCCAAAGCCGCTAAAATATAAAGCCTGCTTTTTTAAGTACACATACAGTATTTCATTACTGTCCCATCCAATATTCTGATTAAATTATATTTCTTCACCACTGAATAAAGCATATTTATTTACAGTTATATCATAAGGTTTCATTGTTCTCTTTTTCATGGCATGGTGATTGATGCATTCTAGCCTTTTTAATGCACTACAGAATTAATTTTTCCTATATATTCTTACTAAATTGCACAACTTTAGAAAGACACACTATTAATTCAAAAATAAATTTCTGAAGACATATACCAGTATTCTTTACACATTTTGTAAAACTATTCTTTCTAAATTCTAGTTATTTAAAACCAAAAAAATATTGACATCTGGCAAGGAACACTTCTCGTCAAAATAAAAATGGTGCTTGGAAATCAGACACAAGGCTAAATAGTACTTCCTTCTCAGATTGAAAGTTCAACACAACTTTCACTTCATAAAAAATTTAAGTTTCTGTCTGGTGCAAAAATGCTTGGGTCTGGTTAGGGAGTTCAAGACTATACTATACCTTTGCCTCTTGAACCGTTAATATATAAATAGTGCACGTTTTTGAGGGTAACAGTTGAAATTGACACCCCAAGGAAAACCATTGTCAACCGACGCGTCAGCGGAGGTTGACAATGGTTTTCCGAGGGGTGTCAATTTCAACTGTTACCCTCAAAAACGTGCACTATTTATTTTATTATACTGAATGTCTTATTGATTTCGGATGTCATAAAAAAAAATTCGGAGATCGTCGTTAAGTTCACGCTTAGAAAGCTTTCAAACTCCCCGCTTCTATTTTTCTCAATAAGAAAGCTTCGGAAAAGATTTGCCAACCTCTTTATTGTTTGTTTGCTACTCAAAAAGTCCTTTAATATCGTCTAAAGTTTGCACTCGGAAGGATGTTTCGTCTGTCGTTTGTTGTTTTCAAGTAAGCTACATCGGACGCAAGCTTTAATTGACGTCGTTTATTTGGCTTCTTTCAAACGCACAACCGACGTTTTGAGAATTCTACGGTGAACCGTACGCGCATGATTTGAACGCATGTGATATTTTCGTAATGTTACCCGTTGTCAAGTATGTTGCTAACGCTGAGGGTAACATTACGGATTGTTAAATGCTTCTAAACCAATCAGATTTTAGTATTTAACATGAAAGTATAATAAAAAGAGATACTATTCCAACAATAAAATTGTAGACTTAGCTTTGCACAACAATTTGAACGTATTTCATCCAAATTTAGACTGAAAATTTACATCTTTTTATAATATGTTACATTGTAAATGACATGAAAATCTCTCTTAAAATAATTTTCCTAAAATAATTTTCCTTTTATAAAAATAGAAAATAATATAAGTAGGATCATGACTAGCATGAATGCCAAGCAATAATTCTGTTGTCTCAAGATTATAACCCATTCAGGGGTATTTCAAGACCAGCATGTTGTATTATATGACAGTGAATATTGCTATAAAGCAATGGGTATAAAACTCTATTTGCATGTCTTGAGTATGTACTTGATCGTCATTCAGCATATGCACAAAGCAATCACCCTGCAGCATCCAGTACTTTTGGACACCTCAAAAACAGCTCTGTGACAGTCGCAATTGTTGACTTATTGCTGCTTGTCATGCAGTGTCTGCCATTTCTATGGAAAGTTTGCCTTACTAATTGAAGATCACTTTGCTGTGTATTTCAGTGTTTCGCAGCTTATATTTTATATTTCTTTGATTTTTCTCCCTCAATTTTATGCAGATTTTTATACACAAATTTTATATGACTGCAAAACCTGAGATATTTTAAATATATACATCAGAAAGACACTACTGTTTAACTTGCAATGATCTTATTTTCCCTAGTTTTGCAAGCATTTATGAAATGCAAAAAATTCAAAACTGAAAATATTATAACAAAGTGATGGAATTTTATATGTTCAACTGTAGCATATTAAGCCTTCTGAATAGTGAACTCACTCTTCATTTAAAAAATTTGAAAATGCAAAAACAGTTTTGCAAGTTAAAAAAAAAAGTGTCAATTTGAGTTCAATTTTGTAAAATTTGCACTTTGTGAAAGGCAGAAATATTTTGTTGCTGATGGTCATAGATTTATGAAGTGAATTGGGGTTTCACTCATCCTTAAAGACATCTGGATTCACATGTGGAAATAACAAAACAGAACCAATCCCTAGATTCTTTTTTCATAACTTGTAAACTTACTGTCTTGGTGACCTTCCTCCGGACCTCTTGGACTCCAGGCTGAGTTTAGATCCATGGATTGATTTGGAGGGACTACCTGTGGAGATGATAGACTGTGAATCCAGACTGCTTTGTTCCAGATTTCTGAGGTTCTGGTCTTCTTCTGTGAGGGGGGATCTAAGTTCTTCAGAGGTGAGTTTGTCAAAGCCTCCTTTCTGCCACATACCCACAGACCCATCTGGGGCATTGTACACCAGTTCAAAGGTCACAGTTGTCTGAAAAACATGTGAAACTTGAATTGGTAAAGAGTTTTATGTATAAAAGAAAGGGATTTTTTGCAACTTATATTTATAATAGCTTGCAAGAAATATTTGTAAGTTTTATGATGTCTTTTACTCACAAGTATTTATTTCTTGCTGTGAACTGTTTACTTTATTGTGTATTTATGTAGAATAATTCTTTAGTTTTGAAAATAAGTCACCATGCATGGATAGATTTCAAACTGACAAATTGTGAATAAAAGTTGTCATGATCCAATAATAGCTGGTCCCCCTCCACCTCTCTCTTCCTCTCTCTCTCTCTCTCTCAAACTGCTGATTTGTGCTGCTTCATTGGAAAATAAATTCAATGGCAATGAAATTTATAGAGATTTCAGACCTGACCATTTGGTGTGTTCACTCCCAAGAGATTATACAAAATTGTGCTATTAGAGAAAGAAAACTTCCTCTTCCTGAAGGTTCCCACACAGGGGAATTTACTCTGTCAAAGAAGCCACTTACTATAATGACAGCCTTATATGCAACCGTGTTACAAACATAGTGTATTTAGGACAACACTTCATGTTTAAGCATCTTGGTAACTTAGCAACTCAAAATAGTTGGTATAAATTAAGTTACAAATGATTATCTTTGAAACAAAAAGTAATGACTGTAATATCATCCTGGGGAAAAAAATTATAACCAACATTTTCTATCAGAAGACTGGAATCTTATAGATTCAGCAAAGCTGAAGGCCATCAAACTCTAATGTAGATATAATTTATAAATATCTGGCTGGTTCAACCTATTATTATTAGGAACTATGGTACTAAACCTTTAAGCTTTGAAGCTGTATACTACTGCCTGAACATTATGACTGACCCAGTGCTAATCAATTCCAAGGACTAGAGCTTATTTACATAGGTTCAGATAGGATTAACAAATGATGCCAAAAACTAAGCAATATGTCAAACTCCCATTTTCTTTTTCATGTTTGAGTATTTGGACATCTGTAATATTTAAGCAAAAATTTATTAGAAATGCTTCTCAATCCAAACTCTGAGTCAACATGAGAATCACATATTCAAATAGTATCAAGGTTGTTTGGTCTATATTGCATTGTGACATGTTCTATCCAACAAATTTAGGTATTAATTATTGAATCTTAGTTATTAATGTAATACATTATGGAATCCAAAATGCAGTTGACAGAATTCACCAGAAGCAAGGTGCTGCAAAGAGCTCTCTTATGAATCAATAATAGAATTCCTACATTGTCAAGTCGGCATCTTATGTCTGTAAAGGGCATTGACGTAAACGTTACAAAGTCCCATCTGGAAGTGAGGACTTTCTCATAACAGTACTTAAGCTAATGAAATTAATTGCTAATTATAACACAAATAGAGAAGCTGGTGTGCATTCAGTTCAAAGGATGGAGGCAATTTATGGCAATGATAATATGGGAAGGAAATTCTACGCATTTACATCTTTATGGCAAATAACACACTAATTGGTACCCCAACAAAAATTCAATGACAGCCAATTAATACTCTTAGCTAAAATTTTAAAATGTATTATTTATCTACATTGCTTTCATATAATGAAGTTTTTTTTTCTTTCTTTAACTTCACTAGTTTTATAAAATAATACTTAGCAATTATCAGCATTTCAAATATTTAGCATTATACATGTAGTTCCAAGAATAAAATACTCAGAATATATACTCTGAGTAAGTTAAAACTAGTACAACCACTAGTACAACCAAACATTTTCAGTTGGGGGAGGACACTAACAAGCAAAAATTCCTCGACAAGCCAAAAAAAGGGATCATCAGATGTTTACTATTGAGGGGGCAAAGGCAAAAAGTAGCTATGTTTTCTATAATATACTATATGTAGTGTAAACATGTATAGACCCCCCCCACCCCCCCACCTCCCCAATTTTTACAGACATGCTGAGTAGTACTAAAGTAAAAATAATCATTATGTTCACAGCTAAAATACATTTGCGCCAGCAACTCCAGAACTAAGCTAAGCTTGTTTCATGACATGCTTATTGTCAATATGAATTAATCATTAATCAAGAGCAGTACAAGATCTAATATTAGACAAATTCTAATAGGTAGCACTCCTGGAAACCTATAACCTTGAGATTTTAAATAACCTTCAGAAGTCAATGGAGGAAAAGAGAAACTGAATGATTACATCAAGCAAAACTTATAAAATATTTATTAGCTTTTTTCCAATCATTTCTCACACAGGTGTTGACAGATATGCAATAGCAGGGTCAATACCAATTTATAAATTCTTTGCTATCTGATCTTTTCAAAAAGATAACTTTTTCTATTAATTCTGCAAATACTGATAGGATTGGCATGTTTTGCGATAATTTCTTTCAATTATGACTGAAAATCATACAAAATTCATCAAAAAGTGGACAACCACAAAAATAACCCCTATAAGGAGACTCTGAGAAATAACGAAAAATACCTGTCAAATCATCAACAACTGTTGATCAATACTTGTTAATTATGTACTAGGTAACTTTTACTAACACACTATAAATGACGTAGCTGCCTCTTCATAAATTGTAACTTTGAATGTATTCAGTGAATTCGGCATTTGTAGACCTAACTGTGAAAAACAGCAACAAAATGACAGAATCAGATTGAAAGAATTCAAATTAATAGAATGATCTTAAGGTGGCTGGGTGGTCAACAAATTATCCAACAGATTCTTAAAATATGAATTAAGTTTTTTTTAACCATAAGTTAATAGTATTTAGTAAAGAAAAAAAAACGCATGTCCCAGCTATAATATTTACCGTAATGCATTTCCACTGTTTTTATGTTAGCTGGGTTAATATACGAGTAGCGCTTCATTCCTTAAAAGTAATGGAGCCAAGGAATCAAAGGGACCAAGGCCCATTGCTTTTAAGAAATGGAGCGCTACAAGTACATTAACCCGCTTAAAATCCACTGTTTTAAATGATTGTAATTATTGTTTATTAGTATATAATAAAAAATATATAAAAGATACACAGTAAATATATTTATATTTATCAAATTAGTAGTATTTAATATATATATAGTGAGAGTAAGGCGAGTAAAGAGTTACAAAGTTATTTAAGGGAGCCGACTGGGGTTTTATTGTGTGAAAACTACTATAGAGAAACTCTTTAATTTTATACCATATGTACCTTACATTGACTTCAGTACACATGTCAAGTTTAGTGAAAATCTACCATCTGGTTATATTCTAGGGACCATCTCAAAATACAGGTGCATTTATTATAGGATTATATAGGAAAATACCATTTTTTCGCACTTCGGAGCAAATTATACAAATGCTACTATAGACTTTTTGCTCAAATTATATTATTTGATAGGTAATACTATATTGTACATTTTATGCAAGAAGCACAAAATTCTACCGTCTGGTTTCCAGAGGGGACATCTCAAAATGTCAAAATTCATGATATTTTCCTGTTTTTATGGAGTACAACAAAACATGGCAGATACCACAGATTTACATAAAAAATAATCAAAATGATTGTGAGATTCTCAATTTCCTATATTTAAAATTTCAAGAGCCTATATTTTATACTTTTTATTTTATGGCATAATTAATGACCCCGCTTAAAGAACTTCAGTTATTCATTACGTCAAAAAACACACTATTACGACGTCTATCTACCCATCATTTGAAAAATCGTTAAAAAAATCGGTTATTTAAAAACGTAATTAGATTTTTTAACCTGGGATTTCCTAAAATTGTTAATTTTTTATAAATTATGTAAAAATAGTTGCTTTAAAATAGTAAATACGCTTTATTTTACTATGCTGCGCGAAGTATTGCGCAATGAAAACCCCAGTCGGCCCCCTTAAATCCATCATCCGTCAACAGCTTCAATAGTGTAGTAAGATGAGTGTCTGACTATCAGGGTGAGGGTACCGGGATCGATTCTAAGCGGTACCAGTATGACCTTTTCTTAATATGAAAATAAACTTTAGTTAATGAAATTTTCTAAGTTCTTTCTTTGCTAGAATAAAGGAAAGGAGAGTTTGACCATAGCAAATACCGGTCGTTTTCAATGTGATTTGCAACTCTCCATTCCTGAAAAATAATGGAGTGCTCAAACAAAAGAGTGACGTCACAAGTGAATTTTAAAAAGTCCTCTTCTTTTCCAGGAGATTTAAAATACTGTACATGTACATAATTTGGCGTATTCAAAATTTAGCCCAGTCTCTGGGTATGGAGTTGCTGGCGTAATCATGAATTAGCGCTACATATGTCCGTGCCATATATTGTATTTATAAATTATTTCTTAGCGGTATTCATAAATTAGCGCATTGTTGTCTGTGCCAAAGCCGCTAAAATATGAAGCCCGCTTTCTTAAGTACACATACAGTAGTCTATTAAAATGGCCATGACCACCAACCTCTTACATACTGCTCTTATAATGCATAGTATCACTGATGGAAATTGTTGCATTTTGGATCCTATCCTGTATTTAATAACCATGTGATTGTCCAACATTTACTTCTGTATTTCTAATCTTTTTTCAGGGAAAATCTCAACTATTCTTTTGAAAACTTGGATGTTTTTTTTTTTTCTGAATGGGAAAGGAGCATAATTTATATCCACCCACATTCTTTGAAAATAATTAGAATGAACAAAGTTTATATTCCCTCCAGGAAAATGCTGTGCAAACTATGATGAAATGGTAAAGGTTTTATGCCCGTATTCATACCTATGGCTCAGGTAAGCTAGGTTTATTAAGTAAGCCAGAGTCAAGTAAACTGGGTTTAAATCCCACTTGAGCTGAGCTCACGTAAACCTCACTTGTGTTTCACACTGAAAATAAAACTGGTTTTACCTAAACTGCAGACAATCTCTTGTTTTGACAGCATTTGGTATAATATTAACCAGAGAAAGAAACGAAGACACAGGAAAATGAAAAGACAACATATATCTTCATAGAAAATCTTTCATTCCTTCATGGAAAATGTTTTACTAGGAGCGACCTCCTATTTTGAGAAGAGACAATGTTCTCACCATTACTATCAATAAATTAATTAATTCAATATAAGAAAGACCTCCACTTACTCTATAATTAAATTTTCTAAGCGAGCAAAAGACACAATTCAGATTCAGGAATTTTTCTCCTTTAGGGGCACGGGCATACCCACTCAAAAAAAAAAGAAACATCTTCCAAATAAAATTCATTATTTTTTTTAAAGGAATAAAAAGCACCAATACTTATTTGGTCACTTTCATTCTACTTGTACACGTATGCATGGGTTCAAATCTCTCCCCCCCCCCCCCCCCCCCACACACACACACACACAGCTTGCCTTTGCAATTATACACAATAGGGTGCGAAGTTGCAAATCGGAGACAATGTAAAATCACCTTTAAATTTCCACCTGGGAATGGCATTGAACATTGATGTAACACACTTCAGCATGTCCATAATAAGCAGAATAGCATTTTTGCATTAGAGAATTTGTGCAAGATCATCAATCTGTCACAGATAATTTTCGGTTGTCTTCTATCTTTTTCCAATGAGATCCAGCCTCTTCATCTAATCTTTGCAGTCCTCCAGTGTTAGAAGAACAATAAATCAACATTTAAACCTACCCTAGACCAGGTTTAGGCTCAGCTTAATTTGTGAGCTTAGCTCACTTCTGAGAAACAGGTATGAAACGGATTTAAAAAATGTAAGCTGTTCTTAGTGGTAAACCTGGTTTAAACACAGGTGTGAATACGGGCATTAGTGTGGAGAACCCAATTCATCAAATACAGTAGTGTCAAGGAAAATGATTCAGCTTCGTTTAGTATCCTAACAAAATCTTCAGAACACTCAGTCACTGGTATTTGTTTTATACTCATGATAAATTCATCAAACTTGGTCACCTTATCCAATGCATTACTATATATCCAAACAACAAAGATATTGCAGCATGATTAATGAATTTTGAGGATAACCTACCACAAATGGTTCTAAAACAGTTACTCATTGCTTCCAGAGAATTCATATAAAAACCTAACATCATTCTTGACTAATAATAATAACGACTATGACTTGGCATTTAAATTAATTTTATATATGTAAGTAACAGTTCATCTATAGGTGATAAGAAGCATAACACTATTATGCATGATTCAATTTTAGCTGGATTGATCCTAACATAAAATGTACTCCCTTTGTCAGAAAATTTCATCAATTCAAATCAATTTCAAAGGCATTCCTTTCATATATGGCAGTATTTGAAACAATGGAGTTAAACATGCATGAAATTAAAACAGTAGTACCATTTGATAATCTATAATGACCAAAGACCTAGTGGTCAGAGAGGTCAACAATGAGTGGTCTGAGAGGTCAACAACAAATGGTCTGAGAGATCAACAACAAATGGTCTGAGAGGTCAACAATGAGTGGTCAGAGGTCAACAATGAGTGGTCAGAGGTCAACAATGAGTGCTTAGAGAGGTCAACAATGAGTGGTCAGAGAGGCCAACAACAAAGTTAATGAACCACTCTAATGAAGTATGTTTTCTTAAGACTGAGACAATTATATTGTTTGAATGTGCAGATGTAGAGTTTATTTCTTTCATTTTACCCCAGAGTGAAAATGTTCAAAGGTACCAGAGTGATGAACAGATATCACTGTTGCTTACTGAAATGGGCAAAATACATGCAAGTTACTTTATCTTGGCCCAATACATTGGGAATGCTTGAACTGATTCCAAATTGAGTAATACATGGTAGATTTCATTTGATTTTTTTTTTACATTTTACTTATGTAGCCAGTTGCCACAATAATCCATTCAATTTGATGTTGATGCAAAACGGCAATGAAAAGTCTTTTTGCACGTATTGAAGGGTAATTGTGATTGAATTTCTGAAATACTTTGACTTGACATTCAAATAAACAATCACTCCTAATGATAGAGCAGCAATTAAATTATCAATAAAATCAAGTCAAAATAAAGCAGAAGGACATCACCATGTGTAACAGGAATTATTGTGGAATGAAGCAATAAAGAGGAGACATTGAAAAAGAATGTAGAGGATAATAAAAAATGGAAATAAAAACTACTGTTTGAGTTTAAACTTGCTGAAAGATACATGTATTAATGCCATTTGGAAAACATTTGAAGATTTTTCTTATGTGAGACGTGGGCGATAGATTTCTTAGTCCATTCTATCATCTCGGAAAGAAATTCTAAGAAACCCGGATTATGGTGTGTGAAGGAAAACAGAATATGCTTGACAATCCTCATTATCTGTAGGGATTTTAGCTAATTGTTTTGCGTTTCAGTGGCCATCATAATCTACAGTGTCTGGATGGGACTGCCAAGTTAGTATTGATCAGTCCATAAAGGATTATACCCATATCAGTCCAAAAGTATTCATGTAATGTTATCATAATAAAAACTCGTGACATCCACAGATTGTCCTCATCAGGTGACAACTACGATTTTCTGGTCATCACGTCAATTAATGCTCCTGACTTTGAGTTGATATAACACCCTCTCTTCATTCACGGAACAAGATGTGCGTCAAGTCATCAAAAACGACCAGCATGTCAACTCCAATCTACAATTCCCCCCACTCGTATAAATCATTCAGCATTTTCTTATTCTTATTTGGTCTTTTTTGTTTAATTCACTTGGGTCCATTTCCAATGTATTCAGAAGTTTCTCTGATGCCCGAGAAAGAACAAATTGTTTTTCTACATATGAGTGTTGCCTTTTTTTTTAAAGTAATGATCTCCTTGATTAGCTTCAGATGGCTTGGAATATACAAAATAGTGACGCAACTGATTGGACTGTCACGGCACAGTTTCTCTATATTGGCATAACTACCCACGTCATCCAAAAGAGTGCTCTCCGTGTGAAACTGTTTGAGGTTTAGAACAGTTAATTCTGGAAATGAATCCCAACAGATGCTTTTCAGCATTACATGACTATGACTTTATATAGAAGCCAGATGATAAGAAACCTTTAAATACATGTATGATATAGCTTCCAATGCCCTTAAGTGCATGAGGCTTCTGTGTATCTAACTGTGTGTTTGCTCATCTTAAACGCTATTTAAACTTCAATACAATATTCAGTACCTGAATCGTGCATTGAGGTAAATAGTATTGGTACTTTTGGTCAAAATTTCATTATGCCCTATCTTAAATGATGAACTAATGTATAAATTCTTGTGTGACGAAACTCAAATAGCAAAGTTATTCTGTACTAGTTGTATGTATGTGTATTGTGTCAAGATAATTTTGACACTTCATCAGATTTTTTCCCCAGTAAGATATACATTTTTAGGCTGCGAAAGAGCTGTGACATCATTAGCAGCTTTAATTGGAGTCCATAGAACCACTTAAGATTTCAATGGGCTTCCAATATTGCTAACTAATTAATATCTTCAGATTCCCCTTTAGAGTGTCATCTCTGGCCAATTAAAATACACACTTCTTAGAAACTTAAGGTGGCTCTGTAGATCAGTTATTCATTATGTACAATGACACCCACCTTCATGACCACATTATGGCTGTCCAACAGAGAGTCGCAAATCTTGACATTTCCCACCTCCACCAGTTCCTGTAGGAACATCCGGAACATTCCAATCAACCTGGAATCAAATACAGGCAGGTTCAATAAAAGAGGCAATTTTTCTAGATATTCAACTTTAGATGGCAATATTATTAACTCTAGATTTTGAGTAATTACAGTACAAGTTAATATTATATGCTCATAACAAATTCAAAGAAAAATTCTAGCAATATTATGAATGATCAATAGATAATCATCGGCTATGGTTGCTTATGGACTTTACAACTTTAATCTTAAATACCAGTATTGTGACACAATTTATTGTCAAACTCTACTTTATAAAAATATACACAGACACTTTGCATAGACTGATTTGAGCATTGTAAGACCATACATGATCTGGTTTTTTAATGCAAAATTATAAAAAAAAAAAAGAAAAAAAAAAGAATATCGAACAGCAAAATACACCTATAAATTTTAATAAAAGAGAATAGAAAACTGAAAAAGTAATATACAGCCTTGCAGTGTATTTTTATTCTGTCAATATTTTGACCATTTGACCTTGACCTTTGAGCAAGTGGCCTCACAATCTATTACTCTCTTAGTCCTAATCTTCCTCTAACTGTAAAAATTATGAAACATACTTTTTATGTTTAAAAAAAATACCAGTCTTTCTGTTTTACTGGTAACTAAATATGTACTAGCTATATCAATACTGTGACTCACTGGCCTTGACTTTAATTTGACAAATGATGACTTTTAATCATTCTTTATCTTTGTTTTGAATTCAAAGATTGCATGTTGATCATTCAGATATTCAAGTTATTGCATCACAGTGGTCATATAAATAACCTTGCCGTTCATAAAGTAAATAGGCATATCTTTTTCAAGGCATTCTCCACCTTAATTCTAAATAAAAAGTCTGTAGGTTAAAAAATGTCTGAGTTTAATATGAATAGATTTTGACCTTTGACCAGGTTACCCAAGAAATTGTATAGGTGGGTTTTTTTTTTAACTATTTTACCATCCAAATACACTTGCTGCTGCAGTTAAATTCAAGGTGATCTGTACGTTGTAATGTACTAAAATTGTTGAGTTACGAAAGTCTTAATTAGCATACAAGGACACAATGATTACTATAGTGCACCCAAATCCTTGATCAATAATGAAAGTATTACTTTCCCTTATGAAAAACAATGATTATCAATTCGCATGTTTACACACAAATATAACATTTTTCTCAGATTTTCCCAAAATGAGACACACCTGCAAACTTATTCAGATGCTGATAAAATATGTATCAATTCAGCATTACATGAAAACAAGAAATCAACATATCAAGATCTCAATGGTAACCATCAATCTACATGAAAAAAAACCTCTGGAGACCCCTTACATATAGATCCAATGTCTAAACATAGACTGGGTGTATGGTATCTTGCTAGAAGGAATTTATAATGGGGTTGTCAGTTGATTCAGTCAATGGATTTAGCTGCATTTATACCTACCTGTTGGACAGGTATCTATTGTAGTTGAAAAGCTGAATCTCAATGACCTCATCTTTTTCAATGGGTCTAGCCACAGGCCACTGGAAAGTCTGCAAAAAAAAAAAAAATAAACATTTGGCTGTGAACTTTACCACTATTTCTAGGGTACACTGGGGACATGAGTACATACTGCCCTTTCGTAGATAGTACTTGTATTAATGCTGGGAATAACATGTATTGGATGCTCATGAACAATACATGTGTTTTGCTTTGAATCTTATTTTTACAGTTTCTGACAAATTAATCTGCGGCTATTTCATTATCTCTAAATGGAGATCATTATTCCATTACAAGTACTGGTAGTTTGCAATTCCTCATTTAATACATAATTAATACATGTATTCAACTGCAACACCTAAATGAAATAAATTTGTACATATTTTAGGAGTAAAAAAAATTGATGATATATTACAGAAAAATTTCGTTTTGAGATTGGGACAATTATCTCATAAACAGCCTTCCTGATTCTTTTCAAAATCATTCATTTTTTCTTTCTAATTTTTCTAAGTTGTACTGTCACATTTTTCAAAAACTAAAGTCTTCTTTTTTCACATTTTCCATTTTCTATAAAGAGAAAATCATCTCTCTATAACACTATTTCATGCCTTTATGAGTTCAGACAAAACAATTTTATAGACTGGCATTCTCATTTCTCAATAGAATGCTTAGCTTGATGAAAGCTTGCAGCAGGGAAAAATACTAGGGACAGCTGACAATAATATTAAATTCTTAAAGCATTTACTTTTTCTAAGAAAGTTCACTCTAGTATATGAAATCTAATTTTCATTTTATAAGGTCATAGTGACTTTTATATAAAGACTAACACTTTCCTTCCCCCATAGCACCCTCCCTCTCCCAGTAGTACTCTCCCTCTTCCAATAGCACCCCCCCCCATAGCATTCTTTCCCAAGAACACTCTCCTTCTCCAAGTAGCACTCTTCCTCCCCTAAAAGTACTTTCTTTCTCCCAGTAGCACTTTCTCTTCCTCAATAGCACTCTCCTAAAAGCACTCTCCTCTAATAGCCCCCCTTCTAGCACTCTTTCCTCTCTCTCTCACTCTCTTTCCCAAAAGTATCCTCAAACAGTACACTCTCTCCTCAAACAGCACTCTTTTTCTAATAGCACTATCACTCTCCAATAGCACTTTCCTTCCCCAACAGCAGTCTCCCTCTGCCAATAGAAGTCTCCTTCTGCCAATAGCGGTCTTCCTCCAACAACAGCACTTTTCTTCTCCCAGTAGCACTCTTCTTCAAATAAAATTCTCTTGCTCCCTCTTCTTCCCCAAAGCACTCTCTACCCCTCTCCAATAGCACTCTCCTTCCCCAATAGCAGTCTCCCTCTGCCAATTGTAATCTTCCTCCCCCATTAGCAGTCTTCTTCTCCCAATAGCACTCTTTTTCAAATAGAATTTGCTCTCCCTAGCACTCTCTACCCCTCCCCCATAGCACTCTCCATCTCTCAATAGCACTTTTCTTCTCCCAGATAGCACTCTCTGTCCCCCATTAGGACTTTTAGCCCCCCAATAGCACTCTTGCTTCCAATAACACTCTGTCCCCTATAGCACTCTCTGTCCCCCAATAGCACTCTCCCTCTCCCAATAACATTTTTTATTTAGTGAGATTATTCTAAAGGTTTGCTTTTGGGAATATGAGAATAAACAAACCTCTGAACTTATTCAAATGCTTGAAGCATTACAAAACATACATGAATACTGAAACCTGCACATTGTATTCAGGAGGCATAACAATATAATGTCCATTTGCTATAATAGAACAGTTTGACCCTTGAACAAATAACATGAATTCAGTTGCAGTTCATCAGCTTAATTAAGTTCAAGACAGAACCAAGACTGGATGAAGATAATTCCAATGTAATAAGAGTTGCATAATTCTGCATAACCTGCAGATACTGTCTATAAAATGGTCTACTTAATGCATCTTAAGCCTTGATTTGATTGAAAGGAAAGTACAAAAACTGACATAAAGCCAAACCTTGCTATTTTGAACTTGATAGACCAACAAGAGGAAAAACTTCAAGATATCTGAGGATTCTAGATACTGAGGTGAAAATATCTGAAGAAAAAGTGGTTGTTACAACTTTCTTTGACATATCTATGATTTTGCAGATATTGATGTTCAAGATACTGAGGTTCAACTGTACTGATGACCTACCTGATCAAAGAAAGCACTTCCTTCTGCATCTTCTACAACTTCTGTGTAATGAAAGACACCTGAAATTTTAAAATAAAGCTAGATAAATAATTACTATGAAAAAAAGCCACAATGTCACTGCATTGATCAAAGAAAGCACTTCCTTCTGCAACTTCTACAACTTAATTATGTGTAATGATTGAAAGACATTTATAATTTTAAAATAAAATGGATAAGAAGCTTATTTCTCTGAATTGTGTTCCAAGATTTCTACTTTTCCAACTGTCAATTATTGACTACTGTAGAAGGTATTTGTTAAATTGAAATGAAATTTATTTTCAAAATTAACTAAGCAAGCTTGAAGTTGTGAAGAATGCATACAATTTGTTGTTTTGGGTGTTCATATACTGGGCAAATAATTTATTTTCTCAAGGGTACAATTCTAGTTCATAGCAAGAATTGTAGGCGGAAAATAATAGCTAGACTAATTGATTTATCAAAATTAATTGCAAATGCACACAATTTTATCTCTTTCCCACTAACAGTATACATGCATGCATATATAGCAATGGCATAGAGTTTATTTAGAAGCATTATGAGCTCAGAATTTGTTAAAATATTCATATATGAATCCATGTGCATGCCTGGAGTATACTTAACCGTATAAAATATTGATACATTGAAAGCTTCCATTCTCACTTACTAAATAATTAAAGGGTATGTACTATAAATTAAGGAAGATATAAATGCTCTTACGCAAACAGTGGCAGTCTTATTTGGAATTAGATGTTGCCATATTACAACGGACCCGTAATTAAGAGTGGTACACAGGCTACATAAAGGCATATCAAACTAGTCTGAAGTGTATAATCACAACATCTAATAGCCGACAATGTAGATCAATTTCTTGTGAAACTCCTTCCATTATTCTCTCAGTAGGTGTGGGCATTATATCTTAATGGCCCACTGGAATTGCCAAATGTGGCAATTGTACTGTTTGTCTGTAGCCCCCACTGGGACTGGGCACTATAGCTCACAAAGTGGGGATAGACACAGAAAAGGTTCTTGATCCAATTGATTTCTTCTGCAATCCACCCTCAATACCACCAAATTTTGATGCAATTTATCGTTGGAATAATCCCAAATTTCTGCATAAGACAAATGATTCTACAAACGTGAATCAATAGTTCACTGCATTAAGTGGAACTGATCTGAGATATTATTGGAAATGCTGCTCTATTTGTCTCTGAAGTATATGTATACAGTATAAAATGACATACTCTGTGTGTATTTGTACCCAATTCACATTTATTTATTTGTTTAGTACTCAAGTTCAATGGATACATTTCCATATTTTAGTTAGATGTAGGAATTTGCTGAATACTTCATAATTTGTGAAAATTAACTTACTCCAAAACTTCATGTAAATTTTGTAAACAAGAGTTGTCAGGTGGAAAGATAAGGCATAGTAAGCGAGGTGTTCCAGCAAATGATCAGAAGCAAATAATAATAACTGGAAATTTTGAATCAAATACCAGTAGTTGAAGTCTTTCATGTATTATCTCAACCTTGACCCAGGATAAAACATGATGGGTGGTTGTGTTAATTATATCGCGAAATGGCACAGAGACATCAAATCTAGAACAATAATTCACGAGTATAAGTTTCATTTAGAGATTTTACATTATTTCAGCACCATAGAAAAAAAAGCGAGCAATTTTATTAATTTAGTGAGTGGTGCTTTTCGTGAAGTTTATAAGCGATAATTAATTCCTCATGTATATTTGGGAATCTACAGTATTCCTCTCAAAATTGTACCAACCAGTTAAAAAAGCTTTTTTCCAAAGACATTACATATTAAAATCATAAATACTTAAACCAAAAATTTTAAATGTTATTTTTATAAACTTCACTTAGACATAAGATCAACATGATGGTCAAGAAGTTCAATTCTAATTTTAAAAAAGCTCCCGTTCAATTAGAAAGCTATGCTTCAAAAACATCAAAAAATATTTTAGAACTAGAAATATGTCCAAAGGATATGAATGCCCATCCCAAAGTACATTTGTATTGGAATATGATATTCCAACATTATGGTTACCTTTTAAATATAAAAACCACTGGTGGATTAAAAGGGTTCACCCGTATGCCCCCCCCCCCCTCCTCCTGAAATTGTCAAATTTAAGATTAATCATGGTTCCTTCTTTGAAAAGATATGATTTATCTGATAATGGGGTGTAAATAAAAGACTATTTCTATATTCTTGTAAGACAGGAGTTCTATAAATGTTCATCATTATTCATGATGACAAGAAATATAAAAATGTCTAATTAGAAGACTTCATTTGCCCTAAAAAAAAAATCTCTTGGCATCCTGCAGCTTCCAGGGACTTCACCTCCCCCGGGGGGAGGCTCCCCCCCCCCCCCCCCGGGCCCCCACTAGGGCTTCATTCTGGACCCATTGGGGCCTCAAGGCATCCCTAAGTCCCCTTGCCTAATCAATGTCATTCCCTCTAGTTTAAAATCCTGGATCTGCCCTCTGAATACCATACATACATTTGAAGAAACTTCAAAAACTGTCCTAAAATCTTTAAGGTCCTTAGAGTTCTTTTGTTTAGCTCTTCTGGCATTGAGAGGTCGAACTGATGGACATGAGTGCTAAATCCTCAGTTATCTAGTAAAGAAGCTTGCTTGAGTGGTGCAGTGTCTAAAACAAATGTTTTGTTCTAAAGGTATCCAGTACAGAGTTGATTCTTATGTGGCAGCTTTGAGACTGTTCCTTCAGACAAGGACTAGCGTTGCAGTAAATACTGCCCATAAAAAAGATCCCTCACTACTCAAAGGCCAATATTGGTTTACATTTGCAGCCTTCCAACAATTGGTGGAGTCCCAGCAAGTAAAATATTCTCAAACGGACAAAAAGCAATCAAACAACAAATATAACAGCCCCTCCTCAAAAAGAAACAGAGGTAATTTTTATTTGAAAAACTTTTATCCTAGTGCCCACAGATGCCCTTGACAATACAAAGACTTTCCAGACCAATATCATGGTAAGCTGAAAGATATAAATCTTGTATAAACTTATCTTATATTGATTAATTCATAAATTATTCAATAAATAATTATATAGTTTTACTGATTAATTCTTTTGAAAATTCAATTTTAAATACATACTTCCATGTAATCAATATTTTCTGGTGATTAGTAACAAATACATAAGGACAAAAGCTGAAAGCTTTCAGCCTTTGTAATTACAAAAAAACTCATAAATTTAGGGAATTAACAAATGAGTTTTCCATCACAGAGTTCTTCCTCATTATTTTTCAAAACTAGAATCAATAAACGTAATCATGACATGGATCAATGATAAACATATTGCAATTTACAATAAATATGAAGCGGCATATGACAATGGCCCGGATTGATTTTCCTCGGGTTTTGTGATGCTTGTAATGTTTCCAAATACAAACACACTAGCCTTATTTCAATAACCACGAATATTTGTCACCTTCTTCATCCATTAGTGTATTATTAAACATTTTTTTGATATCATTGTAAACTCGGATGAATGAAACCTGTGTTCTGTGTTTCTAGGAACTAAAGCAAACTTGAATTGTTTATGGCCACACAGGGCCTGCAACACAAACATTAATTTCTGAATCAGCTGTTATATGTTTTACATGCTCTCTTATTATCAAAATGTGCACAATTATCTTGTGCAGTGACAATATACAGTATTAATATGTTAATATTTATGAGATTCATGTTATGCTTTGAAAGCGCATGGTAATTTATAATTCCTCATTTCCTCTTAAATTTTAAGCAATCAAATTGAAGAACACAACAATACAGGATATTTAGTTCTTATAGGACAATTTTTAATTTCAAGTCAAAGTATAGTAAACTTGAAACTTTGTAAAAAGACCAGTCAGTTTGGTAATATAGAAATTCTTCATCTAAAACTCATAATATCTTTTCTTATTTAAAAGAAATTTTGTTTTACATCGGTATTTTTTGTTCGGTTCTTTTGTTTTTTTGTTTTGTAATTACATGTAATTATTTTTAATAAAATTTAAAACTTATGCTAAAAAAAAAGTGGTGCTGACTTTGTGAAACTCAGTTTAAATATGCAGTTGAACTTCTGCATCTTACACTGTTATCTCAAAGGCCATCAATACATCAAAGTGAGTTGTATTTTTTTTATTGAAACCCAATATTTTTAACTCTTGGAATTATCTCAAAGTTTTTCAGTCCCATCAAGTTTGAGATATGATGAAGTTTAACTGTATGCATGTATCAACATTTTATCAAATCCACTTCATTTCATACAAATAATAAAATAAAAACAATAAACATCATTCAGTAGAAAAAATGGTCTTAACTTCTCTTTCCAAAAAAATCAAACAACCCAGTATGGATCGCTAATAATGGATGAAAAATTTCAGAATGGGGACAAAAATGTTATAGAAACCTTAATGGAACTTCATCCAGTCTATAGTCCATATAGCTGTCAGTTCATTGAAAACCAAGTGTCAAGATACTCAGAAATTCATGTAGCATATGAGACAATGGAAAAAATCAATTTGTAAACTTAAACTCAACTGAGTCTATAAATATACTCAAGAGAATTGACAAGTCCAAAAATGAATGTTAAGAAAGAAAGAAAAGGTTTTCACAATACATGATTCTACAATTGCCACTCCAGTCAAATTCATGATTGACATTTATATGTAATTAAGATAGAAATGCTATTTAGATATATTAAACTAATATATCTATAAATGGTGGAGAGACCAAAATATGCTGAATATGAAATTTTTCCCCTGGTTGCTCGTTAGCCATATTTCTGCCAATATGAGGGTACAATGTCCTTTGAATGGTCAGTACTTAATTCTTAACCAACACAAATAAGTTCACCCAAGTGGCATTTTCCTGTCATATTTTTGAAGACATTCAGCTGCTCCGCAAGGAAGACAGTGAATATGTCACAATACATTGAAACCTGGATTGCATGCATGACAAAGATAATGGTGACTGTAGTACCACAGTTGATCACAGATCCAATAAATCAAATGGTATACAATGAAAATATCCATCTCTGAAAGAGATCAAGTCAATCTTCTGTATATGATAAAGACAGTTATACATATGAATGCCTTGCATCATCATCATCATGACCATTTCCTTCCAGTTTTGTTTTGTTGTTTTTTTTTGTTTTTTTTTTGAGGGGGGGGGTTATTTGGGGGGGGGGGAGGGGTTTAAAAGTGTATTCTAAGTTATTCATAGTATTCAACTGCAATTGCCTTTTTTTTTGTTCATACCTAAATTTTCCCAAGTCCTCAAATTCTCCAAACCATGAGAAAATAAAAAAAATATTGTAATTTTTAACCTCTAACTTTTTTAAGAATTTGACATTCTGAATTTAAATGCTTCCTATTTTGCCTGCAGGATGATCAATATTTAATGACCAAAATGGAAATATTTTCATTAATCCACATCACGACAATTTTATTTTTGTACCTTGAGAGTATTTTACAATGAATGAAAACAGCTATGAGAGACAGAAATATATTAAGCTCAGAATAGGACAATGAAAAAAATATATGCAAAACTGATCAATTACCTAGAAAATGTTGAGAAAGCATCATTTTGATCCAAGTTAAACATTCTAAATTTGTTTTCTGTCTATTTCTGACTTTATATAGAAATTCCTATTCTTAGTTTGCCACACTTTGATCAATATTTAGTAAATATTGAAAAAGTATCACTATAATCTGAGTTTAAACATTCTGAATTTGTTTTTTTTTCAACTTTATAGAAATTCCCCCTTTTTTTGGTATTTCACATTTCACAAATCCTTTAAATTCTCAGTTAAATGTATACCACACAGCTCCCATTTTCTCTCTTCCTTTATCTTATAAGGAATATTATGAAACCTTACTGGATCTCTTGTAATTGAAAACCAAAAGTACTTCTTACAAAACCACTCTAAATCTTTGAAGACATTGAAAAATCATCCCAATTACTCGTCTTGATTGCGGTGCTGCGATGATTACAATTACGTAACCTAAACAAATACAGTTTCAATCGTATTTCAAGGGTTACTGGGTATATGTTACTTATTCTGTGTCGTCACAAATGGGGGCCTGTTCTACATTCAATGAAGATCTGACATTAGAGTAAATATAAGAAGTGACCCCCTTTCCCTCCATTTTTTTTACCAACAGTGAATAAGTAAACTATTATTGACAAATGTAAATTTCTCCTTCCTGTGATGGCTGATGTTCCGCTGTCACAGAATGTCTCCAGGGAAACTCTTGCTTACTACTTATCGGGAAAGATTCTCATTTCTAGCTCCAAAACAGCTACCACGTAGACCATAAAACAATCCCGTCACACAATAAGAAATTCACCCAGGGAAGTATAAAAACTGAATTTCACTTTTTTAAAAGCTCATTGCTACATATTATAAAACAGTGTCACTTGTACTGATCAGGATACCTCTAAAGTGTTCCTGGATGACAAAAATGAACAAATTACAGGTTACAGGTTGAAGATCATAATTTTTTTTCACAATTGGATGATTGTTTCTCAAGATGAAGATAATTTAAATTATTTTGGGGGGGGGGGGGGGGGATTGGAAACTTTGATGATGAACAATTAAATCCTGTGGTACAAAATAATTCTGACTGAGGAATATTATGTTCTAAACAAAACCAATTGAACCAATGTCTTCTATTCAATATATTATATATAAGAAATCTCGGACAGCACTTCAAAATAAAGCTGACCATTGACATAAATGAGGTAATATATTCTGTAAAAATAATGTTACACAAAATGCCATTCATTAAAGTTTTATGTCACTTATCACAAATATTGGTTTTGAAGGCTCTTTTAACACAATGGTGACTTTTCTAGACAATTACAGGTACATGGTAACTCAATTATCAAACTATTTCCAGCAACTCAATGGACCATCTTTTTCTAGAGAAAATGAATTAGTAACACAACCTGATGGACAATTTCCACTTTACAAATGTTATGCAAAGAAGTATACACTTAGAGAGAATAATTATAACTTTAAAAATCTATAAATTTGTTTGCATGCCAACCTGAAAAAAATTTGGGTTTTAATGGTCCTCCTTTAGGTAAAAACATCGTACATTATCACAATAGAGTGTTTTGGCTAGTGTTCTCTCAGCCATGAATTATTCCCAAATTATGAAAGGGACACGTATTATCCTATTTAAAAACTTCTACATGGTAGATCAAGATAAATACATACCTCTAAAAGACACCTTAGCCAACCGATCAGATTTTCCCTTCAAGTTTTCAGCATATTTCAGATGCAGAATTAATGCCATGATCCAAAGGAAACACTAACAATTAAAACAAGGATTAATTATTACAAAGGTCAAACTTAACATCAGAATACGTATCAACTGTCCATTCCTGGCAAAAATTCCTCTCCAGTACTAAGACTGATTTTGCAATTCACAAAAACAGATATACGGTTACTGCTCGGAAGTCTATTATCCAATGTGAATCTTCGTGCAATACTTACGTGGGCTACTATTAATAAAAAAAAAAGCACTGGGTATTAAGTATCCAAAATAAAGAGATCCCAAAAAAGTTCTCTTCACAGATGAAGAAGTTGGAACCTTTGGCAGCAGCCTGTATCCAGAATAACACTAATACATATTTCTCCTGTCATTTTCAATGAACACCAAGTCACATATTGAGTTCATTTTTTTACCTCCACATTTCACATGATTGTATTTACAAATCTTTGTTGAGTCCACAATGAATGACAACTTGCTCAGAAGGATATTTAAATACAATCTATTCACCGGTTCACTGTGACGATACCGTGTAGCTTCTGCATTGCTACTGTTAAATATTTAAACACTCTATTCCGATAGCGAGCTTGACTATTGGTTTTGACTATATATACAGTGGCATCAACACTGATCACATATCATATACACTCAGTCTCTCTTATAAAGGGGAAATGTGAGCTATACTTATAAATGTAGACCATATATAGCCATGGGCCAATCTTGTGGACTTACACCTAATAAAAGAAAACTCAATTATAAATTTAACTTATTAATATTTTGTATGAAAGGTGCATTTTAGAAAAACTATCCAATTATAATATATTGATAAAATAAGATAATGTAATATTATGATAGTAAGAAGATATCTCAATTAAAAAAAAAGATCTATAATCCTATTCAAATATCAGCTTATTCAACCTGGAACAGATACACTTGACACTGCATGAATTCAATATGAAAGATAGAGTTTATTTTGATGATTTGATGGTCCAGTAATCACTAATAGAAAAATAGAAATACTGAGGAAAGCTTATTAACTATTGAGAGTAATGCATGCATTTAATGCTGGGAGCATGTTTCATCACAGAATATGGTATTGATCAGAAACCTTTGGAAAAGAATCCGTGTCCTTGATCTCATCTTAAATTATTCTTCCACAACTTTTGATGAGTGGCAGATTCATATTTATCTCAATTCCTGGTGTATCACCTGTAATTATCCCCGTAGTTACAACTAATTTGAGAAAACCGATTCTGATCTATTCATTTGTCACAATTGGATTATCCTGCTTATCAATTCCGTAGCAGATCAATACTTAACAGAGTGAAATGACAATATGTACAGGAACATTAAACAGGCATCTTGTTCTTCTGACTGGAAAAAATGTCCAGAAATTTATCACTTCTCCGAAGATTCCGTCAAGTCCTGGGACATCTCATCCCGTGGCATTTCTTTACATGGTTCAAAAGACCCAATAATGATTATCAGAGGAAATTTCTCCTGCCTGGAATTCAACCACAATGATTGAATTCAACTTTTATATTCTGCACTGGGTGGGAGAGTGTATTAAAAGAAGTTTCTAACGTTATAATCTTTATTAATCATGCCTGACTTCAATTGAAATAAGATTTATCAATATTTTTTTCTCAGTTTTTTTGTTTTATTGCTGTCACTTGATATCTGAACAATCTATAAATTATATTATGGATCTTACTAATGTGTTATTGGAAGAAGTATGAGACATAATCTGTTGAGAATGTAATGAATTTTTAAAGCTGATTGACCTCTATCAGAATTTAAAAAAGAAAACATATAGGTTTTTTAACATACAAATTAAACTAAATAAGAGTTATAACAGACACTGATTCCTCTAGATATCCTTAAATTTAATCAAATACCTGTTATCACAATAAGCAAGAAACAGAACTAACAAATTACAGTCAAACCTCTTTATCTTGAACTCAGTGGGACAAAGCAAAAAACTGAGAGATATCCAAGGGTTCAAGATGGGTAAAGTACTTAAAGAAAAAGTTGGTTGGGACCTTAAAATCACTTGGAGATATCAGTGTTTGATATACCAAAGTTCAACTGTAGATAGTTTCAAAACTGGCTGCAACTGCACCTTAAACTGAAAGGTGAGTTTTTTTTTAATTCCAGTCACATGCCATTCTTTCACCCACAATCCTCCTACAAATTCTTTTTTCCCACAATCCTACTCCTTTTCCTGTTGTCATTTCCCTATCATCCTGATGTCCCCTGACCTTCATTATAAACCAAAAGATAGAAAAAAAAATATTAATGCATGGTTTTAAAAAATCACTTACTTGTAAATGCTTCCACTGATGTACATAATAGCGAAGAAATTCTTGAAGTGTGGGAGTTTTGCAGCGTACTTTAATTCCTCATTCTTCATCAATGATTTTTAATGCTTTAAACTGTTCAAATCAACTTTTTAAACACTAAGATCACTGATAAAACAAAGTTCTAACTTTGGGCACATTATATGGACAAAAGCGTATTTTGAAATGTTGAAAGAAGAAGCAAAATTGGTCTGTAACATCTGACGTTTCTACAATGGCTTTCTCATGACATTTCTACAAAGGCTTATCAAATCATTACTTCAAATTCTATTTGCTGGGAAAATGTAGAAAGTTCTGTCATGTTCAAATTTGGTAATTTTCCCACTCCCACTTGTTTTGTGTGGGTGAGTGGGGTGTCATTTACTGCTCATTAAACTTCTGAAAAATTAGTGCATTGTATATTAATCTTATCACTAAACATGATTTTAAATTCAATACTTGAAATAAGAACTACTTGTACGAAAAACATAAACACAATAATTGACGTTGCATCTTTAATTATTTGAAGATATAATTTATTCAATTATTGTGAGCATCAAATCAATTACATGTACGACTCTCCTCAAGTAAATTCAAGTGCTTCAATTGAATTAATGAGAGCAATAATTGAATTGATGCATTTATCAAATGAATTTTTGCTCTCATCATTTCATTTGATGTATGCATCAATTCAATGTTGTGATCGAATCATTGCTTGCAAAAATCAATTTAGAGCTTGCTATAAATGACTTGTTGATCTTTTTAATTTAGTTGAAGATAACTTTAATCATAACACATTTGTCAAAAGAATTAATGCCAGATCAATTCTTTTAATGAGAACAATTCAAAGGGATCATCTTATATTTGTGGATATTTTGAGGATCAGACTACCTTAAATAGTTGCTTTTTCTCTCTCTGAAAGAAATATTGCACACATTAATTGGATTTATTATATAATTAATTAAGTTAATTGAAGAGAGCCAGGGGCATAGCTAGGCCTATGATGAAGTATAGGCACAAATTACAGCGAAGGCTCTGGGGGGCGCTCAAGGTCCGGAGCAGGTCCTGGTAGGGGGTTCAGGGGGGCAAGGCCCCCCATATAAAAAAAAGAGTTCACGATTTTGAGACCCCTTGGTGACAAATTCTTGGCAAATAAAATCCAAAATTCTATGTAACTATAAAATGAAATTTCGTAAGTAGAGAAGTACCAGAGGTCTTTAGTTAGGAGAGTTTTTTCATTGTACTCAAATTCAGAACATGAAGAAGAAATATATTTAAAAAGGATTTTAAAAATAATCAGACACAAATCAATGTTTTACAACAATAATGAACAAATTTAAGCTAGCTTGTCTACGAAGTTATCAAGTAAATTCAGGTGGATGGCCATAAGAAAAGACAGCATTTTTTAGGCTGCAATTTTTAATAAGTATTATATATTGATATTGAATGATGTTTAATATACAATTATACCTATTTAATTAATTGCATGTAGAAATTCTAAAGACAGATTAAAAGGAATACTACAACGAAACAGCAGATTTATATATATATACACGTGTATATATATATATATATATATATATATATATATATATATATATATATATATATATATATAATATATATATATATATATTTTTTTTTTTTCTTACAAATTGGGTTTTATAATTTTCTAATGGCAGCTATGCCACTGACTGAGCAATAAGTCAATTATTGAATGCAATCATTGAAATGATGTGCACCATAATCCAACTGAAGAGAGCAACAATTCAATTTTTATGCACATTAAATCAGCAAATTAAGTTATAAATGTTATCATTTGAATTTATACATGCAATAATACAGATACCATTATTCATTTGAAGAGATCTTGGGCCTGTCAATTAGCTGAATTGTTCCGAACATATATTTGAGTTAGTATTAATCATGGCCGTAGGAACCGGAGGGCACGGAGGGGGGTGCCCCCCCCCCTTAATTTTGCCGATATGTAGATTACTATAGAAAACATGACTTCTATATGCTTGTGCCCCCTCAATAAAAACGTCTGATAACCTTTTTTTTTTTTTTTTGCTTGTCAAGGAAATTTTGGTAGTTGATAGTGCTCCCAAACTAAAATTGCTTCCTACGCCTACGGGCCTGTTTTAAAATTTGGACTCCACGACAGGAGAAATATTTTTGTAGCCTATAATTTTTTGAACATGCACTCTACATGTTTCACTCTTCTTTCATTATTAGTGACTATCAAATACTGATAAATCTTACCGAGAGACTATTCCTTTGTCTTTATAAGATGTTTGGTTATGACTTGTGTTCCTATTCAATACGAAAGGGAAAGAGCGCGTGCGCATTTATTTGGAAGTTTCGACGCAGTTTTTTTTAATCAAATCAAAAATTACATTTATTTGTAATGTTAACATAAAACGACCCATGTAATCTTTTTCTAGCTATTTTCATGAAAAGAGGAATTACATTTGAAACTATTCTCAACCGTCTTTTATAATTAGCACTTTAAATACCACGCCCTCGGGCATCTCTCACAAACGGTTTCCGAAGACCTTTTTTTTTCAATATTCGTACTTCAGCATGTTCAGTTTGCAAATGCGTTCGTGCAAGTAGATGGCCAAGGAGACTCGGATCGAACGTGTCTACTTTTAACATGAGAAACAACGATTTTTGCATGATTTGAGTTAGAGAGGAACCTAAGTCTTGCAATATATTTGTATGTACAAATTAAAATCAATCATTTACCATTTTTTACTTTCAAGGGTTGCGTAAAAGCCACCCAAATTGAATGAAATAAGGAGATAACGAACATTAATCAAGCTCATAAGTCCATTGAAACAATACAAATCGGGAACAGAGCAAACACGAACCTCTAAAAAAAACATCAGAGTTGGGATCAGGTGCCATGAAGGAGTAAGCATCCCCTGTCGACCATATACAGTACCTGGCCATAAGTGAGTCGTAATGTTATTTTACACTACAGTTGTATATATTTCATTGAAAAAATGCATTTTTCTAAAATATTGTTGCAATGTTATTAATTGCTCATTTTTTATGACTAAAACAACATAAAATGTAGAATTCTTTCCAGTTTCTTCACATAATTTCAAAAGAATTTTATCTGTAGGCATTGCGGTGATATCACATGTCAAATGTGAAATAAAAAAAGAAATTATGACTGTAATTTGTTAAGAAATCATAGTACTTTAAGGTTTGAAATTTCTGTCTTGACTATTTCATAAATTATTCTCAATGATTTGTGTACGTATCATTTTGTTTAGCATTTTAAGACAAGAAGGTTTTGATTCAGTGGAAAAATCATGGAAATTGGGCTAAAATTGACCTAACAATAAGTTGGGTTTTTTTCCCAATGAAATATACAGTGTTAAACTCAGTTACGGTCACATACTGTACCTCGCAAATCTTTGTTGTTGACAAATCTTGGAAATCATGCATAACGTCAACATTCTACTCTCCACCGAGACGACATCCAAATCGATCCATCTGACTGATCAAACAATTAAAATCTGCACTGCGCCGTTTAATATAATGTTTACAAAGGATTTTTAGAGAGAGATAGTCAATACAAAATTCATTTAGTGATGGCGATTAGATTTACCCAGGTGATTAGATTTACCCCAAAAAAAGGACAGCTAAAATAGATTTTGTATCGCCATGATTGTATATACACCAAGAGTGGATCCAGAAAATTTTCCTTTCGAAAAATATTTATAATAAAGTAAAAAACACACAAACAACTATTTCATTTGAGGGGGAGGGGGTCGAAAAACTCTTATCTCAAGCCGCTTTCCTTCTCATGTACACAAAGGTTATTTGTATACAACTTCCTATAAGCTTAGGAGGGTCAATTTCCAACGGGAGGTTCCAAAACAAAATTGTTCTTGGGTTGCTTTGCTAAATAGATTTATCGCAGGAGGAAGAAGGGTCCGAAGGGGGAGGGGGTTAAGACATAAAGAGATCTTTTTAAAACGAATCTATATTTCCTTATCCTACTCTATGGCTGGTTAATATTTATTACTATTGGGCATGACCTGCATAAATTTAGATTTTATATAGTGGAAACTCTCGGTTAACAGACCCCTAGAACGCCGGGGGGGGGGGCTTTTTTTAAGTATAGTATTTTGCCGAGGTTTGTTTGTTTGTTTGTTTATTGTTAAACGTCCCTCTCGAGAATTTTTCACTCGTATGGAGACGCCACCAATTGGCGATGGAGGGCTACAAATTTTGACCTATACTCGGCACTCAGGGCCATTGAGCACAAGATCACAGTTTCCTGAGTAACATGACTATATATGTATAATTTCGCGTTATAACGCGAAAGTTTCTCGTTATAACGCAAAAGTTACGCGTTTATTCGCGAAAGTTTCTCGTTATAACGCGAAAATTACGTGATTATTTGCGAAAGTTACGTGTTTATTCGCGAAAGTTTCGCGTTATAACGCGAAAAATATTTTTTAAACTTACGAAAATGAGCTCAATGGGCTTTCGTAAAAAATAACGCAGAATATATATATATATATTAGGGATGTCAACGAGTACCCGTTACTCGATCGAACGTCCGAGTATCGAATACTAAAAATGGTACTCGGTTATTCGGATGTGTATTTTTTCTTATTTCAAAGTCATATTTTTTTTATCAAAAACTTATCAAAAAATAACTTAAAAAATATGCATACGGGTAATTAGAGTGTCGTCATTTACACCCGTAAAACACCCGTTATCGCCTATGGCTATGTATTTACAGTAATTAGTGACCAATCACCTGGTACACAGCTGTGTACACCTACTGTGGCCCTTAATTTTTTGATGGCTTCAATGATTGTTTTTCAGTGAACATCGTTTAATATGGTCCATTATCTTCAAATCATTTTTAAATTATTTAGTTAATATACGGCAGCGAAATCGGACATGCATAGATATGCCGCTACCCACTTCAAAATAAGTGAAGATTCCAAAAAATGTTTAAAGTCAGTTTCCATAGTAAGTTTAGTGTATACGGGGGAAACAACCAACATCTGAAGAAAAAAATTAGACTAGCGATCCAAACAACGTCCGTTCCTTCTCTTTTGCTCATCACAAACCTGCGTAACAGATTGTCCTCCTTTTGATGAAATAGATCCTAAACAAGAACTGTAAACCATTAATTTGTAATTTTGATGTATTAATTGCGTCTTTTGTGTTTATTTAATAAATAAATTTAGTACCAAAAATCATTTCCTTTGGACTCCATGTTTATATACATTCATAAAACGTGAAAAAACAGCTTTGGGGTTTAACAAATTAACAATTAAAAATTAACAAACTTGTGTTTACATATTTACCAAGTACCCGGGTACTCGATCGGAAAAACATCCGACCGATTATCAAAAATTGACCGATTTGACATCCCTAATATATATATATATATATATATATATATATATATATATATATATATATATATATATATATATATATATATATATATATATATATATATATATATATAATACCTCAGGTATGACTTTGGTGTAAATGTGACAAAGAACAAGATGTGATTGTGAAACACTGATGCCCCCGTATGGCAGCTTGTGGCGAAGGTTAAAGTTTCTCAAATGCAATTCAAACTCCATCTTGTCACAAGTGATACACATAATATCCTGAAATGTGAAAGCCCTAGAACCAAAGTTCAAATGTTATGGCCAAGGTTAATTTTTTTAAAAAGTAGGTCAAACTCCAAGGTCAAGGTCAATGCCAAAATTGTTGGTATCCAAAGGAAGGTCTTGTCACAAGGAATATACATGTGAAGTATGAAAACCCTAACACCAACTGTTCAAAAGTTATGGTCAAGGTAAAAGTTTTGTCAACAGTAGGTCAAACTCCAAGGTCAAGGTCAAAGAGTCAGAGTTGTTGTGTCCAAAGGAAGGTCTTATCACAAAGAATACACAAGTGAAGTATGAAAATCCTAGCACTGTTCAAAAGTTACGGCCAAAATTAAAGTTTTTCAAAATTTAAGTAGTCAAACTCCAAGGTCGAGGTCTAGAGGTCAAATATGATGGTACCCAAAGAAAGGTCTTGTCACAAGGAATACACATGTGAAATATGAAAGCCATAGCTTCAACCAATCAAAAGTTATTGGCAAGGTTAAAGTTTTTGCGGACAAACATACAGCTAGACAGACAGACAGACGGACAAGGCAAAAACTATATGCCCCCGAATCTTCGATTACGGGGGCATAAAAATCTTTTCATGAAGATTCATCACAGGCCCGTAGTACGAAGGGAGGGAGCATCGTCGGAAACCCACGGTTGATTACGCTTCGTTCCTCTCTCCGTGATGGAGAGAGGAACGAAGCGTAATCAGCCGTGGGTTTCCGACGATGGGGAGGGAGGGGAACCAAACTTTCTTTTTCTCAGTGAGAAGAGTCTTTTGAATTAATATAATTTTTAATGAGTATTTTCTATGAAAGACCGGTTGTACTCCGTTCCCTCAATGACTGTGTCCTCCAACCTCCAAATTTATTACTGTCGAAAATAATGAGTGGGGCCTCCACCCCCGTTTGAGAATTTAGAGTTAAGAGACCCCTACCCCCACTTAAAGAAACGATGCTACGCGCCCTAAGAGATGTTTCCAATGTTCAGTTCTTGAAGTATATTAAGAATTTTTTCAAGTAGCCTAAAACGAGATCATTTACAATATAAAAGATATTACGAAACAGAGTGGAACGACTTATTTGAGAGTCGTTAGGTGGCGCTCTGTATCAAGATGGAGGATCTTCACTGTTTCAGACCGTAAAAAATGTTAATTTCTGCAAAAAATTAAAGAAACACTTCACATTTAACCTTTAAAACAACAAAAAATGCCAGGTAAGCGTTTCCCTTTTCAAAGGTACAATTTACTCTGTGAGAGGAATAACCGAGAAAAAGAGATAGAGGATTCTCGGATTAAGAAATTCTTAACAGAGAGAACCCTGGATATAATGTTCTATCGTTAAAATGATATTGTCATTATGAGCTTTTGCTCTAGGGTACTCTTAGTTAGAATAATCTAACTGTGTCTCGGGACAAGCCCTCACCACAGTTACAATACGTCCCATATGCTTGCAATGTAACAAATCGGAGTGGATCCGCTCCAAAATGATTTTGAAGAATGCAAAGGAGTTGCACTGAAAATAACTACCAAATTAATAGAACAAACCTTTTTGAAATTTTATATGCCTTTTAACCTAAAAAATAATCCATATAAATACGAAAATTCAATTCATTTTCTCATTGATTTTCCTCGCTTCAAATTTAAACGCCATGTTGACATTCAGAACACTCTGGTTTGTTCATAGAAAATATACAGAGTTCAAGTTATCGCCTGTGTTTATTTTGCTACATTGCCAATACACGGAACGTATTCTATCGTTAAACCGGGTCCGTAGGACAATATCATTTTAATGATAGAACGTTCTATCTAGGGTTCTCTCTGTTATGAATTTCTTAATCTGAGAATCCTCGATGTCTTTCGGTCTGTTTGTCTATCTGTAACATATACACCAATTGTTTTTTTTTTTTTTTTTTTTTACAATGGGAGAGAGAGCGCCAGGTGTTATTGGTGGTGCTCTTGTTGGAGGGTCTTGAATCTCTCTTCAGTGCTTGCACAACTGAGTCTCACTATGGGAGGTGGTTGGTATTGAGGCGTATTGGTAGTTGGTATGGCCAGTACTCTGCTGTAATTTTGTGCATGTTTGGTTATTATATTCAGGGTCTTTGGTTTGATTTGGTGCTTCTGCTAAATGTAAATTTATAAAGGAATTTTTTCTTCCTACATTGCCAATACTTGCAATGGATTCTATCATTAAACTTGGTCCGTAGGGGTCCTCAGGACAGTATCATTTAAAAATAAATGTTCTATCTAAAAGAAGTCATACTTTACTAGTAATAGATATAAAATATTACACTGTTATTGTTATGAAAATAGATTTAAATTATTTAAAACTTAGAATATTCTGTTTTTGGTACTCTGTGGTGATACGATATCTCTATAAGCCCATAGGTCAGTCAACTAAGTTAGAGGCCAACTGTTATAGTATGACTTCCCCAAGAAACTATGTAAGAAAGGAACAAGCCATAATGACTGTTTTCAGAGTTAGATTTTTTGAAATAAAAAATGTATATTTCATTTTATTGAATATACGTATATTTTTCAGGTTGCTGTGGGTGCTGGGAGGTCCTTAGACCACCAAGATACAAGCGTTTGGTTGATAGCATCTTCCCTGCAAACCCACAGGTATGATCATAAGAAATGTGTTCAGTGCTATTAATTTAGGACACAGTCTTCTAATTTGTGCATCCATAATTTTCTAAATTATCATGAACTGGATATTTTTTAATCTCACCAAATCAGTTGCATTCATACCACCAAAAACCTTTAGATTTACTATAAAACATCTATTTTCTAAAATAAATAAGCACTGTTGTATTTATTTACAGGATTACAGAAAAATTAATCTAGAACATATGTTTCTAAGTAGATAATATATTTATAAAATTTTCTTTTCATAAACGTGTGTATTATTAAATTCCAGTTTAATTTGCTTTTTTTTTTTTTAAACAATCTTTTCTTTGGTCTCAGGATGGCTTGGTGAAAAACAATATGGACAAATTGATATTTTATGCCATGACTACATCTGAAAAGTTGGACAGGATTGGAATGTATTTGGAACAGAAGCTTAGTAGAAGCATCAACAGGCATAGGATTGGGTATACCATTAGATTGCAGCTACTTGCAAAGCATGATAACAATAAGATAAGATAGCCCTGTGATAAAGCATTAACCAAGAGGTTTTTTCTGTGTACTCTCAATTCATCATGTAAAAAAAAAAAAAAATTAAAAATGGAAAACATGTACTTAACCTGTGGTGGAAATTTTTGATATATTCACACTCAGTAAAGCCAAAGGATAATGGTGAAGATATACATGCTGAAAACTTACTTAATATTATTTAATTTTATTATTTAACATTCGTATTACTTGTGCTAATGAAAAATTGGCAAAATGTTAGACTTATAGATTTAAATCCAGATATGGTATGCTGCAGATTACACCAAAATATAAATGGTGTCTAGTTCTATAAGTTTAAAGTTAAACTGCACAACTAAATTTATTGTTAGGACATATGAGAAAATAACCATGCATTTATGGAGAAAAAGAGAAAGTTACTGTCAATAAATCTAAGAATGTTAACATTTTTATCTTCAGATTTGTTTTTGTGGCTATGGATGCCCTTGATCAGCTCTTGGTGGCTTGTCATGCTCACTCTCTGAATCTGTTTGTGGAGAGTTTTCTGAAGATGGTGCAGAAACTGTTAGAATGTGAAGAGCCTGAGCTTCAAATCCTGGCTACCCAATCGGTAAGCAGTGAAAAAAATATCAAAAAAAGGATTTACACATTTATTTCAATAAATTTTATTAACAACACAGTAATGTAGAAAATATATAAGAGCCTGCTAACCTGAGTGACTTTTCAGCAGATTCAACAATTTAAAAGGTATTTCAGTGGCTAACATGAAAAAAAAATCTGAAATTTGGGCTGTTTAGAATTTAGGTAAAGTTTTTGAAGGCTGAAGGTGTCCATCTAGTATACCATGAAATGTATGAGTACCAGGTAGTTTTATTTTCTCTTCAGTTTATAAAGTTTGCTAACATTGAAGAAGATACTCCATCTTATCACAGAAGATATGACTTCTTTGTGTCCAAGTTCAGTGCCATGAGCCACAATAATGATAGAGATGAAGTTATTAGGGCAAAGTAAGTATGATCACTGTTGTTGCTTTGAAAATTAAACTAAAATTCCTTTCATTCATATAGATTATTTATGTATGTCAAATTAACAGTAATCGTGTTCTTAATTACATGTATATGGGCAGTTAAGATAAAAAGCAACGGAGATTGTTTTCTATGATACATCAGTAATACAAGCTGTATTTATTTCAGGTTTAGAGGTGCTGGACTTTTGGGTTTACAGGGAGTGGTCAGAAAGACAGTCAGTGATGACCTACAGGTCAATATCTGGGATCCAGTACATATGGACAAAATTGTTCCATCACTTTTGTACAACATGCATACACCTGAGTAAGTTTAATATTTTTGAAAAAAAAAAAAGGAAACATTTAAAAATGAAGTATACATTTCGTTATGAATTTTAAAGATCAATTATTAGCAATTGTTTCTTTGAAACAAGGAATTTACAAGATATTTGTACATTCATTTTTGAGAATAAATGTCTGTGATTGAGATGGTCTTAAAGTTTTCTGTGGACTCTCTGTAGGTTTATGTCGGTAAACTTAGAAAGCCCAAGAGATGAAGAACACCCTACATACATTGCTGAAATGGTGTTCAGAGATCTTGTGTGCAGGGCTTCCTATGGGAATGTCAAATCTGTCCTACAGCCTGTCCTACGGTGAGTAGTGTTAATGTTCTAGGAAATGGCTTGTACATTGAACAATTAATGATCAGCAGTTGGTTGTAAATCAAAACTGAAAATTCATTTTCTTTTCAATTAAGCTCATTTTCTATTCTACTGGAATTTGAAGTTTATTTCTTTTTTACAGTCATATTGACAATCATGAATTGTGGGTGCCAAACGATTTTGCTGTGAAGTGTTTCAAGATAATAATGTACTCCGTACAGGTAAATATTAGATAATTATGTTCCCACTCGAGGTAGGTGTCTGAGAATTTTGAATACCTGATAGTAATTCTCCATTTAATTTTTTTCAAGCATCGTGTCATTTTCCTCCCCTGAACTATTTTATTATGAAATGGAATATTTGAACTAACATAAAAGAAAGTGTAACATAGATGATAATAGTATGTGGTGTACTTCTTTTAATTCCACCATCAACAGATCCAGCGGGAAGTAAGTTTTCTGAACCTTTCATGTCGTGAGTGAGTTGGCATGTCAAATTAACTATTTCCTTCAAACCTATAATAGCTGCCTGTGATAGGTAATATTTATGCTTTATGTTCTGGGAATATATCTTTCTAGGAAAAACTGTTAAGTTTCATAAAACATACCATTAATGTTTGTCTGTTGATCCATCGTTTGTAAATATTGAAACATTCAAACAAATGGAACACACAAAGCTCAGTGTGGCTTACAAAAGCTACATCTTACAAGATGTGAGTTAGTATTTATGCAGCAAATACAAAGTGAACAAAGATACTTAAATATAGATACTGTATGCCACATGTTATTTTTGCCCTTTCACACATAACAATTTTGCCCTATCTTAAATTCACCCAGAAGCTATTTGTTCAGGAGATAATGCTGTGTTCTTTGAATTCACCCAGTTTTAACCTGCATACAGTAGATGATTTTTGTATGACACCCTCTGGAAAGATTTTAGCTCGCACAATATGAAGCAAGTCAAACATCCAGTTTTATCATAATTATGAAATTTTGGGGGTTGAACTGGCATCTGTCTCAAAGTGATAATTTTATTGATAAAACACTTTTATGTCTACTGACTTTATTAATTATTAATTTTTATTAATTATAGCACATGAAGGTATTATTGCATTATGTTGTACTTTTGATGACAAGAGAAGCATTCCTCTTGACTGGGTTTTGTTACATTATAATAATGATAAATATCTGTTGAGTTATTGACAGATTTGTTTACTTGTATTAAAAGAAATTGTGTATTTTTGTTGCATGCCCAGTAAAAAAAAGGTTTTACATTTTCTTTGGACCTGATTTTGTGAATTTACTAAACCAAAGAAAAAAAATATTGATTTTAAGATATGTGTTAGACATTTGCTAGTTTGATAAATTTTGTTCGTTTGTGGAGTGTGTAGATTAGTTATTGATGCAAATGGATAATTCAGGGATAGACATTAACTTTCAGATCAACTTGCCAATCAGGCAAGTGAACACCATCTTTGACCTGTCCAAATGTAAATCTTAAGTGCCCGAAATGTAGAAGGAAGGAAGTGATAAGTCAGTTTATTATTTTTTAAAAGTTTTTAATAATCGGAACACTGAAAGATGATTTATATTTGTTATCATTATAAAAGAACTAGTTCTAAACATTGTCCCATTTGTCATATTTTTATTTATATAGAATCCTTTGGTTTTATTTCGAATGTTTCTCCCAAAAAATACTTTATAAGAGATGACAATGCAGCTGTGCAGCTACATGGATCTCAAAACATAGACAGCCTGATCAGGATAGGCTAGGTATATTTGGTCTAATTCCTAATAAAAGTAAGGAAATAAACTACATGTACATCATAGTATCTAATTTCCATAACAAGAATAGCAAAATTGTTAGACAGAGCATCATTTTTTTTTAAGCAAGCATGACAGAAAACAGAAATAATTGATTATAGAATGAATGTTGATATGAAATGACTTATCAAAAAATGCTAGTGAGGGATTCAAAATCAAATGCAAAACAATGTTGCTCAAACTGAGATTTGATTTGCCCTAGACAATTGTTAATGTCTATCCCTGTAATTCTGCAATACATATGAACATACTGACTATCAGTAGACATTTTCTGAGAACCTGTTGATAAAATGGAATATGCAGGAATCACTATGTGAGTTTGTCTGTCCCTTCTTCTTTGTTTCTGGACTATAATTTTACTTAATAAAACATGTTAAGAAGTTTATACTTGGAGCCAAGTTTACTGAGTGTTTATGAGCCATTGTCAATGGAAAAGACTGCAGTATTCTTTTTGACATAACTTTGTCACTTAGAGACTAAATGTTGGCAGAGTGTTTGCTTATGGTGTGAGAGTGTGTTGCAACTCTGGACTAAGGTCACTTAGGCAAGGTCAAGGTCTCAGAGAATAAAGTATAAGATTCCTTCATGTGCACAAACTTAGTAACACAGAATTTAGAGGTTTGATGAAGCTTATACAAAGTTTCGATGTGTCATAGCTTCAGATTGATCATGTTTGGACAAAGGTCAAGGTTGCATAATGTGGCAGTATATATTCCCGGTAAATTTCAAGTACTTATGTACAGCCTTCCTCTGTACTGTAGGAAGCACTGGTACTAGTAGACATTGAATCTGATCTTTTTAGCTCACCTGAGCCGAAGGCTCAAGTGAGCTTTTCTGATCGAAATTTGTCCGTTGTCTGTCGTTGTTGTCGTTGGCGTTGTCGTTAACTTTTCACATTTTCATCTTCTTCTCCAGAACTACTGGGCCAATTTCAATCAAACTTGGCACAAAGTATCCTTGGGTGAAGGGGATTCAAGTTTGTTCAAATGAAGGACCACGCCCCCCTCCAAGGGGAGATAATTACGAAATAGCAAAAAAATTAATGGCATTATTGAAAAATCTTCTTCTCAAGAACCAATGGGCCAGGAAAGATGAAATTCATGTGGAATTATTGTCAGGTAGTGTAGACTCAGATTTGTTCAAATCATGACCCCGGGGGTAGGGTGGGGCCACAATAGACAATCAAAGTTTTACATAGGGATATATAGGAAAAATCTTCAAAAATCTTCTTCTCAAGAACAGCAAAGCTGTGATTGGTCATATTTATATGGAAGCATCCTCAGGTGGTGTAGATTCAAGTTTGTTCAAATCATGACCCCTGGGGGTAGGGTGGGGCCACAATGGACAATCAAAGTTTTACGTAGGTATATATAGGAAAAATCTTCTTCTCAAGAACAGCAAAGCTATGATTGGTCATATTTATATGGAAGCATCCTCAGGTGGTGTAGATTCAAGTTTGTTCAAATCATGACCCCCGGGGGTAGGGTGGGGCAACAATGGACGATCAAAGTTTTACTTAGGAATATATAGGAAAAATCTTCAAAAATCTTCTTCTCAAGAACAGCAAAGCAATGATTGGTAATATTTAAATAGATGCATCCTCAGGTGGTGTAGATTCAAATTTGTTCAAATCATGACCCCCAGGGGTAGGGTGGGGTCACAATGGACGATCAAAGTTTAACATAGGTGTGTATAGGAAAAATCTTCAAAAATCTTCTTCTCAAGAACAGCAAAGCTATGATTGGTCATATTTATATGGAAGCATTCTCAGGTGATGTGGGTTCAAGTTTGTTCAAATCATGACCCCAGGGGATAGGGTGGGGCCACAATGGAAGATTAAAGTTTTAATTAACATAGGAGTATATAGGAAAAATCGTCAAAAATCTTCTTCTCAAGAATACCAAAGCCATGATGAGTCATATTTATATGGAAGCATCCTCAGGTAGTGTAGATTTAAGTTTGTTCAAATCATGACCCCCGGGGGTTGGGTGGGGCCACAATGGATGATCAAAGTTTAACATAGGAGTATATAGGAAAAATCTTCAAAAATCTTCTTCTCGAGAACAGCAATCTTATTATTGGTCATATTTATTTGGAAGCATCCTCAGGTGATGAAGATTTACATGTAAGTTTGTTCAAATCATGACCCCTGGGGGTAGGGTGGGGCCACAAGGACGATCAAAGTTTTATGTAGGAATATATAGGAAAAATCTTCTTCTCAAGAACAGCAAAGCTATGATTGGTCATATTTATATGGAAGCATCCTCAGGTGGTGTAGATTCAAGTTTGTTCAAATCATGACCTCCAGGGATAGGGTGGGGCCACAATAAAAGTTCAAACTTGTAGAGAAAAAAGTCACAGTTAGTCAAAAAATCATGTAAGCATCCTTAGTTAGTGTAGATTTAATTTTGTTCAAATCATACCCCCTCCCTTTTAGGGGTAGGTTGGGACCACTTATGCATTTAAGCTTTTCAATACTAAACAGATTTTTCCTCTTTTCCTAGCCACAGTGCTCAGGTGAGCAATGTGGCCCCTGGGCCTCTTGTTTTTTCTGTTGCATGAACTTTGAATAATGATATGCATAGCTTATCAATACATCTGTTATTTATGAATTTTCTTGATTTCTGCAATGAAATATTAATCTGATAATGGATACATAATTTTCACATATTTATTTATTTTTATATATTTTTGTTTCTTTGGTAAAGTAACTTTTTTTCCTTTTTACAAGTCAAACATGTATAAGGACTTACCTTATTCCAAACCCATGTGAACATTGCACATCTTAAGCTTCAAAAATGTTATTCAACACAAATCGCTTCTTTCTGTTTGTCTGTCTAATTCTAGGTCATACAGAGGTCAGATAAATTTGCCTTCAGACATTTGCCATTAAGAAAGCATTGCAATTTACAAGAAAACTTTTTCATCCAAATTAATGTTATCAGCAGCTTTTTATTCAACAGCTTCCTTTTTCATTTACTCATCAGAAATATTAATATTTCTAGTAACCCTCTTTTTCTATTTTTATTTTATCATGTGCTCAAGTGACAAGTGATTGAATAGAGTTGATGTAATTTTATACACTGTGAATTTTGTGCATCACCAGCAATTTTCGTATTTCTATTTTAAATTGCAGCAACAGTATGGTTACCTGGTTATCCAGATGTTAATGTCACACCTTGACACACATACAAACAGTGACCCCAGCATCAAAGCCAGTATTATAGAGGTTCTGTATGAGTCTGTTCTTATCTCCGCTGGAGGATCTATAGGTCAGTATCATCTTCTGGTCCTACTGATACCAGCACATCATCCAAAGCCATGGCTTTAATCTGATACTACTCTTGAAAAACAGTGGCTGCATTGGGCAGAAGATGCTCATTGTTCTGAATATTTTAATGAATGTTGTTGTTTGATGCACTATTGAAGGGAAAGACTGTCATATCATATCTACTTATTCGAATTGTTAAATGAAAACTGCTAACCTACCCCATGCCTATGTTAAACATGTTTTACTGAATGATTGTATTGTTCTATAGGCAATGGGAGGTCCTGTAAAGTAATGAGATTTGGTATTGGTAACAGTTTATTATTTTGGGTAGTGGTGCAAAGGGGGGGGGGGGGGAGCAAAGATTTTTTTTATTTGTTTGTATTAATTACAATTGTGATATCCTTTCCACTCTATAACAGGGCCTTCTGTACTGGATGTGTTTAACACTCTTCTGAGACACCTGAAAACATCTGTGGACAATAAAAGTTCTGACAGCAAGAAAAGAGCAATGGAGGAAAAGTTTGAAGAGGCCATCATTAGTACTATAGGTACATTATCAGACAATGCATTTATTTTTTTCATGTTATATTTAATTTTAGATAATTGTCATATGATGTCTTTGCGGTATATTATATTTTTATTAAAAATTAGGGGTGTTTGGGTTTGAGTTTTAAGGGCACACATACATTCTCTTAACAGGTGAATTTGCCAACAATTTACCAGATTACCAGAAGATAGAAATTATGATGTTTATCATGGGAAAATTCCCCCAGTTTGGTCAAAATGATGAGATGGGGTAAGGAAATTTTATAACAAGAAATAAGTGTTCTTATATAAGAAAGAAGTAAAATTTATAAAAATGGCTGATTGGAGTTCTCTCCCTTTACAGATCTTCTGTGGACAACTACCTACAAACCATGCTTCTTAAAACTTTACTTAAGGTTTGTGAAATAAACCTACAAAGTTTTATTTTTATTTTTTTTCATTTTACCAAACTATCATTTTAGATTTTTTATCATACAAATACATATATAGGTAAATAGATTCCTTATTTTCTTTTTCATCCTAAAAGGTTGCCACTAAATACAAGACTGTGATAATGAACAATGCATTTCCTCCCGAGTTCCTTCAGCCATTATTAAGAATCTCTCTGTTAGAGGAGCCTGGATTACGAGTCGTGGTGCAGGAGATATTACACACTCTGTTAGACAGACATGATAATGCAAAGAAACTCAGAAAAGTCTGGTAGGCTTCATTATTTTAGTCAGGCTACGTTAAAGTAGAGAATAAATCTATTTGGGATGGATGTTCCTGGGTTATGGCATATTTGCTGAAAATTACTTGTTGTTTCCTTTTAAAGTATTCCTAAAGATGTTGTCGCAGAGCTGGACTTGACTGTGGATAAAGTTCCAAGGCAGGACAGTTTATTCATGAAGAAGGTACAAAATTTATTGAAATTATAAAATTCAAAGTACAATTTGATTGATTGATTGTATATTGCTTAACACTGAATCAGCAGTATTTCAACCACATATCGGCGGTAAAATTTATTTCTTATGACGGGTTTCTGAAAGTTTTTGGGTTTTCCTGGTGGCCCGTTGTGGGCCTTCTCTTTCAAAAACCAGCGAATCAATCTTTTGCATGCCAAGGGGGTTGTAATCCTTGACAGGGAGCACAGTATTAATGTCCCATCCATCGGACCCAAAATACAATTTGAAAAATTATGCCTTGTAAGTTTTATTCTCTATTTTTAGGCCACCTTAATTTACTCAGATGGCCTATTCTTAAAGAGTCCTGTCTATTGTTTTGCGTCATTTGTAAATTTTGAACATTTTTAGCCTCTGTGGTTGATTTATCAACTTGAAACCAATTTTGATAACATAGCATCCTTGGATGATAGGGAGCAAAAATTTTGGACTTCATGGTCAAACTTCCCAAGGGCATGAGGAGTGGGTCTCAAATCATCCAAATTATGCAATCTCTATAAAATCTTGAGTTCTTGTATGGGTCCAGGGTCTAGCCCCCAGGGTGGAACTAAAGTTGTTATGGTTGATAATGCAGCACACCATTGAAAATATGAAATTCATGTCCCTTGGATCAAGGATGTGGGACTAAGTTGGTTGTACATGTATACATGTATATTCAAATGTATTAAACAATGTTTCTAATAAAATGTTATTTAAATTTCAACATTTACCTTGAGTAAACTGTATATGTGATGCAAATAAACGATTGCTTCTTTACCAAATTGTGAAGTGGGCTCTTCTTATTGTGTTATGTAATGTATAATTATTTCTTGCAGAATGGAATACAGTTTTATTGGCATATCTTAGAGAATTTACAGATGGAATCCAACAGAGTAGCTAATTTTGAAGCCATTTACTGCACAATGTGTCTCATATCTATTGAGATGGGAGGGGATGACATTTTAGTAGAGCTTATTAGATTAGCTCTTGATATTCAGGTCAGTCACACAGCATTTTCATTCATCATATATGCTTTGTTTAATTTCATCAGTTCTAGGACTAAAAGTGTCTATTGGAAGTTCTTTGGAAAAAAATTAAGACATGAATTTTTCACACATAAACACAGAGAATCAGATAATTGACGATTCTCCCTTTCATTGTTCTGATCTTGTACTATAGCAAACGACCTTGGAATCCAATCTACCCAGTACTCACAAATGTTGTAATCATGCTATTGTGGCTGCCTACCTCAACATAGTGGCACATATCACCAACATGTCACCATTAGTACAGTACCTGTCAGATGTGAGTATCTTCATTTGTATGTTTGTTTCTCATTGTTATTTTCGAAATAAAGTACTTTTAAATTCATTATGACTTGTAGCCATTTACTATGAATGGTAACATGCTATGATTTTTTTTTAATTTAATTTTTACTTCACACCAATTATAATCACTGTTTATTAAAATCTTATTTTTCCTTTCATGAAATGTTTTATATGAAGTTTTCTTCAGAGCTAATTTTGTATTATATAGTTGGTAGAGGTGAGGAAGAAGGAAGCCAGTCACTTACTGCCAGATTTTGCTTTCAACAGAGCCAATAGACCCACAAGGTAACAGAGTTAATTCAGCTGTAATTAAAATGGGGATTTTTATGTGTTTCACTTATTAAACTTTGTTGTGTTACAAACAAATTAATTGTAGCTATTTATTTTTCATTCATTTTCATTGCCGTAAATGTTCAAAATATGTAGATAATTTATCAAAATTTCTGTTATCTGATTTCTGAAGAAAACATTTCATTCCTTATTGAATATTCAAATTCATATATTTTACTTGAAATTTATTTAAAATTCGTCATATGTTTTAATTTTATCAATTTTTATTGCTAATGCTTATTAATTTTAAATATCAGTACAATATTTTCAATTTTTTTGCATTATTCATTTAGTGTTTGTCATTTCTGGACAAGCTGTCTCTCTCAAGTTTAATTTTTTAATGCTAAGAATGATTTCAAGTGTATATAACTTGAAATATCCCAAAATTTTTATAATACCTTATTATTTGGCATGTGTCATTCATTTGTTTGCTGTGACTTTCCTTGAGCATTAATTCACTTCCGCAATTTAACAGAAATGAAGACGACGAGTAAGTAACTTTGATTCCCATTACTAACCCAGCATTGTTAGATCTCAAATCGGAATGCAACATTGTAACGTTATACATAGCTTTTAACAATTTATACTTAAAGCATTAATATTAAGAAACCAGCATCCGAAGTTGTCAATTACAATAGATGTGTATGTTCTGTAATCGTAAATACCACATACCAGTGTAGGAAACATTAATGAATATATATTTCTACTGGGCATTGATGTTCTATTTTGTATTTGGCCCCATTAATTAAAACTTGAAATATTCATTTCAATACAAATTACATCAGGGAATTTTGATACCCCTATTTTTTGAGATAAGGAATGAATTAAATGACTGGTAAGTAGTTTAAAGCCTGTGCATTGGCTTCATGTTATCCTTTTGTAGACCAGAAGTTCAAGACATTCAAGCTAAAACCTTGTACTGGTACATACCAGTACATGTATATATAATTTATGAATGATTGGGATTTACCATTTTACATGTAGTGGATGCAAATGGACTGTGTCATCAAACTAAACACAACTGAAAACAAAATTTTTGAGAATCTTTGTTGGTTTTCTTGCTTCTATGGATAAGAATTCTTTAGATTTGAGGAGCACATGATACTACCGGTATATATTCTGGACAGTGTTGAAAGCAGCTACTACACAGAGTTGTTTATGTTCTGAAAGCATGATTGTCTTTTCTTTTCACCAAAAACTTTGTGCATTGTGGACAGTATTACAAAGTTTGTATTAAGGTTTTTGTTTTTTGTTTTGCTGCTTGTTGAAAAGAGTTCTCAAAATGCCAATTTTATGCAGGTTTCCGTATATGTATTTTAGTACATGTATCAGGTATACAAATTTATTACCTCTTGTTTTAAAATTTTGAAATATATGCTTTAGAAAAAATTTTATCTTGAGCCAGAGCATGATTTTTCAAATTTCCTTCTCTTGTTTGTTCAAATAAAATTTTGTCATTGATATAACATTAAACAAACATGTAAATTGTAACTTTGTGAAACATGCATGTTTGAGTGGGCCGTTACAGTCTGTATTACCGGTTAAATAACAAGAGTCCCTTTATGCAATATTTAAAATCTTTTATAATGTTATATATCAATAAACATTTGTGTCATAGATACTCTTAATGATTAACACAGGGTATTATCATTTTAGTAAAATATCAATATTCACCTCAGTACAATTCCTGTATTCTGGATACTGCTACATATTCACTAGAAGGAAACAAATTCTCCATTTATTGTCATCTAAAATCATGTAAGATGTTATATGAAGCAGGAAAAATGAATGTTACCAGGTATATTTTTATAATTTTTTTTTTGGTAGCTATCCTACAAATGACAAGGTCGAGGAGAGATGGTTGTTGGATCAAACAACATTACAGGAAATCCTAACAGATTGTGGTCACGATGCCTCCCGTCTTAGCTCGCCCCTCGCTCTTAGACCCCACAGCTCCATGGGTAATGTCAGAAATTCATTAGTATTTCAAAATGACTGAAAGAGACACAACTTGGTTGCATATGAATACTATTTCTCATTATGTTTATTCACAGGTGCTGTGATACATGGTAAAAAAATGCACCTTGTTAGCACATTAACATGAGCTAAATAACACAGTATTTGATTTGAACAGTTATCTTTAAGTGCATTATGCTACTGCTGTATACATGTTTGCAGTTAATTGATTAATTGAAGAAAAGCATGCTTAAGTCAAATGTATTGTTTTGCAGTAATTTTAAGCTCACCTCAGAGAGTTGAGAGGGAGCTTTCTCTATTACCCTGGAGTTTGTTTTTGCATCCCATTAAGCAGGAACTGTAAAAGTGTTGTTTTTATCCCCAGTGCCTTTGGCGGAAAGTGACTTCTGCTAATTCAAGTACTATACTAAATGTCTTGTATATACACACGTAATTAAGAACATTAAGAAATGTGCTAAATCAAATCTACACTAACTTAATCAAAAATAATTTCTGCTAAGTATCGTACACTCTGGTAATACATTTATGGTACGGTAATTAAAAGCCCTACCTGAACCAAACTTGCATTGATGAGGCATTTAAAGGTTTTTCTACCAATCCTGCTTTGCATCCTTCATCTGATCTATATTTTCTAGAAGAGTGACAAGGTCTTAGTTCTTATGAGCAGGTCTACTTCCAATTAACTAAAAACCCTACTTTGACCAAGTCTTTTGTGGATGATACATCTAGGGATGTACACTACCAGACTAACTTTGGATGTTGCATCTGACATATATTTTTTGGATGATTAGCCAGTTAGAGGTTTTGGTCAAGATTCATTTCCAAGTAACTACCTGGACCATACATGCATGCATGTTGAATATAGGGATACATACAAAGATACTGCAAGTGACATGCCTTTTTTTGTTGTTGTAAAATTAACGTATAGTGATGAACTTGCATCTAACTAATGGATCATACTGAACTTTCATTTGAATGATATGAGACTTTACCTTACTTATAGATAACGTTCGTCGAGGTGAGCTTTGCAATCTTTAATTACCTACATTTATTATGTAGATTTACTTTGTGTTTTCTCTGAGGATGAAAGAATCATACTCTGTTTTTGTTTGTTTTTTTTTTTTAAGTGTTTGGTCAGTTTGTTCTAGTGTTCCTGACTATAGTGTTTCTGACATTTTTTTTTAGCAGTAAGAAATATGCGAGATGATGTAATTATCTAATGATTTCTTAAGTATAACTTTAAGCTACACAATCTTCCTATTCCCTTCTACTATACCTATAAATGTGGAAATTTTCATGTGATGTAAAAGAAGAGAATCTATGGAATTGACAATTGATATTGTTTACAATAAATTTCCAAAAGGTATACAGTTTAATGAAGTTGACAAGTGGGGAAATATTCATTAAAAAAAAAAAAAAAAAAAAAAAAAAAACAACTTTTCACTATGTAGCATAAATCAACTTAACATATAAATTTCCACGTTAACAATACCCAATTCATCAAAGTCAACACACTGCTTTTTCTGCAGTAATTAGCATTACAGTTTGCTTCATGGATGTGAAATAAACAAGAACTTCTTCTGAGACATTCTTTGTTGATTATTGAATTTTAAGGTTTAGAATTTATTTGATTTTATATCTAAGGTAAGTGTATAGTAATAAGTTGTTAATACTTGTGTTTTCTAGACTCTGCCATGGCCAGCAGTATAAGTGACCTAGGTTCCATTAATATAGAACTTGACAGCCTTGAGAACTCGCCATTGCTAGCTCGTGTGAGTACCAACCTGAGACTGGAATCTCAATTACAACGGAATTCTGATTTAACAGAACTCTGTTAAATGTAATCTTAATTTTCTTTTTTCCTTTTGTTTTTCAGAAAAAGGTTGAAGAGATAACAGTTGAATCATTAAAGAAGATGTTAGGTATGGAGGTTCTAGGTTGAGTTCTGACCAAGTTCTCCCAGGTCTACCTCAGACTATTTTAATTATACCATAATGTACTCCTGTAGCTGTTTCGAGTTCTAAAAAATACTCATCCAATAAAATACTAGTAATTTTTACCAAAAAAAGGCATAAAAACTACTGGTAGGTATGAAAAGCCAGTTTAATGTTAAAACCTGTGATGTTAGACAACCAAAATAGTGAGGTGTACAAACATCATACATTATAAAAAAATAAATTTTAAAGTCAGTAGTTGAAATAGTATGTATATACTCTTGTGTGTAACTATTTACGACAATACTGCATTACAGCTGAAGACCCATCTCAGAAAAGGGAAGAAGAGGCCAAGAAAAGACAGGAAATATTTGAAACATTCCAGAATGCACCCTTTGAGGAAATTGTAGCTAGAGCTGAAGCCAAGGTAGGAATGCATTTTCTCTAGTCAATCTGTGATACAATGATAAAGATCATGACTTCAAGCCCTGTCAAGATTTAAGAAGAAAGTAGCCACAATAGAAATCATATGACTTCTCAGTGGGTTGAACTTTGATTTCTCATCTTAAAGAAAGTTGCATCATGTAAAATCCCTCATTTATTTTATTCTTGATAACTTAAAGTGCCAATTATTTGTATAAGTACACATGTATTGATCAATAGACAACATAATACACATGTTAGTCCTAATTATGAAGATTTAAAGTCACATTACAATGTTTAGCTCTATTGGTCTTAGACCAGAAAAAAAATCTACTTAGCTAAAATGTATATTGCCCATTCATCTCAAAATGCTTCTGCCTCCTGCATACATGATTCTCTATGTCATATTTCATGCACATCATATAAGCACCATAAATCTTTTCTGTTCCAGTCAAATCACTTCCATGAAAAGTTGTACGAGATTTTGGAGATGACTCCACCAGAAAGTCCAGACCACGTGAAGGGAAACCAGAATGCTGTGCCTGTGTTTGAAATGCAGTTCCCTAGTCTCTATGTCTACTAAATCACTTCAGTCAAAACTTCTTTTTTTATTTAAATGAACTTATACAGCATTATATATTTAGTTAACAGTCAGAGATTTTCAATTGTCATTTACAAGCAAACATTGATCCACTGATGAAGTTAATGAAGTAAACCTTGTGGTATTGTTTGGAGATGAAGAAAATTTTAATCCATTTCAGTATTGTTCTCACATGTATTTTTTTTTTTTTAAATTTTTATCTAGGATTTATTGGAATTATTCAATGGATAATTTAAATTGATGTTTTGTGCAATAATAGTCATTCACCTAATAGGATATTGTTATTATAATGTCCCTGTATTTTATTTATTTTATGAAGAATTAATAATGGAAAAATGTCATTTTAATTATTAATAATGGGGGGAAAAATAAATAATAATAAAAAATGAATTTCTTTGCTATTTCTTGTGCTGAAACTATCAGAATGTCATAGTAGCAAGATCTGAATTGGAGTTTGGATCATAACACTGATGTAATCATCAGATAATTTATGAATTGAGGAATTGTTGATATCCCTAATTCATTGAACATGTTCATTCCGAAATTATTTTGAAGCAGGATCTATTGAATCTTTTTCTCTTGTTTAATTATTTTTTTTAAATTGTTGTTGTAAATGTATGCTAAATATCCTGAAAAGGATAACCTCAAATATTATCAAAGATTATCCACCAAACACAACACACTTGGACACTATAAACATAACATTTCTTGTTACCGTATATACTTGCCTATAAGTCGGTCCGCCTATAAGTCGGTTGTATTTTTAAGCTTCAATTAGAGGGATTGACCTGCTTAAATACCATTCTTTTTTATATCTCGCGTATAAGTCGGATGAAGAGTTTTGGACCCAAGTTTAACTCCCAAAAAACCGACATAGGCGAGTATATACGGTAAGTACAAGAATAAGGGTACAGAGTAACTTTCACAACAGGACTTTTTCAATTTTTATCAGTTGTGTGGCAGATCAGTTTTAATTATGTTTTCTAAATTATTTCATTTGGATCCTGATGTAAATTATCCTTCCTATATTTGGTAATGCCATCTTTTTATCTTTCGGCCGATAAGTTCTATGACAGTTCCTTTTGTTCTCGTTTCTACATAAATCTATGTGACGTACAGATCAGGGAGGGAGACAGCTAGCCTCACTAGCTACACTTTCTCAATATGCTGGAATTTTCCCATGGTTCATCTGTTGATCGTCTTTCAAATTCAGTTACTTTAAGTTAGACTATTTGGGTTGGGGAAGTTAGGTTTTCTTGTTGTATGATCATTGTAAATTTGTAAAGTCTTGTTAATCTTATTTTCATTTGAAGTTCAATTTATAAATATTTTTTATTCAGAAAGTCATATCAAAAATAAAAAATAAAAGCACAATGCAAAGTACAGGCTTTACAAATACCAGACCTGTTTGGAATTGTCTCAATTTCTTTTGAACTTGGGGAAAAAAAATGTGATAAGGGAGACAAATCTGGAAAATCTATTGGTGAATAAAATAACCTTTTACATGTTATTTTTAATCAAGCAGGAGCATCAGTTTCTTAATACACATATGTTACTTGGATTTGAATTTAGATTTTCAATTTTACGTGTAGTTTTAATGCTAGAAAGATTTTTGTAAATATTTAATAATATTTTAAAGTCAATAATGCATTTAGATTTTCCAGTGTCAAGTTTACATGCATGCAATAAAATGCATGAATATTTATTGTTTTTCCCAATGAAATCAATGCTGACAACAAAACATTAACAATGTGTGGGGAAGGGAATGTCTCCTTTTCCCTCTTTGGTGGCAATTTGTTATTGGGGGGGGGGGGGGGGTAGTAACAAATTATATATCAATGCTTGCACTTTATATTGGAAAATTGATCTGATGTAGCAATCCAGGCATATATTATTGTTTCCATTAAATTGTGTGCCAGTGTCCAAAGTATGTGTCAGGAATATTGGCATAGATTGTCATATGTTGTTATTCAAGGGTGACAGTTTTATAATTTTTTTAACATTAAGTACAAAGTCTAGTCAACATGAATCAATAGATAAAACCAAATCTAGGATCAAACCTCGTGATATGAAGTTAGCATTGAGAAGGAATGATGTGACTTGAGATGCAAACATACTTCATTTATTATACGTATGACCAGATTAATGACTACTGACAGTAAAACACTATCTTAATGAAGTGCCAGGGACAGACAATTTTGCTTCGTTAAATATGTAACAAGTTGTGTCCGTTAACAGTGGTTAAGTTTGGAGTATATTTTAAAGTCAAGGGAATGAAAATTACTTCGCTATAAGCATCAATTCATTTAAAGAGTGTTTGCTATAAACATGTTTAACTGTATAATTACTAATTAAATAAAGGCATAGACCTATGTCCATGATTTAAGGCCAATTAACAAACTTTAAATGAATGCTGACAGCATGTGCTTCTTAGCTTCTGATGATGAATTTATCAAAAGATTTAATTTGTCCAAATTTGAGGACACTTCAAAAAGATCACATGAAAAATTAGATCAAGATGCCTTTTATTCAAATTAGGTCTAGTTGCATTTTATTGAGATTTTTTCACCTCTGCACTGATACATGACATTCCTCCAATTGAATGAAACCTTTTATTACGTTCTTTAATCATCAATAAGCTTTGTTTTCCTTTACACACCAACTTTTTTCCACAATTTATTTTTAAAATTTATAAGTATGAAGATTATTATATTGCCTTTATTGTTGAACAATATTTAAAGCACCCTATAAGATTTAAAGCAATAAATCAACTATTTCAATTGAAACAATAAATCAAAGAGTACAATTTATCACTTCATTAGTCAATACTTCAGTGATTTTACATTGTATTAAATCATTCTGTCATTTAAAGTCTGGTGCGGCATACTACTATGGGTCAGTGTGTCGAATCGCGGAGGGATATATCAAGCACTTTGTAATTGTGTAGGTCTTATCTTTTTGTGTTTTAAATAAAATCATTCACTCTACAGCTATATATTATTTGTAATACAAGCCAAGTTTTTCATGTCCAAAATTCATAAGAATCATAAAAGTATATTAATGACAGAACTATATTTACTGTTGGCCAACTTCCGGATGTCAATTAGGCGAGAGTGAAATGGTGGAATGGATGGATCAGAAAGTATAACAAAATTATAACACAGGCTCATCATGGTACAGAAGTACCAGTCACCCGTGAGGGTGTACAAACACCCGTTTGAGCTTGTGATGGCGGTAAGTCTATTGTCATTTTTGTATCGTCCAGCTCTCCTGCTAAAAGTTTCTATTTGTTTACCTTTTCCCTTTTCGGTTCGATAGCAATCAATAGCAATACAGAACTAATAGATAGACATGCTCTTTTATATACTGTTAGATTTTCTCGGCGTTTATTGCAATATTTATAAGAAAATCCTTTTCCTTAGTTCATTATATTAAAAAAAGAAAAGAAAAAGAAAGCGCAAATCACAGCAAATGCACTTGAATCAGCTGGTGATTCACGGACACAGCTGAGTATAACCCCCGTTTATCCTACTTGTACGATGGATGGGATCAGATGCAGTTAAACATTCTGTAATTAAGCTTGTGGAGAATGTCTCAACAGTCTATTGCGTATGTGGCCACTGTTGCCAAAGTTTTTATCATGAACACTAAGCTATGCTGGAAATGAAAGAAAGTGCATTTCACATAGTTTTGCATTATAACAGAAACTTTGAAAAAATAACAAAAACTGTTCTTTTTGTTTTGTTTCTTTTTTTTTTTAAATTTTTGTTGTTGATATATTGGTGAAATTTTATTAAATAAATAAATAAAAAAAAACAACAACAATTATATACAACTGAAAGGTTGTTTATCTCCCTTGACTAGTTACTTAACGTATTACATCTAATTCTAGGCATACGAGAAACGTTTCCCAACTTGTAAAATGATACCTGTGTTTCTTGGGAGTGATATAATATCAGAGACAAAAAGTAAGGATGGGGCAGAGCATGTTATAGACAGGAGATGTCGACTCAATGTGGATGCTCCGTACATCCTGAAAAAGGTTAGTCACTGGTACAATGAACGTCATAATTGTGACCCCTGTCAAGTTTGGCATTTCCATTTGAATAATCACCATGTTGCCTTCCAGACATTTTTATTTTATCTAATGACTGGACCATGAATTGTACAAAGACATTCTTCACATAAGCAAAAATTATCACCTTGAACTTCATGAAATGTTGACAAACATAAATTTCAGTGTTAATTGTGTGCCAGATAAGAAAAACCTTAAACCCAATCCATATTTATTGTCAAAAAAAGTTTTTTTCTTCAGAAAGGAAATAAAGGTTCACCTTGAATTCATGAATATTTGTGCCATGAAGTGCAGTTATTAGGAAAAATGAGCTTTATTACCTGAGGGATTACATGTTTATTTATTAACAAATATTTATGTGCTGCTAATTTTAAAGTAAATGTATTTTCAAAATATACACAAGTTTACTAACAACAGTGAATAATTTCTTGCAAAAAATTAACCTAATTGACAAGGTATTTAAATTTCAAAATCATCTGTATCTTATACAGGTAAAACTTTCTTTGATCTGAATCTTTTTGTTGTGTAGATAGCAGGAGTTGATCATGTGGTTTTCAGACAAGTGAATGCATTGGACAGACGTTCCAGAACACTCAGGATAGATGCTCACAATGAGAGTTTCTCTAACAGGGTCATTGTTAAGGAGAGCTGCTTTTACTCTGTACGTAGTCATTATCTTCAGACTAAGAGAGAAAAATCTATAAGAGGTTTATAATGGGCAGAAATCTTGTTTCCCTGAGGGGTCACTATGAGTATTCCTAATTATTATTATCATAGAGGTAAATGCACAAACACACACGCACACACAGAGAAAACAATGGAAAGAAACTGCATGGTGTAAAAATGGATAGAATCTTGATGTGATAAATTGAGAGCCTACATTTTTTCAAAGAATCAGTATGCAATTTGTTTAGATCTGAAGCAAGACACTGGGTTTACTAGTTTTGTAGCACATGAAATGATTGTCTGTTTTAAAAGCCCTGTATGCACAGGTAGTACATGTATTAGAATGAAATTTAAGAATTTCCACAATTTTGCTTTAAAAGGAACAACAGGGGGACAAAGTTACATTACATGTAAATAAGTTTAAACTGTTGGGAAAAGAAAACTCTTAGAAGGTGTTGTATTTCTCTCTGAAACCTGGCTTTGCAATCAATATATTGATTAAAATAGCAGTATGTAACTTAAATTATCTAATGATTGTAAGTTATGTGTGGTTTATTAGATTTCAAAGGATTACCTCGAAGCAGTAAAGAGGCCATAGTT